TTCACGGCCTTGCCGCCGTTCATTTTTAGTGGTGCCGAGTTTGCTCTGATTCCTTCGCGTGATGAACCATTCGGTCTGGTGGCTGTCGAGTTTGGGCGGAAGGGAGCGTTGGGAGTGGGATCACGGTAGGGTTGAACGTCAGCCCTAGATTGACTGTTAATGCTAACGAATGTGTCAACAGGGTCGGTGGTCTCGGACAAATGCCTGGATGGTGGTTTACGATGTGAGTTTCTTCCTCCCAGAGACTATCACACATGTCCAGACAACTAAACGCAGTATAGTGAATCCATGACAACCAAGCACCTCACCCATCAGTTCAAGCTGGCGATCAACGACGCCCTGCGATCATCACAAGAGACACGAGCGCTGATGCGCGCCCGGTCCGGCAAGCAACGCTTCCCCGTGGCGCAGTGGGTCGAGGATCTCGGCATTCTGCAGACAACCTCCATCAGGAAGCACGAGAAGCACTCAAAACGCAACGAGCGCAGCTCCTGGAGGATCTCCAGCACCAGTACCTTGGTTCCCGATCGCAGTCGCAACATGCACCTCTCGTTGAGTCCCGACACCAGCCGCGAACACAGCCGATCCCGCAGCTCGACCATCTCGCGTCCGCCCAGCCGGGCCATCAACGCCGATCTGCGACCCGGTGCACCCCGACCCGGCCACAGTCGTGTGCCCTCGCTGCCCGCAATCCTACCCTCCAATCTTAGCTTGACCAGTAACGATCCTGACACCGACACCGAGGCAAGGCGAAGACCCTTATCCTCGATCCCCCGCGCAGGACCTCGAGTGGTGTACTCATTCGAGAATGAGGGTGAAGAGCTCGAAAACATGTCCGTGGCACCCCATACTCCTCCCCACTTCGCCAACTCGGGCGCCAGCACCCCAACCCTCGGCGCCGGCCCCGAGGACGGGCTACTGGGTCGCAGGCCGAACCTATCCATGATGAGTCTGGTCAGCGTCGACGATATCGTCAAGGAGAAACAGGATTACAACCTCCAGAAGGTCAGCCCCTTCTTCACGGACGTCAACAACGAGTACGCCGACAAGTTTGAGAAGAAGCTGGTCGACCTGAACGGCAAGAACTCCGAGGACCAGCTGTGCATCGAGGAGTTCCTCGAGAAGAGCGAGAAGGACTGGTTCAACCGTTATCGCGACGTCAAGCTGGGCAAGTCGCCGCTGCCCTCGCCGTCGCCTTCGGTCTTCCGCTTCAAGGTCAACGATAACAGTCCTCCGCCGACGCCGGGGATGACGGGTGGTCCAGTGGAGGACCCGAATGCGGGACAGTTCCTCCTGCCCAAGGACTATGTGCCCCCCACGGGGTTGAAGCGGTTCATGTTGATGAAGATCGGCGATTGGCCGGTTTATTCGATTGTCCTTGCTATTGTGAGTTTGCTGTTATACTGCTTTTCTCCTCTCGTTGCGTCTTCCATTTTTGCATGTTCAATCCACTGACAAGATGGGTCAGGGCCAAATAATCGCCTTGAACTCGTACCAGATCACGCTTCTGAACGGGGAGATCGGAGAGACAGCAGAAAAGCTGTACGCGCTCGCGTCCATCTATCTGGGCTCTTCGATCGTGTGGTGGATGGCTTTCCGACTGATGCCGTCGGTTTATGTCTTAACCATTCCTTTCCTGGTACGTGTTTTGCTCTGTGCATTTTGTCTCGCCCAAGAGCGTCTAGGCTAACCCTTCGCAGATGTACGGGTTTGCCTTCCTCTTCGTCGGCCTCGCCGGTCCCATTTCCGGCGGTGCAAGCCAAACCTGGCTGCAGAATGTGGGAACTGGTTTCTACTCGTTTGCCTCCTCAAGCGGCTCGATCTTCTTTGCTCTCAACTTTGGAGATGAAGGTATGTGAATGAACAACTAAAGTCCAAGGGACAGTGTATCTGACCTCTCTGTCCAGGTGGAGCGCCGCTTAGCTCGTGGATCTACCGAGCCACCGTCATTCAAGGCAGTCAGCAACTATGCATCAGTTTCCTCTGGTACTGGGGTAGCTGGATGGCGAGCCTCAATCAAGAGGGTAGCACACGTTTCAGCCTGAGTATGACCAACCCACACGCATTACTCGGGATTGGCGTCGGTCTCGCGTGTTTCCTGTGGCTGCTGGGAGCCCTGGTATTCTTTGGCTTGCCGTCCTATTACCGCCAAACGCCCGGGCGTGTACCGACCTTCTACCTCTCGCTCTTCCGGCGTCGCATCGTGCTTGTATGTTCCTCCCTCGTTTCCTTGCACCCAGTCTGAGTGCTAATCCCCGATTTTGCAGTGGTTCTTCTACATGGTGTTCATCTCGAACTACTGGCTCTCGGCCCCGTACGGTCGCAATTGGCTATACCTCTGGTCCAGCAAGCACGCCAAGATGTGGCACATTGTGCTGCTGGTTCTCCTCTTCTTTATCGGGGTCTGGGCGGCCGCCCTCTGGATCTGCCATGTCCTTTCCAAGCGACATGCCTGGTTCCTCCCGATCTTCGCCATTGGTCTCGGCGCCCCGCGCTGGGCGCAGATGCTATGGTCCACCTCCAACATCGCGGCGTACATCCCGTGGGCTGGAGGTCCCGTGGCTGGAGCGATTCTTGGTAGAGCCTTGTGGCTCTGGTTGGGGGTGCTGGACAGTCTCCAGGGTGTTGGTAAGTCTCCTTTTCGTCCCACCCGTGGTCGCATCATACAACCCCAGAATCGCAAACTAACCTCATCCAGGCTTCGGAATGATCCTCCTCAACACCATGACCCGCTTCCACGTTACCTTCACCCTCCTCGCGGCGCAGGTGGTCGGGTCGGTGGCGACGATCCTCGCGCGGGCCACGGCGCCGGATAAGCTCGGCCCCGGCAACGTCTTCCCGGATTTCTCGGCGGGCGTGGCCGCCGGGCTGAGTAAGGCCGACTTTTGGGTGTGTCTGCTGTTGATGCTCTCCATCAACGTGCTTTGCCTCTTTTTCTATCGCAAGGAACAGCTTTCGAAACCTTGATTGTGTTTTTTTTGGTCTTCTTGCCTGGCTAGCGTGTGTCTTGGCTTGGTTTGTTTTGTTTACTAATTGTTTGGATATATATTCGGGTGATACTTCCCCGGAGCATCATGTTGTTGCCTATAGTGAGTATATAGCATACGGGGGCATTGTATGATTAGAGCGATCCGTGGTCCGCAGCTGGCTTAGCTGTTTGAATATAATCTTTATTAATCGATGTTGAGTGGATGCTCACTTATCCAGAATCTGTTTTGACTAATTGATTTGACATAGTTAATGCTGGCTGTCAGCGGGGGATGGCGGGATGAGTCTGTGCGTCCAGGCCCGATGCGGACTAGAGAGAACAGGGGTCACAGACTCACAGACTCACAGCCCGTCAAGGGGTCCCCATTCCAGACTAGTTAAATTGTCCATGCATTATTCAGGGGAGCGGATCAATTGTCACCTCCGCACGTATATAAACAATACGAGACGCCCTTCCTTCTGGCAAGGGGAGCTACTTACTCGAATTCTCTCAACCTTCCACAATTGCTGTTGCTGTCGCTATTGTTGTTGTTTGTTCTGCCACTCTTTTCAGAACAACACAACCGTCATTCATTCGTTTCCTCCTCATTCCCTGGATCCCATCCTCCAATCCATTCTTTCAACCAATCCATCCAACTTACAGTCCCTCATTGTTTCCTGAATAATCATCATGACTCGCTATTTCCTCTCCGCAATCATCGCCCTCTGCGCCTGCGCGCACTGGGTCCTCGCCGCTCTGACCCCCGACCAAATCGCCAATTCGCTGAACGAGCTGGCGCAGCAAGGTTTCGCCGCCAAGGATCTGGTCTTGGAGATTAATTCCACCGCGGACGCTTCCCCCATTCAGGTTAGTGTGGTTTCCTGAGTGAGGTCCGGGTACATGGCCTGATCATTTTCTCGGGGTCTAGGACGTCTACGCCGAAATGAGCACCATCGTCATCGAGGTTCTCCAGAACGTCAACTTCATGACCAATACCCCCGTCATCGCCGACCAGACTGCGCAGCAGTTGGTGTATGAGGGGTACTCCAACGTAAGCGGCCACTTCGCGTCCCGCCCGCCCTCCGCGCGCACAGGAAAAGGAAAGTGGACTAATGCACGGTGCTCCAGTTCGTCCAATCCCTCCTCGAACTCATGGACGCCTTCTCGACCAGCGCGACCAGGTTGAAGTCTCTTGACGAGTCGACCAAGGATCGCGTTCCGTCGAATGTGCGCACGTTGGAGAGTGCTGTGGATGTAGGTCCCCCAACGCACCAGAAATGAGGAGGTGGGGGTATGCTGACACGACGACTCTCCAGGCCTACTTCTACAACATCATTGGCCTCTTCCCCGCCAACAGCTCGTACAACGCCCAGGCCAACAACCAGAAGGCCCAGGTGGATACCCATTGCTTCCAGGCGATCTGGGCCTTCGATGCCACCGCGGCGAGTCAGACGGCCACGACAGCGCAGCAGGCGCGGAGCACTGGGCTGCTCGGCTTGCGCCGCCGCGGGGTGTATCGCGCTTAGTGGGATGTGTCTTGCTGAGCGATGGGTAGGAGATGGGGGTGAGTAGGCGGGGAACCTCAAGCGTTTTTAACCAAATACTTTTACGCCATCCTTTGGGATCTGGCTGGACGTGTTTCTTCTATCTTGTCAGTCTAGCTATGTATAGTATACGTTTGTAATAAAAGGGGTGTTGACGTGACACGTATTGGGTTATCTGCCGGTCGGATGTAGGAGAGTGGGCATATGCGTTGTGCCTGAGGTGGAAGCCGCAACCGCGGGACACGTTCCAGAAGCTTGTTGCTTGACTAAGGGATTGGAACTCTGGTGACGTCATGAAGTACTACAGGAGCGTTGTTGATCTACTAGCTACCCTCCTGGCGTGTCGCTTAAACGCAACTGACAGTTACCGCTCGAATAAGCTAGCAGATAGAACCAATCGCTTTCCACTTTCAGTACAACTACGAGTAATTGAACCAAATATACTAAGGGCATTTCATAGATCTTAGTACAAACAGACTTTGAACATACTCCGCTAGCTTTTGTGGGGAACTGTGCCTCGCATTCATGCCTCACAAGCGCGATCAGTAAATAGCGAGAAATGCATAACGTGGAACCAGACAGAACGGCCTCCGTTGCTGACAAGTACAAAGACCGCTCGAACCCGAATCGGAGTCAAGACAAATCCGGTAGAACTTTTCCAGGGACGGCGCCTGTTTGTTTCGGTGGTCTTACTCGGCAACACTCAGCAATACCAAGATCTGCTTCGAGACTCGCTTTGCAGTCTTCCAGCCTCCTGCGGACAAGCCAAATAACCTAATGCGCACCCGTGTTCCTGGGACTAGGGCATGTAGCCTCTGTTTTCTTTTTCTGGATCCTGGCATGCACAATGATATACGGCTTGTTGCAGTCAACAGACACTGAGGGGGTCTCATACTCCTGAACCATCAACCCGTCGATTTTGATTGCATACTGGTCCAGTGAGCACGTGCTGAGGGAAGGTCCACAGGCAACTTGGGCATGTACTGCGGTGATTCTGTAATCGACGTCCACGGTGTACCTGAAACGAACCTGTCCACCCTCGAAAAAGGCCACGAAGGGCCCCACATTGACGGCGTTCACGTTAATATCGTTGTAGTTGGGGAGGGCGCCCACCCACAGCGTGCCCCCGAGCGGGGCCGAGTCGATCTGGTTCGACCATCCCCACGGGGGGTTGCATTCCAACGCAACCCCTGGCGGGGACGCTGAATGACCGAACGCGGAGCCGAAATCGCACCATTGTCCGTCATCGGGAATATCGCACCCGCACTTCGTCTGGAAGGTCCAGTAGGTGAACCAGGGATTACAGGATAGCTTGATGCACTGCGTCGGGCTACCGCCCGTCCCGCCTTCGGAGCCCAGCGTGGGACTTTTCACGCTGGCATGCGTCACAATGTTGATGGGCTTGTCCTGGCACAGGTTGACATTTGGCAAGGCCTCGCTCAGGGGGATCTCGCAGGATGCGGTGGTACCTGAGACCGTGCATTTAGGGGATTTCTTGTTCGAACCCCAGGGGTAGCTTCCGGGGGCGGTATCGGTAGGTGCCCCGATCCCCAGCCACACACTCACCGTTTCATACTGGTAATCCTTGTAGGTCGGGTATTGCACACGCAGAAGCTGTTTGTCGGCACTCAAGGATACCCGGACCCGCTGTCCGGTTGGCTTTTTACCCAGGATCCAATCGGCAGACAGACTATTCTCAAGCCCCATGAGGGTGGAAGTACAGTCCGCGCGTTTGTGGGTTCTTGCAGCCACAGCATGGGCTCGGGATGGGCTCGCAAGACAAAAATTGCCCAGCAGGCCTATGATTAGGCTGATGAGGAGAACCAGATGAGACATGGTAGCTTGCAATGGTTTTTTGGTGCTGGGATATGGCATTTAGTTGCACATAGAGCTTCCTGCAACTTATAGATAACGGCATTGTATATAAGAGAATGCATTCCGGGGTGAAGAAGGGTCCCCGTTTGTGTACTAAGCTGGGGATCATAAGCAAGCATGCAGTGTCCTATGGCACAGATACGAGGAAAATCAAATTCCGAGAGCTGCGATTCGCCCTCCACTTGGAGCAGCGGCGATTCTTCAAAAATCTCAAGGTCTGGGCAAGGCCTCAAGCATAAACCCAGGATCCAAAATATACTGCTATAGGTTAGCCAAGAAACAACGTAGAAGCAAAGGGTTCGGGCCAAGGTCGCCCTTGTCCTCAGAGGCAATGCCAAGAAAAAGATTAAGAGAGTTGGAAGGAACCAGGAGTTTATATATTGGAGCTTTGGTACAACAACAGACTTGGCTTGCTAGACGTCATAGTCAGTGGCCGGGGCAGCTTTTCTTTATACGAGCTGCGGTCATCAGACTCAGTAACCAGAGAAGGCGGATCAATCTCTAATCGGAACCAAGATAAGTAACTTTCACAGCAGCCGTCAGTCGGCAAATTGACTTTTGGTTTAACCCTTCAAATTACTGAGCCTTAGACCACAAGGTGCTGACGGTCTCTCTTTCCTTACTAGGCCATCTCACCTCTTTTCTCTAACAACCCAGTCGTATTCTATAGTAAGATTATATAAGTTACCAATCTTATAGAGCTTATCAGTCTTTACCTGTATCTACTCGCGGAAAAGCCCGGGTGGCCATCACGTGACGTGGGTGATTCCCAGTAACTGATGGTGTCACTTGTGAGGTTGTTAACCCAGAATGAGTATGTCGGAGAGAGAAAAGAAAGTAATGAGTAAGCAGGTCAAGCGCCGTGTTCAACTCTTGAAAAAATACTTCTGGGTTGTCTCGCTAAATAGCTCAGTCACTCAGCCGCGTTCAATAGGCGGCACAACTACGAATGGGCGGACGGTGTAAGCCCTGTCTTTGACACCCTGTGGTCGCATGTGCTAATTTACAGCTGTTGCTGGTGTCATAGAGTGTGGCTCATAGGAATCTATGCGAAAGAGACAGAGCGGCAACAGGTTTCACACTGTCTGGTCCAGATATGTTGAAAATATCCCCCCCCCCAAGGGCTCGAGTGTTGCTCCGGGACCTGTCGGTCGCATGAGCTCGTGGAGCCCCCGGCTGCCAGGGCCGACGTCGGAACCTCGTCGGATTCCGGATTTCTCTGTCCAATGGCCTTTAGAGATTTGCGAATTGCACAAGACCACATCCTTGATTAATCCTTGCACACGACCACATGCGCCAGTGTGCCATGACTAGTGGCCGGCGGTTTGTCTAGTGAGATGCTTGAGCAGGCATAAGCACACGCCCGCCCCGCCACGCCCCACTCTGCTAGAGTCAAGGTGAGAAACGTGCTATCAATCTCCACATGCCATTGGTTTGTTCCTGTCAAGCACGTGCCCAGCCCTAAGGTAGGTGGAGGAAAGTACTGAGTAGGTAAGAAGTCCTACTGAATGAATTGAAGAGCCAGATGCGCGCGTGAGACTGAACTTGCACCACTATTTAAACCGCTGCTGTCTCCCCTTGAATGACTCTCTTCTTGTCCTCGTCCTCAGCTCCCTCAACAAGATCAAACCCAATGGCTTCTTCAGTCGCTGCGCTTGTTGCCCTGGCCGGTCTGGTCACTGGTGCCACCATCACCACTACAGAGCCCTCTTTGTCTGATATCCGACAAGCTCAGGCGACGACCGTCCCTCTGACCTGGACCTCCAATGTCACTGGCAAGGCCTACGACCGCTTCTACCAGATCTGGTTGGAGAACGTGGTATGTATTGGTGCCTTTGTGGTGTATGCCACTTGGAGCTCACATTCCTGTGCAGGACTATGACAATGCTGCCAACGATACCAACCAGCAGTGGCTGGCCAGTAAGGGCATCACCTTGACCAATTACTACGGTACCGGTCATCCTTCTCAGCCCAACTATGTTGCTGCTGCCAGTGGAGACAACTATGGCATGGATAATGGTAAGCTAACCATCACTTCCTTGACTTTTCCGAGACGGAGAAGGTTAATAATAATGTCTCGCCCAGATAATTTCCATGACATCCCTGCCAATGTCTCTACCATTGCCGACCTTTTGAACACCAAAGGCATCTCGTGGGGCGAGTACCAGGAGCATATGCCTTTCCCCGGCTTCCAGGGATACAACTTCTCCAACCAGGTGACATATGCCAACGATTACATGCGTAAGCACAACCCCCTGGTCTCCTTCGACTCGATCAGCAGCAACGACACCGCTCTGCGCCTGATCAAAAACTTCACGACCTTTTACAACGACCTCGATAACCACGTGCTCCCGCAATGGGCCTTTATCACGCCTAGTATGTCTCCCTGTCTCAAGCAATCATCCCCAGAACCAATACTAACATCTCATAAGACATGACCAACGACGCCCATGACACCAACATCACCTTTGGCTCCCAGTGGCTCCGGGGCTTTGTCTCCGAGTTGATGAACAACACCTACTTCTGGGACAACACCCTCCTGCTCCTGACCTTTGACGAAACCGAAACCTACGGCGTCCCCTCCCGCGAGGAGTACGCCGAGCGCAACCGCGTCTTCAGCGTCCTCCTCGGCGGCGCCGTCCCCGAGCATCTGGTGGGTACCGAGGACGACACCGTCTACACCCACTACTCGACTATCGCCACCGCCTCGGCGAACTGGGGGCTCCCCTCGCTCGGCCGCTGGGATTGCGGCGCCAACATCATCCAGTTCGTGGCCGACAAGGTCGGCTACACCAACTGGGATGTCGACAACACCCACCTCTTCGTGAACGTCTCCCTGCCCGGGCCCCTCTCCGAGGCCGACTACTCCCAGTACCGGCCCACCTGGCCCATCCCCGCCACTAACGCCTCCTGCTCGGCAGGCTACGGGGTTCTTCCGGCTGTTGTGGACGCATATCAGGGTCAGGAGCCCACCTACAACTACACCTCGCCGTTTCCCTATGATGCGCCGTACGGATTGAATGTGGGGACGTCGTACTCGCGGAACGGAACGACCTATGTCTCAGGTGTGAATGCGACCGGGGTAATCGGCGATGACTCCCTTTCGAACTCCACCTCCTCTTCTGCCTCTGCTTCTTCTTCGGCGGTTTTTACGGGTGCGGCTGTCCCGGAGATGAGAGCTGCCGGGGGGGCCTCGGTCGCTGCGGCTGGTTTGGTGGCGCTGTTCGGCTTGATGTAAAAGGAACTGAAGGATTCAACGACAGAAATGGGTATAAGCTTTTAGTGCGCGAGCAGGGTGTTTTGTCTTGATAATAGTTGAGAATTAATAATCATCACATTAAACTACGGAAACTCCCTCCTGTGTACATATTGTTCAATGTTGCAAGTTCCCTCAGAGGCCAACTTTGCGAGAATTCAGGTCACCTCATCCTTCAGTCATCTTTTTTTCAGAAACTTTTTACTCGGCCTTGGGATGTTCTTGGCAAACAAAAAGAATACACCATACGTTCCTTCTTAACAGAAAAGTTGTTTTTATTTAAAACAAGTTTGAAACCCTCTCTTCGGAAACGTTATTACTTCTCAGAATTGACTTCCTATTCGAACTATATGAAATGATGAATACAGATATGCTAGGCCGCCTTCGAGGTATCGTATACCAAGAATGATACAAAGCTTAGATATCCTATCAATATCATCACAGTGATAAAGCTGTAGTACCGATAATTGTGTCGAGAGTTGAGTGCAGAAAGAATAAAAGCTGTTGATCTGAGCACATGAGACCAACCGATACTTACCAAGCCCTCTGACTGCGAATGTAGTTGGTCCAAAAGCGCGCGCGCGCTGGGTCATCCACCGTTTTGATCGTCTGCCACTCGCCGCCCAGCTCGAGCAGGGTATCCGGTTGATCGACGAGACTCGGCCACTCGGCCACCCCCTCCGGCGGAGAAGACGCCCCCTGCAACCCGTTCGGATTACCGTACTTGATAAAATTGGCCCACAAGGTCGAGACTTTGTCGCCGATCACCCGATCCGTCTCCGTCCATGGCCGGAGGTCGTTTGTGATCAGACTGTTGAACGTGTAGGCGAACTCGGCCCCGTGATACGCGCCCCCCACCGGACCCTTCTGGTTGGTGAACCCGGGAACTTTGGGCTGCGAGTGATCCGGCTGCCAGTTGCGCCACGGGGTGATGGGGTGGGTGAAGTAGTAGCCGTACACCGCGGATCGAGTCTTCTGGTGATACTCCTGCGCCCAGAGGGCGATGTTGTTGCGCGTGTTGTCCCGAGCAGCCTGGTTCCATGTCTCCAACGGACCTTGACCGGTTTTCCGGTTGCGTAGGGGGTAGAGTTCGTGGAATTTCTCGACGTAAGCGGGATCACCCCTACCGTATGTCGAGTTGGGGCCGAGACGACCCTCCACGCAGTCGAGAAAGTCCTCGTGGGTGAAGCGCGGCTCGTTGTAGGTGCCGCCTTCCTCGCTGTTCATGCCCGCCATGACGGGGACGTCGTTGGGCGGTTCACCGGCGTGGATCTCACTCCAGGGCTTGGGAACCACGTAGCCGTCGAGAATCAGGCGGAACAAGGGGGGAGGTCCCCAGTATCGCCGATCGCGTTTGGTCGAGACTTCGCGCAGCTTGTCCAGATCGTCGAAGTTCCGAAACTCCTCGACATCCTTGATGCCGAGCTCGCGGAGAAGTTGCACACCGTCTTCCTCCGCTTCTTTGAGGGTTCGGTAGGACATGGGTCCGTTGGCGAGGGCAGGCTCCTGGAACGAGCGGGGCCCGGATTGGAGGATCACGCCGTGGAGAAGACCTTTCGCCAAGGGAGAGGAGAGCAAAGCGTGGCTCATTGCATTTCCAGCCGACTGCCCGCCGACGGTGACCTTGTCGGGATTGCCGCCGAAGTTGGAGATGTTCGATCGCACCCATTTCAGTACCCCGACCGCGTCCAGCATCCCGACCATCCCAGACGTTCCGGACGGTGACTCGGCGCTGAGTTCAGGATGGGCAAAGTATCCGAAGATTGCTGTTCGCTCTGAGTGTCAGTTGGGTGGTTGCATGGCACTGGTGCTCAGCTTTTAAGTTGACTTACACAGTCGGAACGAGGGCACCACGACGATGACTCCCTTTTGCGCCAGTCCAGTCCCATCAAAGTTGGGGTCTGCGCTGCCCCCCTCGCGGAATCCACCGCCGTGATACCAGACATAAACGGGGTACGGTCTCTCTGTCTCAAGGCCATTGCTAGGCTGGTAGACGTTGAGATACAGGCAGTCTTCAGACTGTGGATGACCTTTGAGGACGTTGGGGTAGCGTGGGTCGGGTGGTGCTTGGGGGCACACCGGGCCGGTGGTATCGCATACTCTGACATTGTCCCAGGGAATAATGGGCTGAGGTGGCTTGAATCGAATGGCTCCAGTAGGAGGAGCCGCGTAGGGAACGCCTTTGTAGATTGTGATCCCAGGGTCAAGGGGGCTGGGAAGTCCCTGAATGAGACCACCCTCAACTTGGACGGGAGGTAATGTACTGCCCATTTTTGACTGTGAATGAAGGTGAATGGATGACATTCTCTCCTTCAGGACAACCAGGACATATTAAATCCGGCTTATAATACTGAAAGCTTCTTAGCGTGTTCGGGGATGATTTACCCCTCATTTGATTAGGGCTTCCGGGCGGATCTAATCTCAGCCGAGTCTCGCCTCCGCGTTTTCCCCCGCTCTTTCTGTCTGCATTCCTTCTCTCAACTCATGCCTCGCTTTGCCTCGCTTCCACCTTGACATGTTTTGGGATTCCCCGTCAGACATCATGACCGTACCCACTCGGCAAACGCTGCAGTTCCCGCTAGATTCCAGTCAGACGGACCCGCTCGTCTGGTCGGAGCCCCCCCGCAAGCGGAAACGCGTGAAGACGGGTGAGTCTGATCAGCTGGCACCTGCGACTGGAATGACTAAGTGACATCCCTCTTGCAAATCTAGGCTGTCTCACCTGTCGCGCACGCAAGGTCAAGTGCGACGAGACGCACCCGGTCTGTAATAATTGCGGCAACCTTGATGTGGAGTGTCAATGGGGCCAAGGACCCAGACGACAGGGATGTGAGTCATTTCATCAGACGCAAGGGGGGCATGGGGACATACTATCGATTGCTTATCCGTCGGCCAGCTACTACATCTCTTTCCGATCAAGCCGGTCGACCCTCCGCTCCCCGGACCAGATCCGGGCCCCGTTCTCCCGCGTGCTTTACATGTCGCTACGCGCGGTCCAGATGCTCCAAGACACGCCCATCGTGCACACGCTGTGCCATCTACGGCCACGAATGCAGTTACCCCGAGACAAATAAGGGACGGTCGCTGACGTCCTCGGCCCAGTCTTTGATGCAACGACTTCGAAGTAGTCACTCACCCTCGCCTGCTATCTCCTTGGAAGATGAGTCGACAACCATTGCTCCTGTCTATGACCGTTCTGTTGTATCTCACCCCGAACTTCGCGGCGACGAAGACCGTGTAGGATTCAGTTACGAAGCAATACAGCAGAGCCTGGTGATACATACGGGTTTGGCTGATAGATATGACGGGTTGAATGCGCTCGGTCCTGATACGGTGAACGATGTTTTGTTGCCGACCCGTGCCGATTCAATCCTCAACCCGACCAGCCCCAGTGGAACCCAAGTGAATAGGTCTAATCTACCATCGCACCTCACTTTGCCTAGTCAGGATCGACTGGAGCGTCTTGCAGTGGCCTTTTTTCTTCACGTCCACGTCTACCGCGCCAATGCTTTTCTCCACCGCGACCGAACGCTCACCGCCATCCGCGATGGGAGCTTGTCCAGAGCGATTGTCCTCGCCCTTTGTGCTGTGGGAGGGAGATTTGCCTTCCCTCCGGAGTCCGAAGAGATAGTAATGGTCTGGGCAGCAGATGCAGGCAATCAAATCATAGCATCAACGGACGTGAATAGAGACAACATCGGGGCCTCCCTCCTGCTAACGATCTACTATCAACAGGCAGGTCAGTTTGCACAATCGCATCTCTGGTCCGGCATTGCCATGAACCAGGCAATTACCCTCGGCTTTCATCGCGAAGCCCCATCCAGAAACCACACCTTCGCCGAGAGCGAACGCGATCGCCGGTTATTCTACGCATGCTACGCGATCAGTCGGTTCATATCTAACGGCTCACCGGAGTCAATCCAGTGTCCTTCGTCTCGCATCAGGCTCAGGCTACCGTGCGACGGCTTCAACTACCGGATGGACGTATTTGTAAAAACACCATACGCCCAGTTGGAGGAGGCGGAGGGGCCTTCGGGGTCGTCCGCCACCCACCAATGCGTGGGCGCCATGGGTTTTTGGGTGCGCCTAGTCGGGGTCCGAACGATGACTCGGCGATACTTCCACACCCTCACTGAAAGCCGACAGCAGCCGCAAGAAGACGACATACGAGCATCGTCCGGGGGTAACTCAAGGGGTCCCATGCTACTACCCTCACTAGCACCGTGGAGTCCCACCTCCCCCTATGCAGCATGCATGGCCAAGCTAGCCATAATCCGAGAATCACTACCTACCCTGTTTCAGCTCTCCCGCGACCGCGTGGCTCAACTCCACGAATCGCCCGTCCTCGGCCAAATAGTGCTGTTCTACCTGTGGTGGAACGAATGCCACATCGAACTGTGCAGCATGGCGCTGACGGGGTACGCACAATCCCTGGACGAGGAGACTCTCGCTACCGCCCCGGATGGCTGGGTCCAACAGACGCGCCGGAACTGCTTGCGCCATGCGCAGGCTATTACTGATGTGCTGGAACTCCTTGAACGGGAGCTATCTGGGCATGCGCTGACAATCTACGACCATACCATCGCGCATGTAGTTTACCTGTCCCTTCGAGTGCAGCTGGAAGTCGGACTCGTGGATGATGAGATCGCATCTCGTTTGACGAACCGATTTGAGATGATGCTCGAGTTTGTGAAACGCACGAGTAATTATTTTCGGTCGGTTCAGCTCGTGGTGAGATGGGCCCTACCCCATGATTGACCTCGGTCTCTCGCGACCGCTCATGCTAACAGACTATCAATGTCATCTAGCTCAAGGAGATGCACCGCATGCTCGCCGCCCATGGATTTCCTTGCAAGCAGCCCCAAGAGACCCAGTCGTAAGTCCCGCTCTCTCATTTTGTAACCTAATGATCACATCTGTCGAAAGCACAAACTAAATTCCCTGCTAGTGGAGCCGAAACGCCCCCGTTGCCTTGGTTCCGCCGTCAAAAGAGCCTGGATAGCCAACGGCTTGCAGAAAAAGCGGCTATCGTGAGTAGATCGAAAATAAAGGAAGCTGCGGCTATCCGCCTAATACTAATTTGTTCGCTCCCTAAATGCAGGAAAGTATAGACATTGACGCGATTCTTCTCGATCTCTTGCCCGACTGCTCATCAATGCATGGGACTACCGACTGGATGCAAGGGCTTGAAGCGCGGGGCGCTGCTCTGTCACAGGTGCGTGAGTCCTAAACATCACTCCTCCTATTGTCTGTGCAAACAATTTAATCTCCCTTGAGACAGATTCCCCCTCCAAGTGCAGAATGGAACACTTCGATTCCTGATCTCTGGGATCAACGGCCCACCAGTAGCTCCTCGGGCGGCAAGTGGTTTGGACAGTGCGAGGGTTGACTTAGAACCGGGTGTGAGTATTTGCTCGTGGTAATTGTAGAGGTTTCTGCGCGTAAACATCTATAGTGTTTTGTCTTGTGGGGCAGCCTCTATGGTTGCATAAGCATAGAGGGATGTATGTACAAGGCTTAACAACAAGATAATATGTTTACAATATTTGCGTCATGATAGGAGCGAAATCGAGTACTGTAACACACAGTCTTCATGCGAAATAATGCTGGAGACAAAGGACGTGCACTACATCTTTCTTGTTCCATGAAGAATCCAAAGCGAAGATTGCAACGATCTGACTGTCACACGTCATCTTCTCATCGCGAGGAGACGGTAGGAGATCTTCTCTCCTAGGCGAGCCTCGCCTGCGTCCCTCGCTTCCCAATCGGGTATACCCGCCCGATCGGGCTGTGACAGTAGCGAGCGAGCACATCGAGCATCTTCCCCAGCCTAATGCCTATTTGTTTTCGACATAGCAAGTCTCGCGCTCAGCTCTCAGTCGCTGGCTAGAGACCTTTACCAACACCTTGGCTCATATCTGACTAAGTTAATTAGCAGATTCTTTGACTCTAAGTCGTGGATGTCACTGACACGAGATCTCCCACATACCGCCGTCCATTGACCTATACACCAACTATATCAACAGAATATAATGTCACATCAATTGACACACTCCACCGACAATGAGAAGCAGGCTGCTACCCAAATGATCACAGCCCCAGAAACGGCTGCGACTTCCACCAGCAACACCGACAGCGACAGCAGCACCCGCAAAGATGCGCCCGTCCAAACGCAGACGAATCTTCTCCCAATGCGCCAGCTCCTGATCGTTTTCTCCGGCCTATCGACTGCGATGCTATGCTCTATGCTCAATCAGACCATGTAATCTATCTACATTTACTTTTCTTCTACTGTTTCTGCTGTATAATAACAAGGAAATTGCAGCGTCGCCACCGCCCTCCCAACCCTGGGCGCCGTATTTCACGAAGCTGACATCGTGGCGTGGGTAGGCACCGCCTACCTCCTCACCAGCACCGCATGCCAGCCCCTGTATGGCCGGCTGAGCGATATCTTCGGTCGAAAGGTGATTCTGCTCGGTTCGTTGGCAATTTTCCTGATTGGGAGTGTTTTGTCCGGTGTGTCGCGGGACATGATTATGTTGATTGTTTCGCGTACGTATTATTCACTTTTGTGGACGAGAAGTCCAAACATGACAACTGACTGGCATCCCATGGAAATGTTATTGCAGGTGCCATTGCAGGAATCGGCGGGGGAGGAATTGTCACGGTCGTCAGTATTGTCGTATCCGACGTTGTCTCCCTCAAGGATCGGGGCAAGTATCAAGGGATCATCGGCGTGGTGGTCGCCGCGGGGACGGCAATGGGCCCGGTGATTGGGGGCGTATTCACGGAGAAGACTTCGTGGCGGTGGTGTTTTGTATGTATCCCTTTCCAGTTTCTCCATCTTAACTGTTTCTGAATGTGTTGAGAATGTGAAATGCTGATCAATGTGGAGTTTCAATTTCTAGTATATCAGTGTTCCGCTCTCGGCGGTCGCGATCGTGATTGTCGCGTTTGCCCTGCCGCTCAAGAAGGTCAAAGGGAATGCGATGGAGAAGATCAAGAAGATTGATGGCTGGGGGAGCTTGATTAGCTTTGCGGCCTCGATCGCGATTCTGCTGCCCATTTCCTGGTGCGTGGGGCTGACATTTTCTGTCTTGGATTTGGTAGGTTCGTAGGCTAACTGACGGGCGTAATTTTTCTAGGGCTGGGACGCGATATGCCTGGACCTCGGCGGCGGTTCTGGCTCCGCTGCTGATCGGAGTCTCGCTCATAGGGGCTTTCATGTTGGTTGAGGTCAAGGTGGCCAGACTACCTTTGTAAGCTTTCCCGTTGCGTTCCATGGTGGTCTTTATCAATGCTGACAACAAATGCTAATCCATCTATTTCCAAAGAATCCCATGTTCGTTACCTGCGAAAAGTCCCCAACTCAACCCCCTGTTCCAAGCCTCCAAGCCAACACTAACAATAAATTCCCCTCTAGTATCAATGTTCAGAAACACCCACGTGGCCGTGTGCATCACCACATCCTTCCTAACCGGCTTCATGACCTTCGTCAACCTCTATTACGTACTCACCCCCTTTCTTTCCCTATCCTGTCTCACTACAAACCTAATCCCTTTTTAAAACTACAAAGCTCCCCCAATTCTACCAGGTTGCCCAAGGCGACTCCGCCCTCCGCTCTGGAATTCTTATCCTCCCGCTCGTTCTCTCCCAGATCATCACGAGCTTCACCTCCGGCTTCCTCGTCTCCAAGTACGGGTGCTACCGCATCAACCTGATCGTCGGATACGGGCTGTGGACGATCGCCTCGGGGGTCTTCACGACCGTGGACCCTGTCACACCCGCCTGGAAGCTCGTCGTCTACCAGTTGACTACCGGACTGGGGAGCGGACAGACCCTGCAGACGACGCTGGTGGCGATCCAGGCGGCTGTGCAGCGGCACGAGATGGCCGTCGTGACCGGCGCTAGGAATTACCTGCGGATGATGGGGTCGACGCTAGCCGTGGCGGCGAGTGCGGCGATTGTAAATAATGTTGTTCGGTGGGTCTGTCTCTTTTTATTGCGAGGACTAGTGCCTGGGGGGGGAGGATAACCGAGGGTGGTGGTTAAGATGATATGACATGTTCATGATACAAGCTAACTGTGTCACTCTCTGGTATAGTTCGAAACTGACTGACCTGGGCTTTGATCCCGCTGTGATTGCGGCCATTGTATCCGATCCGACGACAATTAGGTCAATGAGTGGATTGTCCGAGGTGGCGGTAACGGAGGCGTTGGATGCGTATGGTGAGTTTCTTGCTGCCACACATACCGTCCCTGGATGGCATTGACTGGTACTGACCTCTTTCTGGGTGGCTACAGCCAAAGGTGTGCAGGTAACCTATTATATGATGACGGTGTTGGCGGGGGTACAGTTTCTGCTCTGTGTGTTCTTCATCAAGGATTACTCACTGGAGCGCGAGGATGATGCCCGCGAGAAGGAGGCAGCGAAGAACTGGCTTCAGGAGCGGAAAAGGAAACAAAACGGGAAGGCGACTGTGGCGGAGGGGGTGGCTGGGGTGGAGGAGATTGAGGAACAGACGGAGGAGCGGCGGAGAGAGGTTGAAGATAGGGTCTAGAATGGGTCGGTCTTTCTTATTCTGGGTGAAAATTGGAAAGGAGTAATGTCAAGTTGGGCGTTTTTGTACTGGTTGATAGTGAGGGATAGTATTAGTGAATGTCTATTTGTGCGCATACAAAGGATCGCGGGGCAATTGAAAGGAATAAACAATGATGAAATGCCACAGAAATATATCAAAGATTATGTTACGCTAAATCAAACCACGGTGCTTTTGATGTGTATATATCTTCTTAAAGCCGCAGTCTTACTTTTCTCTATCGTTGTGAACTATTGCAAACTGGAAAATACATCATATGCTCTAATCAGTTCATTGATCGCTAAGGAAGATGTCTGTATCTCAGAGAATCATGATCCTCCAATCTTCTCTTCAATGTCTGAGTGTGTAGCTTATGCATTTACCAAGGCCTAAACTTAGGTCTCTCATATCATTGTCCCATCAGCTACTATATGACTAGCTACATACCATGCTCACCTCCCATACAACAACCACATGTCACCTATCCAACCTGTCTCTCTTTCTCCTTACCCAAAAGAGGTTAATACTGTTACTAACCACTGTACTCAATATGTTCAACAGCCTGACTCTTTACACCCCCGCGTTCGCCTCCCGCGTGATGCTGGTTAGCAGCGTCATCTTCTTCAAAAACATTGATCTTTGCGTTCCGCCACTTGCGCGGATGAAGACCCGAGCTCTCGAACAGGTAATCGATCTCACGAAAGGTGCGGCCTTTCGTTTCTGGTAGTCGGAAGATGCACCAGATCCAGATGAGGGCGTTGGTACCGGCCTGCGCGGATTCACGATAAGATAAAATCCAACAGAAACGACAGGATAAGAAGGTAGAATTACTCACAAACAGGAATGCAGTCTTGGCACCCAGGTTCCACGAACCACCGGTCAACATCTTCGGGATGAGCACATTCGAGACCAACGAGCTCACATTGAAAGCCACTCGAGCGAGGGAGATCATCTTGGCCCGGAGCTTGCCAGATGGGACTTCACCCTATTTATTCCACATTTTCCACATCAGTACAGAGTCACGGACAGGTAACGACAAAAGAAAAATGGGTGACGACTCACCACAATAGTGTACGACGACGGCGCCACCGTAGCAATATACACCACACTCGAGACTAACAACAACGAGCCCACCGCGTTCGACACCTCCGTACTCTGCTTGACGCACCCGAGCACGCCGATCGCGAACAGAAACACATCGCTGATGATCAACCCAGTAATAAAGATCGTGGCCCGGCCGAACCGCGTCATGAGCCAGATACAGAACAGCCCGAAGGTCAGATATTGGGAGTTGAGAATGAGATTCAGGTCGAATGCGCCGTGCTCAGACAGACCGGCCTGCTCGAGGAACTGCACCGTCTGCACATTGATGCCGTTCCCGCCCCAGGTCTGCGCCATCTGCACAATGCACACGATCTCCGTGCGCCAGCGGTTCTTGCCCCGGAAGCACTCGGCGTAGGTACTGGAGGCATTGAGTTCCACCTCCATGCGGTTCGTGTAGTCGATCAAAGCGATCGTCTGCTCGATTTCTTCCGGGGTGGTGTTGTCGCTGCGGATGCGGCGGAGGATGGCGCGCGCGTCGTCGAGACGACCGGCGCGGACGAGGAAGTAAGGGGATTCAGGGGCGAGAAGGAAGCAAATGAGGAGCGGAGGGACCCATACGAATTGTATAAGGAAGGGGATGCGCCAGGCTGAAAGGGATATATTAGATCCGGAGCTCTCTTGTTACTCACACCATACCCGCGAGAAGAAGAGAGACTTACCCCATTCACCGGGGACGTTCAAGCAGGCTCGGACAATCAACGAGCCAATGAAGAACCCCAGACCCCAGCAGATGCCCACCCATGCGGTGACAAACGGACGTAGACACGTCGGCACCATTTCCGAGGAATAGGCGATACAGCCGGTCTGAAAGGCACCCCATGGGATCCCGCACATTACCATGGCGGCAACCATCATTCCCAGGTTCTTCGCAAAAGCAAACAGAAATAGGGTTCCGGCTAGCATGATCATCATGCCGCTGAGAATTGGCTTCCAGCCGTATCGGTCGGCAAGGTATCCCGCCAGAGAGAGACCGATGAGCTCCCCGCACGCCATGGCTTGCTGGATGGCGGTTTGCCATTTCGCGGAAATCTCCAGAACCCCGTTATCATGCGTGCCAAATTGCTGTTTAAATTGATCCTGACCGTAAAAGGTGGTGGTCTGCCGCCGGCATTGCAGAAGGGTTAGTTAGGGCTGGACATCGGCGGCGGGGGAAACGCGGGGGCGTGGGGGGAGTTAACAAGGGTGTGGGGGCTCCACTCACGCATGTCGCATCCGCCGCCTGCATGGTCAGCGTGAAGGAAAAGACACATGCCCAGAAGACAGCTTTACGATATTTTCGGATGGCCTGCCACCAGGTAAGTGCGTGGTCCGCAGCATTGGCAGCGTGGGCCCTCTCGATGAGAGTGGTCTGTTCGATGTTTAGTTCGGGATCCTCGGAGTCAGCCATTTTGACAAGGACATCTCTGGTCTTGTATGGCTCCAGTGGGAACAATTGCCTCTAAATGGTCCTCCGAACTTTGCGGGGAAACGTGAGGTAAACAAGGTCCGGCTATACTTTATCGCGTCTCATGCAGGCTTTGTAGGTGTCTCGTGGAGCTACGGGCACTGTACCTCGTATCCATCAGCCCATATGACCCGAGGCGATGCTCGCCAAATTACCGCCTGCCAAAGCTTAAGGATTGTGGCTCGCTAATTTCGCCTAAGTGATAATAGGCTAGATGCCATGGCCTAGCCTCAAACACCCCTCAAAGCTTGTCTTCGTGTCCATTTGAGCTCGCACCTGCCATAATCTACCGCTCTTCTTTTGCCACATTGCTCATACCACTAATCCCACCACAATCATGTCGCAAAGTTCACGACCCATGTACGCGTACGTCGGTAGCTTTGTTATGCCGACCCCAGGCGCACATGACGGGCTACGTGTCTTCCGCGTGGATTCCGAAACGGGAGCCCTAACGCCCGTCTCCTCCCACATCCCCGGCCTCAACGTAGGTAGCTTCGCTCTCGACCCTCAGCGCGGCGTAATTTACGTGACCGACGAAGTAGCGTCGACCTTGGAGTTCCGCGAGCAACACCAGGTCGCCGGTGGCGGAGGCGGACGGATCTTCGCCTTCACGATCGACCGAGCGACGGGCGACCTGAGCGAACTCGGCCACTGGCCCAGCTACGGCACGCAGCCCGCGGGAATCGCCCTACACCCCAGCGGCAAATTCCTGGTGGTCTCGCATTTCACCAACCGCACCACTACAACCACTCAAATCACCGGGACCGCGCAGTTGGGCTTCACAATCAGCCCTCGCTATGACGACGCGACCACCGTTCTCTTCCCCATCGACGCTATCGGCCGCATCGGCGCCCCCTGCGACATCCACATCCACACACCCACCTCGCCGCCTTCGTGCCTGCACTCTATCACCCTCTTCCCAACCAGCACCAACGACAACAACACATTTTACCTAGAATGCGACATGCTTCAAGAAAAGCTCTTGACCTTCACACTCACCGACAAGCCTCCTCTTCTCCGCATTCATGCATCCCATGCCACTCCAAAAGGCAGCGGACCACGCTACTCCGCTTTCCACCCCACCCTCCCTGTCTTTTACGTCAATTACGAATACTACCCCATCATCGAGACCTTCACCTACCAGTCAGATGGTTCCTTCGCCTCCTTGTCCAAGGTGGAAGTCCTCCCATCGGCGGAGGAACTGGAAGCGAGTTACCCCCCACCGGAAGGGAAAGTTCTGCTGTCTGATCTGAAGGTGCATCTAGGTGGGGGGTTTGTCTATACTCTTGTGCGGGGATATAATGTGCTCAGTGTTTTTCGAGTTGATCATACCACGGGAGCGTTGGAGCGGATCCAGACGGTCGGGTTGATGGGTGGGGTTTCGCCCAAGGGGTGTGCGGTCAGCCCCGATGGACGGTTCATGTATGTGGCACTTGCGGTGAGCGGGCTGGTGCAGGTATGGCGGGTGCAGGATGAGAATGGTGGAAGGCTGGTGTTTACGGGGTCAACGGTTAGTGTGCCGAGACCGGGGGCTGTTTTGGTGCTTGAGATATAGATTTCTTGTGTGTGGTTTAGATGAATTTATTATCCGATGACTTAGATATAATCTTCAGACTTTCATCAGACCTTGATTCGAGGTAAAATATGTAAGAACACCAGAACTCCGGGTCGAGAGTGTTTGGAAATGATTATGGATTTCGGCAGAGTTATACATACTGGTAGCAAACAATCTCAAATGATCTGGATATTGTATTTGCTTTAGTGTTCAGCGTTCACCCTGTCACTTCCAGCAACGCTCCCATATAAATCAATGTATAGCCAGCATCTCTAACGCATCATTTGCGCGATCCAAAGCATCACAACCACTTCTCCTTCTCCTCGACCACCTTGGCTCTAGCATCCCACCAAAACTGCAACCCCGCATCATTCAACCCTCCCAGCACGTCCTCCGCCGTATGCGGCGCCCCGGGGACAATGGCCTTCCCAAACTCAACCCCCCACGCCGTCAGCGTCTCCCACATATGCTCATGCGCCTCGCGCAGCCGCACATCCTCCCCCCCAATCAACAACCGCAACTCCGTCTTCTCCCGCTTCACATGCTCCAACTGCCTCTCCAACAGCGTCAACGCATGATTCGCCGTGAAAAACGCCTGACTGCCATTATACGTATCGTAGGTCACCTCCCGCCCTTCATCTGCGAGCTTGGTCCGAAAGCTGCCGGCGAGGGAACTCAGCGCCCCGCCAAAGACCTCGGGGTACTTCAACCCCAGATTCCACGCCCCGTAGCCGCCGGCCGAGTGGCCCTCCAGCCACCGCGCCGAGGGGTGCCGGATCGTGCGGTACCGCTCGTCGACGGCGGCCACGAGATCGCGGCGCATGATGTCGCCCAGCGGGCGCGCGCCGTCGTAGCTGTTGATCCAGCGGCCCTTGGGGAGGGCCTGCGCGGCGATCAAGATGCAGGGGGGCATCTTGCCGAGTACCATCTTCCGGGAGTAGAAGCGCAGCGACCATTCCGCGTGTCGCGAGCAGGAGAACCCGCCGTGCAGCCAGTAGAGAACCGGGTACCGCGGCCCCTCGAGGTCAGTGTCCGAGTAGCCCGGCGGCAGGACTACCAGGTAACTTCCCTGGGCGCCGGGTCCGCGGGTCGGTTGCGAGTACAGGGCGTATTGGATCTCCGAGGGTAATGCCCATACGTCGGTGTCAATCCACATGTGGTTGTAGGCATCCAGTAATGCGGCGGGCGGGTGCCAGCGGCCCTTGTAAGGGGGGATCCGGGGGTAGACTTCCGAGGAAGGAGTGGTGGTGTTTTCGACTGTCATCTTATTGGGGAGATGGGAACGTTGTGATGATAATGGGGCAGAAATTAATCTGCTTGGTGTGCTTGAATGTTGTTTGATTTTATGAGTGTATGGTTGGTTGAGATGGTTGAGAGTGTAATGCGATCGTGAGTTATAAGGGTGGGCTGGCCCGAGTCCAGTATGCGGGGCTGCGGGGGTGGAGGGGTAGAAAGCCACCCAATCTTGGGCTGGCGAGCATCGTTACCGGCGCGGGGGATTAGGCGAATCTCGCCTGCGGATTGCCGGGGAGTTTCGCTCGCAATCTTTGTCCACCGAGGTCGGGGTTTCGGGGTCGCGAACAACAGCGGCCAGCGCGACTGCAGCTGCCTCTCCTCGCGCCGCATTCGCCTTTCTCCCGGTCGGTACGGTGCAAGTTTGTTTGCGATCTTGCTGCTTTTATTGTTCAGCTCACTGTCGGCCCCGGTGCTCTAGTTGGCCCTCTATGTTATGGCCCATGTGTTCCCCCTACTCAGGACTATGGCATAAACGTGAACTTGTACAGTACCCTAGCAGTCAGTGTGATAGTGTATAGACCTACGGACAGAAGGACGCGAAACTACTTTTTGTTTGGTCACTTTAGAACCGTTTCTACCACGTTGAAAAAGGATGATAATCTCAATATGCACTAAGCTTCATATGCTCAGCAGTATTGTTCCTTGATATCGCAAGCAAAAGAATCAAAGAGGAATGTACACTAATACAAAGTGAATCGGATGGTCTCGCTCATGAAATATAGAACAGAACAGTCTCATGAAGACAAAAAATATGGAGAATGATTGTCTTCAATCTCAAAACATAAGAATTATCATACCAGCCAGAAGGTAGCGATACGATCCTCGAACTAAGATCATACGCACCCTGTCAAAAGCAAACTTAGTCGCCAACCTAGATCAGTCATCGACCAAACACACATCCCCAATCTCGTTTGCGGTTATGTGGTTCAACCGCTCCCGCTTGACCACTGTTCCCCTTGTCATGCAACCCAAACAACTCTGGAGGTTTCCTCTCATATTGTGTCCTTCTCGCGGTTGGAGCTCTGGGTGCCATATGAATTGTTAATATAGGTCTTAGGATAATGAGTAGACAGTAAATGAAAGCCAGCTCGGAAGATCTTTCAAGGAAAGCGCCTCGATCGAGAAAGAGATAATGTTTCCGACATCTACTAATACATGATAATAGGAAATGGCCAGATTCGGGGTCTCTGGCTGTACGAAAGAGATGGAATGACAATATTATGAGTAATGCACCCGAGAAAATACCGGCGTACTCAACAATTGCTGGTACAATAAAGAACAATGGCACCTGAGTCCGAGTGCAAGCAGGATTTGAAACAGTATGACTCGAGCCGAGCCCTAAGCGGAAGCCACACCCTCGATTAACCCAATCCACTTCTTCGCTGTGACCTCCTATCTAAATTTCAGTAATCATACCACCGTGCAGGAATAGTTGGGAGCTTTGTAGCGGAGGCAATCGAGGTGCAGAGCAACACGAGCAATCCAAGGTTTTACCTGTGGGGCGAGTCTTCGGAAACCCCCACCCGAATACGAAGGGCGCCCTTCGAGCGAACTTCATCTTTGATCAAATCGTGCAGATGATACCACACGTCATGTGAGGTACAGACTGGAGATCCTCGTGTAACAAAAGACGCGTTCGAGTCACTGTATAGCGGAGGAAGGATGACGATGAGCGAGTTGTTCAGATTATTTTCAGCGCTTCTCCGTGGAACATGTAGCTTTCTGTGACCGTGGGTCAAATATCTACTCTTCGTAATGTATTCACCTGGTATAGAGGAGTGGATGAGGCGAAAGGCTGGCAAAGGCTGGAAGCGGTATGGGCGAATCACAATCAGACAGCTCTCGGTGACGAAATGCCGTCTCCCGGAGCTTCTACACGAGAAGTCCTTCTATAAAGTCTCAAGCCTGCCAGTCAGAGATATAACTTAAGGCTGAAAATCGTCTTTTGTAGTCTCTGTTAACATTTGATCTGCATCTCTTGATACGATCTCACTCATACTACTACTCATCATGGGTAGATACGAATTGCTTGCCATACTTCTACTCGGTGAGGGACCTACAACTCGCCACGTACTCGGCGACTCAGTGGGCGCATATGACTGACACAGCAGGGCAAAGGCGCTGGAGTTGAGCCTCAGGTCGGCAACCCCGGCGGCAATAGTGCCTGTGCCAAATGGTGTGCACAGAACTTCCCCAGTAACCCCGGGTCCTGCACATCGCAGGCAGCCAAGAATGGAGGGCCATGTTTTGAGTGTGGCCCATTCCAAACGTCACTAACTCCCAAGATGGTCTGTTCTGGAATATGTACAGACATCACCACCGTGCAAAACTGCGGCAAGTGTGGAAACGCAGTAAGTAGGCCTAGCCCTAAACTCCAGCTCCTCCCGCTTCTCTAACATTGAAGGGATAGTGCGCAGCAAGCGAGGTCTGCGAGTCTGGTGTGTGCCGTCCTCAAAGCAACTGCAATGACCACAACCAATGTGGCGTTGAGGGGTGTGGGAGTTGTGGCTGCGGTGGCGGGACTGCCTGCCACAGTGGCCAGGAGCATCCTGGTGCGGGATATTGCGTCTTCTGTGCGGCTTGCAGCGAGGTTCCGGAGGAATGCGGGCCCAACAAGAAGTGCCCAGAGCACAGTATCTGCGTGCAGACCTGTTGTACCGGCGATCAATTTACTCCTGGGACTGGTACCTCTAGATGCATTCCACCGAAATTTCTGAAATGTTCTTAAGCCAAATTATCTCCCTCTCTCTGTCTTTCTCCCGACAGTTTCGGTTCGCTGCCTAACAGCAATCTGCGCCTTTGAAACGTAAGTTTGTTTGACTCAAAAGTGTACGTTAACTTTGTAGGAAGCCAAGCCATGAGAAGAAAAATGTTGATGTCGACAAGTACGGGGTATAATTTTTGCTGAGCAGCCCTGAAATATATCTGCCATGCCTAGAGTAGAGAATAACAGCAAGCCATATCATGCATATAGGATGTCTGACTCTAGGAATACGCAAGAGCACCCGCCTTGAGCATCTATGCTACGGAGCTATTGGCTGCAGATGATCTCCAGAGTAACGTATTGATTGGGGTTTTTGAGGACTTGGAAAACGTCGGACCAGACATTTTGGCCAGTGGAGTCTCGAACGGAGGACAGGAAGAGGGGGGATTAGGTAGGGTCAAGCCACTTGTAGCAGGTTGCAGTATCTAATTTCAAATTATGCTGGCAGCTTGCCTTGCCAACTACCTCTTCATGCGCCGTTAGGATTGCGCTTCCAAATCCGGTTGGCTCTGTGTCCTGCCTGAGGTTACTTGGGCGCCCCGGCTCTGGAAGTCTAGTTATACTATCTTTCTAACCCACCCAGCAAGTGAAAAGGGATATATTACATTAGGGTAATCTTGTGTGACAGCGGCCCCATGAGTGGTAAAGCACTACTGGAAGGCCTCGCTCTAACAAGAGATTAGTTGTCCACGGATTGGATTGTTAGAGGGCTTTGGAGTAAGATTATAGATTTAAATGCAGGAACTGGGATCTAAATTTGGCACGGGGTAGGTCGCTGTATTAAAGATGAATATCATAAGATAGCAAAAAACATACAACAGAAGGGATTCGCTGGTGGTCACCCACCCAACTACTAACCTCCCGGCGTGTGGCTTAAGTACGGCTGAGCGGACGGGAAGCCCTGTTTTCCACACCCTGTGGTCGTATGTGCTAGAGAGAACTTCGAAGAAAAATATATAGACTGCCACATTATGCAACTAGGCAGAAGCGATAAAGCATCCAGGCTCCGTGGCGAAAACCTGCAATGTTCCTGCCGCGGAGCAAAGCATGCCAAGGTGCCAAGTCTCAACCCTCTATTGGATTTATTTCCGCCTGGCCTACAGCCAAGTCTTGGACAATCTGCAAATTCTTCCCTGATCAATTCCCCCTGACAGCCAGTACATAATACCCCCTTCAACTCTAACATGACCGGCGACATCGAGCTTGAGCGGCTGCGGGGATCCCTCGTGAGCCCGCCCAGCACTTCGGCCTGGAGCCAGCAGATTCACCGGCGCATCCGGCGGGCACACAACTATCACACGGAACAGAACCTGCACATCAACCGACTGATCCAGGTGGCTGAAGACCCAACTGCTGCGCGGCTGCTGGACGATGAGCCGGATACGTCGTCCCTGCACGTCAAAACCGCCATCAACACCTCCATCTACGGCACCATCCTCGTCGCCGCGCTGCAGATCTACGCTGCGGCGACGACCCGGTCCCTGTCCCTCTTCGTGACCATGGCCGAGAGCTGCTGCGAGGCTGTCAGCAACATCGGCCTCGACTACCTGCACCGGAAGGCGCGGAAGCTCAACCACTCGACCCAGTGGCCCGCCGGCGCGGGCCGGCTCTGCAACGCCGGCAACATCTGCTTTGCCTTTGCGCTGATGGCCGTCTCGCTCGTCCTGGTCGTCGAGTCGATCCGGGCCCTGGCGGGTAGTGACCACGAGCTGGGCAAGTTCGACGTGGCCGCGGTCATTGCGGCGGCGTGCGGGTTCGGCATCAAGCTGTTCCTGGCCGTCTACTGCTTCATCTTCCGCAAACACAGCAGTCAGCTACAGATGCTCTGGGAGGACAACCGCAATGACTGCTTCGAGTACGGGTTCGCCATCTTCACGTCGGCGGCGGGCGCGAAGCTGAAGTGGTGGGTCGATCCGGCCGGGGCCCTGCTCATCGGCCTGGTGATCATCGTCACCTGGATCGGCACCGTCCGGAGCGAATTTCTGGAGCTGTGCGGCCTCGGCGCGTCGCCCAATTTGGTGCAGGAGGTCGTATTTTTGACGCTGCGCCACTCCGATCTGATCTTGCAGGTCGACTCGGTCCACGCGTACCACTGGGGCGAGGAGTTGTTTGTCGAGGTGGACATCGTCATGGCGCCGGAGCTCAGTCTGCGCGAGGTCCACGATGTCGCCCAGGAGCTGCAAGATAAGCTGGAGTCGGTCGAGGGCTTTGCTCGGGCCTTTGTTCATGTTGACTACGGTAAGACTTTGGTGTAATTCCTATACTGATTGTGTTACGGCTGATTGATTTTTTCCCAATGCCAGAAACTTCGCATATGCCCGAGCATCGCAAAACCCGCTGATTAGGCAGACATTGAGGCTGTGAAAAGAGCGCACATTTCTAACGCCGGATTTACGGCACTATATCAGCCCGAATAGGAACGATTGACATTGTATTTTGAGATGACTTGTGTAAGCGGTCTGAAGGATTGAACCCCAGTTCAATCCATATAACTCTGTAATGCTGTCTTCGACAAGTCTTTTCTCAATGAGACAAAGCTAGTATATTACCTGAATTGATGAATACTATTGGCTATTCTATCTCAGCTGATATTGATGTAGAAAATATTCATGTTAAGTTTCTTCTGAACATTTTACAATGAAATGTCTATATGTCTAGAGTTATATACCAGCAATTCGATCTAGAAGCCAATTGCCTTTTTCAGATCTATCAGAGAACTCCATGCTCCTCCAATTGTGATCTGCTCCATTTTATATTAGGAAGGGCAGGGGATTTATCAGGTCGATCTCTGGGTAGAGCGGGCCTTCCTCTCCTCTTGTCACCTAATGAATGGAATACTTGTACGGTTGTAATTATCATCGCTTGTAGCCTCACACGGAAGAGATTAATGAAACGTAGCCTAGCTGATTCTGGCTAGGGGTGGAAAAGGATGAGCTTCTTGGAAGCTACATTCTATTGGCAAGCTCGGGTGGTTGTGGGGAATGTAGGGCACGGTAAACAGGAAGCAGGTGATTGGGTCTGGAGAAAATGAAGTGCTAGATGGCCAGAGGACTCTTACTCTTTGCTGTACTGTTTCAAGTGGACGGGCCTGGCTCGTGCTTACGGAAAATTATCAACTCGGCTAATGCCTACACAAGTGTACATAAACTGTACATTCAAGGTTGCGATAATTACCGCGTACTTCGTACTGAGGGCACAAACCTCAGTCCATTCACTGCTGCATGGCATTGACGACCAGAGCACACTAGGCGTACCGCAGCTAGGGGTGGAGAATGGGCTGCGGCTCGAGGCGCTGACGGGCGCCCGGTACTGGCTGCGGACTCACAGCCCCCGCCTCGATTTCCGGGGTTTGATCGGGTGGTTCTATCGGAGTGTTCCGCGGACGCTGGACGAGGGACTAGATCAGGTGGAGCGAGAGACCGGAACCAAGCGGGCGAGGCCGAATTATGTGGAGGTGCCGAATGGGGAGAGTGTGGTGTTGAATTGAGGGTATTGTGTTAAAAGCTCTGGTGGTTGGTGCAGATGCTGCGGGTTCCGAGTGCGACAAAGTTATCAAGGGGAGGGCAGTGTGACCATCAAGTAGAGACACATAGTGATGAACTTTCATCCAGCTTGGAGAGAGGTGGAAATGGATTCGCCGGAAATATTGAACAAAGCAATTCAATCCGGAGGGATGATCGACCAGTTAGTATCTCACCTGGTTAGTATCAACAACATTTGGACCTGTAGTTTATAACAGTTACAGCAAGCTTTCCATAGCCTTTCTACAGTCTACCTTCTCACTTGACCTTCTATTTGGCGTGGGACTTAAAGCAATGTCCACGCCTAGCCAGCAGGTGCTGTACTGTACATCATTAAGTCATCGAACCTCAAATGCACACATAAATTTCCAGTTCTATGTTGACTCCCTGTTCATATCAAACAATACCTCATAGCTATATACACACGACAGTCAAAACTTTCCCAACTTCCAAGTTGCATGTATTAACAGATCAAATCAGCATGAAGACAACCACTCCCACAATTGCAATGGCAGATCCTACACCCGCACGCAGCGAAGCACCCATGCTATCAGTAGTCGATGACGAAGTCGCATTCGCCGGCCCAACGGCGCTCAGAGAAGCTGTCGGCTGATAAGCCGCCGGAGTCTCGTCGTCAACGGTTCCATTCCAGCAATAACGTTGGAAACACTTCGTGCAAGCCTCCGGGACGGTAGTACCGGTCCGGTTCAATGAGCGACTGAGAACCGCACAACCAACACAAGTCGACCAGTCCGCATCCAGTGTGCCATTCGCCTGCGTCGCAACATTGTATCCATTGGTGATGATCGCATCTCGCTGGGTATTGTTGAATTGACCCTCCGTGAGCGAGAAGTTCGAGCTATAGGTAATCGGGTGGTTGGGCAGGTAAACCACCAGGGGTGTCGGCGTAGTCAGACGAGAGGCGTTGCAGCCGAAGAAAGTCGGACGAGCGTTCAAGCCCAGATTGAGGAATGTGTCGAGATCTGGAATCTCAGGGAAGGAAGTGTCGTTGGCGACGTTGAGGAGGGTGCGGTTGTAGGTTGCAATCAGGGATGAGCCGGTCGGCCAGTAGTCGTAAGATGAGGAGCCGAGGGAGTCGACGGCGAAGATCACGTCGACGTTGCGCTTTTGCTGGATCAGTGGGTACAGTGGGACATTCTGGCTGGTTTCGCCTCCGTCTTGCACGATCAAATTGGTGGTCTGTGCGTATGGTGAGGTGGCCGTGTTGTATTGGTAGAAGGGGTTCGGATCGTAGGCTGCCGGTCCGTCAATACTGGAGTTGGTCGAGCTGGCGGCGTTCTCAAAGTCCTGGACAGCGGTCTTCAAGAACGCTGTCATGCTGGAATTTGGCGCAGCGGCTTCGTACCGATCTAGGATATACTCCAGGTAAAAGAGAATATCCTCTCCGTTCTCGTTCCAGATATCGCTTGACGAGCCGGTAATGAAGCCCGCATTGTCGAAGCCCCGGACGCAGGTTTCGTTGTCTGGCACTACACCGTTGACGAATCGAGTACCAAGATATTCCAGGGGCGCGAAGCCGTAGATATCGTCATCATAGGTACCCCATTCCCAAGGCGTGGTTTCGTAGATGGGGTATGTTGCAGGGGAGGTTGACAAGGTCTCGGTGCTTTGCTGATTGCCAGTCATGACTACCAAAGGCATCGGGATATCACCACTCTGGAAGGACTCGGTCTTTGCAATTGAGGACCAGGTGTAGTCAACACCCCCATCGCTAGCATTGAAGAAGTTGTATCCCTGGATGCGGCCCCTGTGAACTTATGTCAATATCATTCCTTGGCTCAAGGGAGCAAGCAAGCTTACCAGAAATCTGCATCACCAGTCTTGAATCCAGCCTCCCGCTTGCTCTTAACGTCGGCCGAGATGTTACCCCAAAATTCGACATGTGAAATCTTCTCAGGACCATATATAATCTCCTCCGAGTTAAAATCCCACAGGTTCTCCTGTAGGTTCGAGACTGTCGTGAAATTATTGACGTAGATGGAACCGAGAGCCCAAGAGCCGCCGCTGAGGGCCGCGAAATAGGTAGCTGACTGCAGCAGACCCCCAAGCTGACCTTTGGCCGTTGATCCTTCGGTACGTTCATCGAAGGCCTTGATTACACCTCCTCCATTCAGACACGCGACAAGACCACCGCCCGAAATGCCAATCGCGACATTAGGTAAGTCGTTGCCAGTGTGGTTCGCGATGTAGCTCACAGCATCGAAATTTTCAATCTCAATATGCCCAAAAAAGTCTTTCAAGGCGGACTCGGTCTTCTGACGACGGGCTTGGAGCCATGCTGTCTCATTGGAGGACAGTGCGGAAGCAGGCCGAATTGTAGGTCGGCTCGATGGACAGGTAACATGGGCCGGAGCATAGCCGCTTGGAGCGTCTGGAAGAGCGCGAGGCTTGATATTCACATTCCGTGAAGCAAGGTCTTCTTTGATGGATATGGCTCCAGCATGGGTAACTGAGATTGATCATCGTGAGCTTTTGATATTAGTGCAGCAGAAATGGGTGACAATTTGAGGCCCCCACTTCCTCTCAGCGACTTACAGTCTATGATGTTGAGGGACATCAAGCCCAAGAATGCAGAGGTCTTCATGGCACCGCACGTAACAAATTAACAATAAACTGATCCTGCGCCTTGGAAGACAAAAGTTTTCATGTACTGGGACCTCAATCTGGGTTTTGAGAAAAGTCGAGCTATTTATCCTCACAGCCCGCCTAAAGACCAGGTCGATGCCAAGCAGATAATCAAACAGCGTTCCAAAAACAACGGAGAACAATTTGCGAGGGTGGAGTCTGAGGCTGAGATGGCGCAAGTAGCCCCAGCATAAGTAGAAGATGCCATCTGCAATTGGCGACCGGGCGCATCTCGATGTGGTATATGACTCGGGATCGTCGGGCTGAGGTGGATCTCCTCAGGGCCCAAAACGGCGTTAGCGTTGGTGCACTAGACTAGATCGAGGAAGCAGTTCGGCACCATGCCTCATCGGATCCACATGGCTGAGCTTACATCGAACAAGCCTCACATTTTCCCTTGCCGTCAAGAACAGACTCAATCTCGGTTACTGGCTCAAAAAAAAAGCAGTATGATCTCGGGAGCCAAGTGAGAGGCTGTAACTGCCACGTCATCAGGTACACGTGCGGTCATACCAGATTCCTGGCTGGCAACTCCGCCACCATCGGTTAAGGAGACGCATGAAGCATACATAATAAGCGCTGGACACGGATGCCGACTGCATAGCTGAGCTTCCGTGCGGGGAAGTCACTTGTCTTCTCCATAAAACCCATTTTGATGATATAGCTGTGCACGGTACCCGGAAATGAAAGGCTGAAAATGACCTCTTACTGAAGCACAATCCTGCTCACATGAACCCTATAATCTGATATATTGTAATCCTGACCCCATGCAACCAACCCCTGACAAATCCCATACCTACTAGTGAAACTTTCTTGATCACCTTTTTAGAGTTGTACCTCCATATCGAAATGTTTGGAAATGTCAATATGACTCGGCATGCCACACCTGCGGCGGGTTGATAACTTAGTGCTAGAACAGGATCCACCAAGCAGGCCCAGGGCCCCGCACATCTCATCAGCTTCGAATGACTTACTCTTGAATATAATACCCGAGGCGAAGATAAAAGTCCGATGGCAATCGGCAGTGAGCGCGGAGTACCACTCCAGAACACATCGGACAAGCACAATACTACTACTAAAAGTGTTTAGGGCAGCGACAAGACGGGCGGAGAACCATCGGGACTTCGAATGTTATCGGCAGTCGGCAAATCCGCCCGGGTGCGAACCACAAAAGAGATAACGCCATTTCGCTCCCCACACACGCACTGCAACTAGCACAAGAACTGTAGTACCATACAAATACCCTCACTTCCCTCTCACTCCCGTCTATCTCCTCCCAACTACCCCGCAAATCAACTTGAGAATTAAGATGCCAGACCACACCCGTCTCCCAACCTATTTCATCGGCCACGGTACCATCACCTACAACCAAACCCCTTCACCATCCACTAACCCAAGGGGAGGAAAAAAATAGGCGGCGTCTCCATCCTCTTCAAACCGGGCTACGGCCCCGTCCAAGACGAACTCCGCCAAATCGGCCGGGAGATTCACGGCCTCCGTCCCGAAGCCATCGTTGTAGTCAGCGGACACCACCAAAGCGAAAACCTCGGGGTGGTAGAAATCAACCTCAAGGAGCCCACGAAGGTCTGGCACGACCTCGGCCCCAGCTGGAAGAATACTTACCCGCACGTCTTCGAGTACGAGTACCCACACCAATCATCGCGCGCGTTGGGTGAGCAGGTTTTGCAGCACCTGCAGGGTCATGGGATTCGTGCCGAGGGGGTGGAGCGGGATTTGGATCATGGAATGTATGTTTTTCGCTCTTTGCTAACTTTCGGTATGATGTGAAGTGTTTTATCGGTTGATCATGGAAAGCTAACCTAATCCTCGAAAATAGTTGGGTCCCCTTCAAGCTCATGTTCCCGGAAGGCAGTCCCGAGGAATTGATCAACGTGCCCATTCTCCAAGTCTCCTCGTTTGCAGAGGATGATTACGCGGCGCATGTAGAGTTAGGACGGGCATTGGCGAGGCTGTAAGTGTGACATATTTTTTTATTTCACTCCCCGCCCCTTGTGGAGTACTCTCAGCAGGAAAGAGAACAGAGAAGAGCAAACCTAACAAGACCGAACAGCCCCGGTCGCATCCTTATCGTCGGCTCCGGGATGCTATGTCACAACCTCAGAGCCACCCGCGAGAGCACCGACCTGACTGTCGTCAAGGCGATTGAGACAGCGGCACTGCAGATTCTGGAAACAACTCCCCAGACGACACAAGGCTTGACAGAGGCATTCCTGCAGTTGCCGAGGCGGCCAGATTGGCCGCTCGCACATCCGACGGTGGAGCATGTCTTGCCGTTGTATGTGACTTTGGGGGCGGCAGAGGAGATTGAGTCTGCACAAGGGAAGGAGGGACTCGAGGAAGGAGACGTGGAATCGTGGAATCGTAATCAGTATATTGTCGGTCAGTCGTATTTGTCTTTCCGGCTGGGGCGGGCTTCGACTTAGAGAGAACTTGTCGGAAATAAGACGATCATAGAAGATGCGAGCGATACAGCCATGAATTTGTCTGTAGTAAACGGAGCAAACAACCACGTAGTGCAGTGAGCATTGATACGGAGTGATGTGTTGAATCAGATATAAAAGACATGGGGTCTAAGGTGTTGTAGGGCTGCCCTATAAAGTAAAAGGAGCCTAGCTTGATAGGGATTGGGGCAATCAATCCCGACTGCAAATTTAACTCTCTGTTCTTGGCCGCGCTTCATGTCTTTTTTTGTTTTTATTTATTTATTTTTTTATTTTATTTTTTCCTTTTGAGAACAATAAAAAAACCCAGAAAAGAGGAAATCCGGTAAGTTGCTGAATTACAGCACGGTGTCTTTTTGATCGAAATTGACACGGGAGCCAACGCAAGACCGAACAGCCAACCACTACAAAGCAGCTGTGGATGAATAACCTGCATCACATCCAGTGAACTCTTCGGAAAACACGTGGGACTGATGATGACATGGTATGTACAAAATATGTATTAAGTATTTTCAGGATGACTGGGTGTGTGTAAACAGACGGGAAGGCTGTGTATTATCGTGTCTCAGTTACCTCTGAAAGCTCTCACACTAAGCCATCCCAGGTATATAGCTCGGGACAACCGTAATTCCCATCCAAATCATACTCTGTCAGGCTGGGGACAAGGGATGACGCTGCAAAGCTAATGTCTGTTGAGTTGTCTGTACGTAACTATGGTCACAGATCGTAAGTTTCGACAAACCATGTTCATCTATGTTCTTGTCAAGTGGCCTGATTTGGAAAAATATATATCAGCGAGAAGGTCCTTCTTCTTGGAACCAAATTCGAGCCTTCCTGCTCCATATATACATGACCCCGGAGCGCAATGCTTCCGTCTACCTACGATATGTCACTTGTGCGCAGCTGGTCAAAGACTCACACAACAGAAGCAAGCTATTGCATTCACTTGTACCATTTTCCGACCAGTGAATTTCAAAGATAGGATTGATGGCTCCTTTTATCCTCGCATTAATTCGACACGCATCAAGTCTTCCACGAAATAATACTGCATTCAGCAGATCTAATACCCAAAGCGGAGAAAAGGAAAAGAAGATACAGATTCACTACCACTCTGCCACCTCTCTAAGCCAAGAAGAGCTAATTCGAAACTAACCGTTCAGCCCCAGCCAAAGCCTCGCAAGTCCGCCCCAAGGGGTTCTGCATCATCACAATGATCAGAATGATAGAGCAAAAAGGAATTTCATCGCAGTCCAGAATATCTCTGTGGATACTGTTACATCAGCAAGCATCTACGGACTAAATGGCTTGAGGAAAGAGACTGAGCAGGTTGAGTTTCAGGTTACGAAATTTGTGATATAAGGTTTGGCAGAGATAATCCTTTTAATAATGTTGACTATCGATTGTTGGTACGTATAATTACACCGTCGAATAATGCTGACCCTGATCATATATAGGTCGGTTCCGCTCGCAGTTTTCACTACACTCTGCTGGATGGACTGCGAGCCAGTTTAAATTTACAGAATGAGACAACCAACTCACGTTGTTTGGCTGGAGGCCTCATGCGGTGGGGTGACCCAGCTAATTTGTTTGCTGTCAAGAATGCGCTACAGTTGGGTTCTTCGTATACACAGGAACCATAGCCATTGCCCCAGCCTTGCCAGCGCAGCGGATGACGATTTGTGCTTGGCAAAGTGGGCACTTGGTCTTTCGCCATGGAAGTTTCTGAATGGCCAAATCGTTAATTCCTGTTCCTGTTCGAGTGATTCCCAATGTAGATCCGGCGGGCCAAGCCGCCCAACATCGGATGGCTGTGCGGCGGATTTTGAGCGCCATAAACTCAAACGCAAGGCTACCTCAAGGGTAGCTTTGCACTGCCCGTCATGACGTGCCCCATGCTTGGTAGATGTCTGCTTACGACTTGAAATGTATATAAGTGCTCAGCACGACGCAAGATACCCTAAGGAATTCCCAACCCTGGGCTCTCATTCGGAACTAACTTCCATGATGCGGCCATCATCACAATCTATCATTTTGTTTTCAACTTTGGTACTCGTTGCCACTGCTGACCGCCTGGGTCCCATATACCCAGCACCGGTCGACCTTTCCAACCCCCAGAGCCTTGTTAGGGCTGTCTGGGAGAATCTCACAAATACCATCGATGACTATTTAACCCACCCTTCCAAGAATGGATCGACTACTCTTTTGGGAATTGAGAACATCACATTCTCAGCTGGGTTGTTCTCGGTTCATGATCCGGAAGCGAAGAAACTCCAGTATCATTGGACCAGCCCTGAAATCGCAGAATCCACCAATGGAACCAGGAAGGTGGATGGCGATAGCATCTTCCGTATCGCGAGCGTCAGCAAGCTGTTTACCACTTATGCAGGCATGCTCTCTCTAGCCGAGGATGAGTGGAATCTTCCCCTCTCTGAGATCTATCCCGGCTTCGCCAAGTATGCAGCAGAAGCCGCCGATGCCCCGGCTTGGCACATCAATTGGGATGAGACCACGCCGTGGGCTTTAGCCTCCCAGAGCTCGGGTATCCCTACCCAAGGGGGCCCGTTCATGGATCTACTGTGGCAATACGTAACGGGGCAGAGCCTCATAAGCCCGATCACAGCCTACGGACTTCCGCCAGAAAACACGAGCAGCTTGGGGCCATGCTACGGCTCGCTTGAAGAGGCACTTGAGTTGTGTGACGGCACAAATGTGATCGATGCTATGGGATCACGACCTCCGACGTTCAAGCCTTGGTGGACTCCTATGTACTCCGACGCCAACTTTGAGATGCTGGCGCTCATGATCTCCAATATCACTGGGAAGTCGATATCAGACATCTATCAGGCAGAGATCTTCGACTCGCTGAACCTGAGCTCAACTTTCTCCTCTCCGCCGACTAGCAATGTGACCCAGGCCCGGGCTGTTGTCGCGGGTCCTGCAGCAGAGGGATTCTACCTGGAGATTCCTCTTACTACCCCATCCGGAGGGATTTACTCCACAACCAACGACCTCGCTACATTTGGTGTTTCCATCCTCAACCACACGCTACTCCCCGAAGCTACCACGCGCAAATGGATGAAACCTCAAACTCACACAGCTAGTTTGACCGCCTCCATCGGTGCCCCATGGGAAATCGTTCGTGTCGTGAGTCCCACCACGGGCAGGGTGACAGACATTTATACCAAGCTAGGAGACTCGGGCTATTATGGCGGCATTGTGGCTCTGATTCCAGATTACGATGCCGGTTTCAGCATCCTCGCAGCCTCTACGAGCGATCAACGCAGTGCTCTGACCAACGTAATCCTGGACTATATTACCCTGTCTGTGCTTCCAGCTCTAGAGGCCCAGGCCGCTCTGGAGGCAGCTCAGAATCTTGTAGGCACATACGTCTCAGAGGATCCTAGTCTCAATTCCTCCGTCACTATTGCCGTTGACAATTCAGTCGGTTCCTCAAGTTACTTCCATGGTCTGAGACTTACTCGGTGGATATCGAACAACACCGACCTGCTAGCCTCGCCCTATTTGAGCGGCTACAAGCCTCGACTTCTGCTGAGCATCCCGAAGTCCACTTCCCGAGGTGTGGCCGGAGAAGTGGCCTTTCAGGTTTCCAAGTTCCCACAGACTTATAGCTATTTCGCCTCCAATGCGGCGAATCTCAGCGTGATCGGTCCATTTACGGGTCAATATAACACTAACTTGGATTTCTGGAGTACTGACACTATTTACTATGGAAGTCGTGGTCTCGGCACGTTTGTTTTCACCGTCGACGGTGACGGGAAAGCTTCGGCTGTCTCTCCTACGGCTGCGAGAATCAAGTTGAAGAGAACGACATAGTCGGAGTCCTCCTTTCCTATAGTTATTGTATTTATCATTTTTACCCCACTGCTAGTTCTTAATCTCATCCGATTAGCTTTCCTATCGAATATAGTGAGTTCTACAGGCCTTCAAATCAATTACCAGCCTTTTTCTATCTTTTCTCGTCACATAAATCGAATTCCAGACGTCCAATATGTCACACTGCATTTATGGCATACCTGCAATGCTGGAGGACCAATCTTCGCTCGCTGCTGGCGGTGTCTGGTACAGTGCTCAGCTTCCAAGGTACCCTGCCCTACATTCAGTTGTTGTGAAGGAATGGCCGTTCATCCAATCTATCTTGACAAGGAATGCATGTTGCCTTACTGCCGAGTTCGACCCTTTCCGAACCTGGATTATAGATAGGTGCCTAATCACCTAAGATCATACTAACGAGATTTGATTTTAGGCGGGATAGGAACCTTGGTTCTTTTTGAATATAGATTGGTACACGAAATCTGATCATTAATCATTTACCTACTAAGAACCTGGTTTCTAATCGAGACTGGCGATGACCTATATTATGGCCTCATTGGTTAGGTGTTTGTTATAAGAGATACCCTCTAGACAAGGCACATGGACTACCGGGGGAAGGAAGCGTTAATAAACCTAGCCTGACCCCTTTTTCTCTCTTAATATCTCCTTCTTCTTCTTCTTCTTCTTCTTCTTCTTCTTCTTCTTCTTCTTCTTCTTTATCTCTTTAGCTCTCTGTTATCCTTGCATTTGATATGGTAGAGATCTCCGGAGAGATAGCATCGACAATGCGACATCGTTCCAGGTGGCACAATTTGGTAGGGAACAGTCAGGTGGATGGGTTAGCCCTGAAGGGGCGGAACACCGTCCTGGACCCGCGGGTGACCGCCGCCATGTGGTGTATGTTTTCTTGGTTTGTATCTTCTTTTTTGCTTATACAGTCACTATCGGAATTTAGGAGCACTAGTGTCTAGTAATTTTCACTATCCTATAATTTCCGTCAAATTAGAGTTTCCAGGTAACAGGGAATTCCTTGCGCACCAAATCTTGGATTGCCTACCAAGTGAAATAGCTTCATCAAGTTTCATGACGCTCTGGTATGCAGACATCTTCAGAAGATTGACCACTAGGAACCTTCATATTTGTAGCAGTCTGAGCCAGGAATCTGAATTGTAAACTTGTCAAGACGTCATTTGAACCCAGCACCATGACACAATAAGATTAGCCTTTACAGGACATGCAAGTCTCGTGCAAGGGACCTGGATGGGCAAGATCTTCGTCATTCCCATGTCTTTTGACCAGCTCTCCGCATGGCAATTCCCTTTACCTGGCACACCATCTAAATTTCTAGTCTTGCGGGCAAATGATCTCAAATTCTGCATGCATGTGACTAGTGCGCTGTTCAAGACTGGCCAAACCGCTATAACCTGCCTCCTTGCTCGCGGTCCATATTGACCTTTTCGTGCACGCCAATGGCACAGAGCTCCCCGGATCCAACATTGTAGAAATCAGCCCTCGTCAACGCCATACGCCTTCCCAGATTGACCATGCGGCAAACCGCCCGGACCTCGGCACCTAGCGGAAGGGGATGCAAGAAGGTCATGTGCATATTGCGACTGACGCCCGAGTCCGAGAATCGACCCGGCGTGGCCGCAGCAATGATAAGCACCGTCGTAAGATTGTCGACCAGAGTAGCCGCACATCCTCCATGGAGGTGCATTTGGGGACCGCACATTGATTGTGTAACCACAAATCGGTAGGTCACGGAGGATTCTGGGCGTTCAACTACGGCTTCAATCTGGAGATGGCAATGGTCTGCAGTGACATCCCAAGTCTTATAAGTAAATCGGGTTAGCTGCGTCCCTCTTTCACTGCTTTAGGGGGGTGAAAGGACATACCTTCTTGAGCTCCTGATGTCCAGTGAGCTGAAAATACCAAAAGACCTTCTTTTCGAAGTTGTTGATAACATCTTCCGGGGCGGACATTGACATGATGTTCTTCGGCATGGTGAAAAGGTTGTAGGGTGGGTTGAGAATTATGTCTTAGTTGCAAGGCACAATTCAAGGTGGCTAGCCTTGTCATCATAGAAAGAGCAGGATATTCATCCATTATATGGAATCTCTAACGGCGGTGCATCGTTATCTATTTAATCCACACCATAGATGTTAGCAAGGCACGAAGGTGGCGAGTAGCTAGAAAGTCATGCTTGCCTTTTGCGTCATTACACCCATCACAAGACTAGCATCGCATGTACAACTTGCATCATGGAGGAGCTCTAAACAAGCTAAATCTCATGCAATGACTCAATATCGTGTCGAAGCAGATCCTCCATGCTACTTTGTGGCTAGCCTAGTCGTTTTTGTACTGGGCAATCTTACCTTATGAGCATTTATGAAAAGATTAATACGCCTTGAGGGATCCAGGCTACGCGATGGGGTCATTCTTACAGATTCATCAAGTTTGATATGGCATGCTTCGCCTCATTCGAGGTACATCAGACTAACTTACAGGGACTTAACACGCATCAGTTGTTCGCCGGCAATCGCCTCCAAGTCAACTCGGGAATGATTTTCCTGCCCTCCGGGGTGATCGTCGGCTCCTCCGGGGTGAGCCTCAATATCTCGCAACCATTTTCCATTTCAATATGTACAAGCCGCCTTTCCAGTTGTCCAATCATGTTAGGGTAGATACAATTTGTAAAGCGATGCTGAACGGCCGGTTTCTCTCGATCTTCTTCCACATAGAAATGACCGGAGTATGCAAAATACCGTCGAGCCGCCTGAGAATGCTCCTCGGGCGTGGCAGTCCAGTAGTCATCCGACTTGAACTCAGCTTGGCCGGGAATACGCAGCTGCGCGGAGACAAAGCCCGCCTCGCTGTAGATCAGGTGGCCCGAAATCTCTTTGCCAAAAGGATAATCCTCTTTCTGAGAGCCGGGCTGGGAACTGGACACCGATGCACACTCCACCAACTCCCAGGCTCCCAACAACCGATCCCGCAGTCGACCGTGGCTCACCTGCTTCTCGTCTTCTTTCCGTGGTTGGGGCAGCAAGCTACCAGTGCCTGATTCCACATATTTCTCTCGGAAGAATTCCAATGCGTAAGATGGGAGGTACGTTCGCTCCTTCAGATAAATCTCCTCAATGTCGCATACTGTCTGCAAGCCCACCAAGTCCATGAGCTCGCAGGGCCCATACTTAGCATGCATGACTTGCTTGAGCATCGCATCGATATCCGTCGGGTTGCCTGCACCATCCGCAAGCACCATCATGATCTCGCGCTTGACTGCCGCCCAGATACGGTTCATGATGAAACCCGTCGAATCGGCTTGGCAGACCACCGGACAGCGCCCGATCCCGCGGAGCTCCTTTGACAGGAACTCGATCACGTCAGGGTCTGTATGCCCGCATGACATGAGTTCGACAAAAGGCCCCTGCTCTGGGGGGAAGTAATGAGCGTTGAGAATGCGACGTTGGCTCGCAGCCACGATGCCTTGGACCAGGACACTGCTGCGAATCGAGGATGAGTTGGTCGTGATGGTTGTGTTTGAAGCACAGAGAGAGCTCAATGTATTGAACAACTGCTTCTTCGCATTGATATCCTCGGCGATGCACTCAATAACCATCCACGCATTCTCGACGGTGTCCTTCAGCTCCCGGGCGGTCTTCACGAGGTTAGGCTGTTCGGAGTTTTGCTCGAGCTTTAACTCAATCCAGTGCAGAGCATCCTGCGCAACGTCTTTGTTTGTATCATATAGAGTCACTTTGCGGTTGTGTTGAGCGTAGACAAGAGCCACCTGGCGGCCGATTGTGCCACAGCCAATAATGGCAACATACTTGGTATCGCTGTCAGCCATGGTCAATTTGATGTGCGGACGAAGTGGCCTTTTAGTAAGCTCAAGAATGTTTAAAAACAGAAATCTGCAGTTGACTCATATCTGTGTCTGAGTAGACAGGGGTGGGCGGGGCTTATATCCAGCACGTTCTGCGGGGCAAGGACAACCCATCTGGTAGGTACTATCAATGTGATGGAATGTTGTGCCTCTCTTGGCAGACTACACATGTAACACATCTACTTACTATTAGCCATCTACCTGTTATGCATGCTATTCTCACTTTGAAAAACTTTTTCTCTTCTAGATACTTATCCGGGTTGACTTTCCAGTTTAAGGACGGGTGGGTGGGACACAATTTGTGGCTCTGGTATTACTCAGCAATAGAGTTTCTGCCCCCTTACATCTAGATGACTTCATCCAGGGGAGAAGAAAAATCGCCGAGCACGACAAGGACCGTCTATCGTAACGAATAGAAGAAGCGCATGATATCTTACTCCTCCCCTTGGGGGTTTGATGCATGGATAGTCGCAGCGAGGATTTCTTCTAGCGTTGTTCCGCATCGCCATTATCTTATCGAAATTGCCTGGAGGGTCGAACAGGTTATCAACATGATGCATCGACGTGGGAGAACTATCACCATTCTCTAGGTTATTCAAGTCTCCTGTTTCAATCTCTTACCTGTCAGAGTGCGTCATATTACACTAGAAGGTCAATGGTGTTTTCCAGCTACCATTCTGCTCACAATCCAGATCTTGCGACAGGAACGGGCTCATCGTAAATGCGATAGATTGTAAAGATTCCTCAGGATATGATAGAGCAAATAGGATGACAGAGGTAGGATCTTGTCTCATACTAGAATTAGCTGATTTCCATTCATAGATGACCTCATTAATTCAGGGCTGGAGTCGAACTTGCCCTAACTTATACTCCATTGCTCTGGGCAAGCTCTAAATACTTCCAGGATGGTGGGGAACCGAGATATGTATTTCCCATCCAGAGGTTCTGACCCCTGTCTCACATCAGAATCTAGAATTAGAGTCAACTTTGGGGTAAATCAGTCGCTCGGTTTGTGCATTCGCATCGCCTTTGATATGAGCCAGTTCCGAACGGGTCAGTGCTGCCTGGGGCATCAAACGAACGGACATGGCTCAATCGGTTCCAGGCTAAACCCTTTTACAGTTTGCCGACACAGCCGACGACTCGATGCTCACCTTTTCAGCCAACTTCATCCATCCTTTCTTTCTCCTGCTATCATTATCGAAGGTCAGCGTTATCTTCAAGGTACAAATCACCCTGTGACAGTATACCACACCATGAAGCCTGCAGCCTTGACCGTGCTGGGAGCTCTAGCACTTCCACTCAGCTCGGCTCAGACCGCTAGACCCGACTGCTACACTAGCATTGGTGATATGGAAATGGTCGGTACATCCGTATATCAGTCTACCGGGACTTGCATGAACATGTGCGGCTAAGTCAACGAGTACTACTACGCCACCCAAGGAAAAGCTTGCTGGTGTGGCAAGCAACCACCGCCATGTGAGACCAAAACGGATAGCCGAGCCTGTACGATTCAGGGTCCGGGCTATCCCTTCGACAAGTGTGAGGCTCAAGACCTTTTCCACCATCTCAATTTGGCTCTCGCCGACTGACTGGACTTAGGCGGTGGTGATGGTGTCTACTCGGTAGGGGAAATGCCGGGCGACCATCCGAACATCGCTAGCGGGGAAAGCACTTCGCCGATGGCTGCAGCTTCGACTGCAGCAGGCACAATCCAGAGCACAGCTACTGCTGATAATTTGGCTATGACCTCAGAGCCAGCTGATACCACCAGTTCCAGGTCTGCCTCAGTCGTACCTTGGACAGTGCGGTTCATGCCAGTTCTACCTCGGGGGCGAGCTGTCGCCTCAAGCTGCTCTATCTCCAGGATAATTGAGGATGACACAAGTACACTGGATGCGATACGAGTGTTCTTTCTGAATCGAATTCTCCATTGACGCTCTAAGGAACGTAGACCGCGAGTGGGCAGCTCAGGGAGTTCTTTCCTGCAGTACTGTTACATGCGGAGGTAAATGTTCCGATAAACGTAGTAATCCCTGAACATATGCAGAGAACGAGGGCAAAAGAACTCTACATTGTCCCTGAGAGTGATAGATTTGTCTACGGTACTTGGTCTAACTTCGATTGTAGGATAAAATGTCAGCCGCATCAGCCAGCGAATGCTGCCTCAGGCATAAGGTTCGGGTAATTCCGACAAGCGGAACCCCCCACTGGGAATAGCTTCATCCACAATCCTATTCTAGGAAATACCCTAACCCGGTTTCGAAAAGCCGAGATTACTCGACTCCGAACTCAGCCAATGGGAACCACACCTGTCTGAGATCAGGGGTACCTTTCATTTGGAGCAAGACCCTGGTGTTGGTTCAATTGGCCCATTGGATATCCGGCCCCAAAGACCGCAGCTAATTGCAGCTAATTTGAATCCTCCAGAGTCCTGCCTTTTCCTGGGTGCTGCTGCACTTCCACCTACTTATATTGGTCCTTCCTCATCCTTGTCATTCCTCCCACTTAATTTTGTGCTTTCTATCCTACGATTGACAACAGACGATATTTACAATGATGCTCACGTCTTCGAATGCGCTGAGTGCTCTGGCACTCTTCCTTATCTCGGCCCAGGCCCTTGAATGGGGTACATACGCTTGCATGAAGAGTTCTGGGGACATGACTAAACTAGGCTCATCGCCATACCAATCTCCCGGCTTGTGCCAGAATTTGTGTGAGAAAGAGAAGGGTTATTTCTTTGCCTTGCAAGACGAGGATTGCTGGTGTGGCAGTCAGCCCCCCGCCTTTGGTAGTATGGGTGGTTCGTGCGATACGGTCTGTCCAGGCTATCCCTACGACAAGTGTAAGTGTGAACTCCATGACCCGCTGATGTAATTGGCTGGCCGCCGACTAATACTTGTCGCTTAGGTGGCGGCGACGGGAGTTACTCGGTTTGGGAATTGGAGGAGGACTATTCAAATCCTAGTCTGGAGTCAAACACCGCGACGATGACCTCAACGGCAATGACTTCCTCTTCCGCTTCCTCCTCTTCCCTCTCTTCTTCTTCGCTTTCATCCGCTGATCCTGCGGCCGTGACATCAAGCTCGGCGACGGTGGCCTCATCGTCTGGCGCCACCCCATCGGGTACTACTACTACTACACCTGTGGCTCAGGCCGTTCATACCAATGCGGCCAGCCGTCCCTCCCGATTCTTGTTTTTCTAATCTCAACAGTACGATGAAGCTATCGGCCGCAAGTGTGCTGGTTGTTGAAACATGTACAATATGCTTTTCGTCTGCACATGCGGACCCTAAGATTCTATTTCTCTCCTGCTAGACACTTGCCCTCAACAGCCTGCCTGCCCAATAGCAGAAGCTTAGAACGTCACATCATGTCTAACTTTATATCTCGCAGACTGAAATCCCCTCACGTATATATGGGTTGGGATGCATTTGAGCGATATATCGCTAGTCACGTGTGGGACCTAATCCCAGCCGAGGCTTGCAGTAGCCAGAGCCAAATCCTATTAGGACAATTCAGATAGCGTCTCCTGAGAACATATATTGCCGATACATCTCTGTGGTTCAATGCGACAGGCTAACGCATAGGCCGGGAAAGTAAAGTTCACTACAGCCCTGTTTCTAGTATATTCACGTGGTCACGGCGCCCTTATTCTGATTTTGCATTTGGCTCATCTAAAAGAGTTCATACACAGCCATTGAAGTGTTATTCCTTGTTCAGTGATAGAAATAATTCTTTTGCTATATAAACTAACCATAATTTAGATCTAATACATACGACCACAGGGTGTGGAAAACAGGGCTTCCCGTCCGCTCAGCCGTACTTAAGCCACACGCCGGGAGGTTAGTAGTTGGGTGGGTGACCACCAGCGAATCCCTTCTGTTGTATGTTTTTGGTTGCTCTTTTGTCATTTCCATACGCCGCGTTCTTCTGGCTATTCATCCATGATTCTCTTCCCTATAGCCTGCTGGACATCTCGGCCGACAAACAGTAACCGCCACTATTGTCCACAAATGGTGTCCCCCTCATCATACCGACTGAACTCACAACGCATTTCTTTTGGCATGCAATTTTGATACAATCTGCCACTACCCGCACCAGTCCATTTGCACCACACACAAGCTCCTTCCAATGCTCGATGTGCCGTGGCCCATGTGGTGAGTCTGATTCAGGATGCTTTGTCACCGGTCCGATTGGCCGCACGATTTTTAAAGCCGTCCCGCCACAGTGGGCCCCGAGTCCCTGACCGAAGCTTGGAGTTGGAACAAGAGTCACTTGGCATTGCAACAGGTACCATAGACTCGGTAAGGTACCGTACTTGGCTTCCGAATACCCGTACCGCAAACCGACATCTGCTCCTCCCCTCTCCTTGATAGACCATCATAAGTCCACTGACTTACAGGTCTCTACAGGTCTGATGCTCCGATATGTAGAGCACCTTGAATTTTCTGAAAATGAAGTATCAGTCAGGGTTACCATCTTCCTCATACTGGTCGAAGCCGGCGGTCATCAGAAAGCAACTCGGTTGATCATCGGTTGATATCACCCTGATGCACACTCAGCGCAACGATTCCTTATATTTACGTTCCAGGAAGTGTTCAATACCCCTAGTAACGCCTGAGTACGTCAGGGGATACCGCGGCGCTTCTGTCTGTCTCCTTTCCTTTCGATGTGTGGGATTCGGGGGACAGGTCTAGTGCACCCCGCGATGTCGAACAAATCTCCAGAAATCGATGATCTCCTTTACAGATCAGCTCTAATGCATGACTGTTCTAGCCCATCAATGTCAGAACGGCCATCGTAACGGCCCATGGGGTGTGTCTCAATGTAGGTAAATCATGCGTAGACACTGATGCAGATTCTTGTTAGGCACAAGAGCAAGGTTGAGCGGATGTTCTTGTAGTTCTCTCCTCATGATTTAATTCTTCTTCCTCTAATCACGTTGTCTGTATTATGAACATCCTATATGCCGTAAGTTTTATGTTCATACCACCCCAGTGACACGTACCGGCAGTTCTTCTCCGCGGCGTTGTTGTTGTCCCGTGGGCCCCTCCTTGGGGCTTACTTACATAATTTTTACGGTATGTTTGTGGCCCCGTTACTCGCTCTGAATAAAAGGCCGTCTCGCTCCTTTCCACGTAGCCATGTCAGCTCTGCATTCTGGAAAGCCTGTCTGAGATTTTCCTCTTCCCTGCAACGTCTCCCGTCGGTGTCTCTCAGCCACTATCAGTGGTAGTCATCCCCTGCTGCCTGAAATCTCTTTCTTACCTTTTCACCTTCTGGGGAGACCTAAACAATTACCACAATGCACGACCACAGCACTGGATCTAGTCCATACATCTCGGACGTGGAAACCTTGAACCACGCCTGCGAGAAGTCCGTCAACCCTGAGACCAAGGTCTCTCAGCCTCAGGAATCTCCTATTATCAGCAATAATGAGCATCAGGAATTCGTCAAGCTGGGCATCCGCCAACGGCTGCGTCATTTCACCTGGGCCTGGTACACCTTAACCATGAGCGCAGGTGGACTAGCCCTTCTTCTCCGCAACCAGCCGTATCAATTCACGGGGTTGAAGGAGATAGGCCTGGTGGTCTACATAGCCAATCTCGTCTTCTTTACTATCATCGGCTCTCTTATGATCACCAGGTTTGTTCTTTACAACAACCTGATGGACTCTCTCCGCCATGACCGAGAGGGCTTCTTCTTTCCAACCTTCTGGCTCTCCATCGCCACCATGATTAGTGGTCTATCTGCGTACTTTTCTACTGAAGACACGCACCGCCTCAACTATGCTCTCGAGGGCCTTTTCTGGGCGTACTGTATCTTCACGTTTGCCTCGGCAGTGATCCAGTACTCCTTTGTCTTCTCCTACCACACGTTCCCTCTGCAGACTATGATGCCATCGTGGATTTTACCGGCATTCCCTATCATGCTGAGCGGAACCATTGCCTCTGCCGCTTCCGGCTACCAGCCTGCGGTGTCTGCTACGCCCATGATCGTTGCCGGCATCACGTTCCAGGGACTCGGGTTCTGCATCAGCTTTATGATGTACGCTCACTACATCGGGCGTCTGATGGAGACGGGAATCCCTTCAAGCGAGCACCGTCCCGGTATGTTCATCTGTGTCGGTCCTCCTGCTTTCACGTTGCTGGCTATCATCGGCATGGCCAACGGCCTTCCTGAGGGCTTCAGTATCCTGGGCGACGGTGGCATGGACGACCGTCACATCATGCGAGTGCTGGCCGTCTGCGCGGGTATGTTCCTCTGGGCTCTGAGCATTTGGTTCTTCTGCGTCGCTCTGGGCTCGGTTGTCCGGGCGCCTCCCCACGATTTCCACCTCAACTGGTGGGCTATGGTCTTCCCCAACACCGGACTCACTCTCGCCACCATCACCCTGGCCAAGTCACTGGACAGTGCCGCCTTGAAATGGGTGGGCGTGGGCATGTCCCTCTGCGTGATCTGCATGTTCATCTTTGTCTTCGTGAGTACAGTTAGAGCTGTTCTCTTGAAGAGGATCATGTGGCCAGGACGGGACGAGGATGTATCCGAATTGTTCGAATGATCTATCTCCCTCGTCGGCCACGATGCATGAAGTCCCAAAACTCTGTGTGTTCTCGGCTGTTATCATCTGAAGCGAGTTATATATGCATATACATAGTTGAGCGCCCGTGTTTTATGGTGTGTTTGTCCGCCGTTGTCGTTTGAATCTTTGTCCTTGGAGTCTATCTTCTTCTATATTGTTCAAATTTCTCAATCAGTATATAGCCATAGTTGAACCAATATACATTCATTCCATCCAGACTTGGCAGTTGATGATACTCAACCCCTATTCAAACCTATGCTGGCCGAATGTGGTGAGAGACGCCCAGCCTTAGGCAATTTCAACTCACCGGCTGTAGCCCATGGACCATTGCCACTCCCAGGAGAGTCAGAGCAAAACTCTGCCCTGACTTACCCCCCCCCTCCCCCCCCCCCCCCCTCCCAACCAAGCCTCACGCCTCACCGGTGGGCCCCTGTACTCGCCTCAGCATCATCAACAACATCAACACCATAACCGCCATCAACATGGCGAATTCGATGCTCTTTTCGGTATAATTTCATCACTAACAGACAACTGTGTGAAAATCTGCCAAATAGTTCGCCCTTCGTCCCCCCTTAGGAGATTTCACCTATTATTATTAGCGAAATCCTCTTCCAAGTCTACACACAGGGCAAGTCAATTCTCGTGAGATCGGGCAAAACCGTAGCCCCCGTAGCCCCCTTTCCGAGACCACCCTACTCGGCATGCCGTGATCTCCCGATAACGAACGAAAATGTGCAAGCCCTTCTCTTCTTTCCGGCATGCAAAGCCTGGTTCTGAGTCCCGATCTTCGATGTCGGAGACTGACCGAACCTCAGCGGACCCACATACCGGGTCGGCGGGGCACCATTTTCTCACCCAAGCCTCACCCGTCTGGGTTTTTTTTTCTCTGTTCGGGTGCCAGCCAGCACCTATGGTCACGTAGGTTTTGGGTGACTCGTGAGAGGAGAGTGAAATGGGAGACGATTACGCAGTACGTATCTGGTTTTTGGTTTTTCGTTTTTTTCCCTGTCCGACCAGCTCGGTGGCACTTCGGGCTTGGTTTCATAGTTCGGGCATTTCCGCCGAAGCGATGCTGAGCATTGATGACGGGGATGACAGCACGATACGCTGGTGCATGGTAGGTAAAGAGTGAGAGCTTCCTGGATGACGTATAGTGTATTGTAAACATATGACGGTAAAATACGTGCCCTATCTTTCTTTTGCCTACAAATGATCGGGTTGCTGTTGATGTAGTGGAAAAAAAGGTATGTATTTGGCCATTGAAAAATGACTTTTCCATGCCGTGTTAAACATAGAATAGGGATTTTGTTATTCCTAACTCAAGTTTGTGGTTCTTGTGAGTGGGGGATTCACTTTCTGTGCAACCCGTCTCGGGGCACAGCGCGACAGTCGAGATGAGAACAAACCACCCGATGTGCTGGCCATAGCTATGATCCACAGCCCAAACTTCACTCATGGTAGGAGCATAGGACACTTATGCAACCATCATGTCTCAGGTAATTGGGCCAGGCTTAATAGTGTCAAGGAATGGTTTCTATCAAATGGTTTTAAGCCATCTCACGTGACTACACGCAATATCAATCATACACTGTTCTTACTCGCATGATTTTCTTTTCTATCTTCCCATCAGGAGTCGCTGTCAAGAACAAAAGGGCTCAAGTCTACATTTCCCCGAGTGGGCAGCCCCGTTGGTGAGGGAAGGTGTTAGCACATCAGAGGTGGCCATTGCGAACAGCCTACAGCCTGGAATGGTTCGCAGCTGTGAAAAGTTCGAAGGATGCGTATGGTTGGAGTCTGCTACTGCATACTATACTTACAACAGCTCGGCAACTTCGAAGCCGGGTTCGACCTTACTATCTCGCCATATAATATGATCTATGAAGCTAGATTGTCTCCCTATCAAAACAAATGAGACAAATTAGTAATGAGACGGCGGAGACTATACTTGAACTGTGCAGAACAATGCTTTTCAGTCGGAGACTTGGAGTACGTGGGAAGAAGATTTTTCTCTCTCTTGTTTTGACCTTCCCGAAACCTTAACCATGGAAAGAGGGTAGGGTTAATGCACCCGTCCCAGCGGAGTCCCCACTGGTATATGGAGTCTGAATGAAAAGAACTTGAGTTGTTCCATGGAACCACTCGATAATGCCATTCATGAGCTTTGCAGTCGGAGACTTCATCGAGCTAGCTCGGAAAGAAATAGGCTGATTAATGAGCCTAGTCGTTCGCCTGGAGCTCGGGTTCGCAAGTCAATGGCGACAACACTCCAGAACACAGTAAATTGCGCCCGCAAGCACTAATGATGGTAAATAACTAAATAGCAATTTTATTGACACGGTAATCATACCATATCGTGATCTAGGTCTCCTTCCACCTGAAATAGTGCTTATGTAATCGACAAGTTAGGTACCAACTCATGGAACCTTTAGGCTGGATCTTCGCATCGACTCGTCACGAACATGGTTGACAGCTTCGTGTTTTGACTCTTCTTATCTGAACTACACTTCTCCTGGTGTCATACTAATTTTAATCCCAGAGGTGCCAGGCGTCTGTAGCCACAACGGTTGTGGTTACACTATGATGCAGACATAAATAGATTTCTACTCACACCACCTGCATGCAACACGATACCCATGGAGTATGCCTCGAGCTGACCTACAGCTCCACGTCTCTTTGGATATATATCTATGTATCATGAGGCACCTCCTAGCCTGACTGGCCCTTTGAGCTGCCCTCACTTCAGGCGCCAGTGCAGCAGCCACGCCAGCCCAGAAGGTCTCTAACACAAACCAGCCGCGACTGCGACGGTAAAATCATCGGTGATGTTACACCCCAGACGTTCGGCTTCGTCAACCTTGTGAAATCTGGATCGGACAAGCTTGTTGCGATGTTGTCCTCCAGGGAGGGACCCCGAACACGAACTTCAACGTTCGCTTGATTCAGCTCAAAGATGGGAAGGCTGTGGAGTGCGGTCCCTGCACCAGCGGAGGCGCGACGTTGACCACACACAGTGACGGAAATGGGAATGTGAATGTCCAGAGACCAGTAAGCCCTGGGGCAACCGCCGCATGGGTCGATCTCAACAACCAGAACAAATCCGAGGATTTCTTTGATATTGGCCCACTCACGTTTGGGTGATCGGACGGGTCTTTGGTGGTTAGAGTTCGTTTCTTTGTTTTCTTGAGTTGATTCGGCGGTGTCGATCTGTCCAGACATCTGTATGATATCCAGTGTACTAACGCCTGAGGGCTTTTCCGCTCTCTTAAATTTTCGATTGCTCTTGTAGGAGTGTTCAATCAGACCTACTACTAAGGTATGTGTCATGTGATCTGTGCTGATGCACCGAGCGAGTTGCTCGCACAGATGCCATATCAAACCTAGAACAACATCAAGAGAAAGCTAACCAAAACTTATTCCAAGTGCTCTTGAGCAGGCGCGGTCTCTGTAGAAATATATACGCGCAATAGATATGGTGGATGGTGGGCGTGAGACTGATCACAGGACAAATGCGAACTAAGCTAGATACTTACTACAGGCAATCATTGACAAATTAGGTGTTTGAGCCATGAGAATAAATGGTTATTTAGGTACTTTATGCACGATCCGTCATGCTAAGAGTCTAAAATCGATTAGTGACAGAGTTTCAGTATGCTTAGAACCAAATCAACAGATTTAGAAATACTATAGTTGCGATGTCCATCACATAACTAAGCTATGTATGTCATCTTCGCGCCCTTCGGATGATCCGTCTTGGCAGCGGGGATATTCCCGACGCTGGGGTATTTCCGATCTATCTTCCATTCCCGATCGCTGCAATTCCATCCAGATAAGAACTGCCACATCTGCACATTCCCCAAGAACCTCAATGCTAAGAACAGCTCTTGCTTCTTTTCGTCGTCTGCCTCCATTCACTGCAGCAAAAAATTTCACAATGGGTTCCAACGCCGCACGAACATTCCTTGCCTACCAGCACGACGCGAAACTCCAAACGCTTGACACCATCGTAACCGCCGTGTTGCCCTTCTCTGCCCTCGAGGAATCCAACCGCCTCCTCTTCAAGCAAGGCACAGATGAAGACCACATTGTCATCACAGAGCAGACTATCTTTCATCCGCAAGGTGGCGGCCAGCCCTCCGATGTGAAAACCATGAGCCACACGTCCACCGCCACCAAATTCACCGTCACAGCCGTGCGGATGGGCCAAGCCCCCCGCGACGGCCAGGTCCTCCATCTCGGTCGGTTTGAGGGAGTTGCTAATCCCGACGCATTCTTCAAGGCTGGAGACTCGATCCAGCAGGCGATCGACGCCGAGAAGCGCCTCCTGTACTCGCGCCTGCACACCGCGGGCCATGTCCTCGGCTCCGCGGTGCGCCATCTTCTCGAGAATGAGGTCGAGAATTTTGACGAGCTGAAAGCCTCGCACTTCCCCGATCTCGCGAACTGCGAGTTCCGGGGCCTGATCGACGGGAAGTGGAAGGAGCCCATTCAGGGCAAGGTAGATGAGTTCCTGGCGGCCAAGCTGCCGGTGCAGGTGGAGTGGTGGGATGAGGAGGACTTTCGGGCGAACGGGCTGGAGAGGTTGATCCCCGATCGGGAGGCGCTGGGTGTCCCTGCTGGGGAGAAGTTCCGGGTCGTTCATATTGTCGGGGCGGAGGTCTATCCGTGTGGTGGGACGCATGTCGAGACGACGGATCTGTGTGGGCCGGCGAAGGTGCGCAAGATTTCGAGGAGCAAGGGGATCTCGAAGATTAGCTATGTGGTGGAGTGATATGTTCACATTCTGTCGGACGCGATAGATTTAGATACACTGGATAATACATGCTTTGACTGATCATGATAGTTCGTGCCCGAGAGACGTAACATTCTTCAGTCTCCAATCAAGTTACGTCAATATCTCCGTTGTCCACCAAGTCTGTGATACGGCCTCACAAGTAGCTCTCAGGGTTTCAGACCAGCGACCAGCCGGTCCCCGAGGGGATTAATACTCTGCTCAAAGCCCTGCGGGGTCGTGGTCGTTCACGCCGCACTGCTCCCCGGTACCGCGTTGCCCCCTGTGAAGCCAATATACAGAACATCTGCCTCATTATGTCCACTATTTGCGTCCATCGATGACCTAAAGCACAATCTCGCCATCGAGAGCGATGCTTCCCCAGTCTTGCTGCCTCCGTTTGTATCTCCCCAGATGCCGTAATGCTAGCGCCATACATTTAGGTTAATCAAGTGTTCCAACCATTTGTTCAGGGAAAGAGGATCTTGCCAAGGGGGCCACGAGTTTACCAATTGTCCACCACAAACAACAGCCATCACGCTCAGCGGCTGCACACCATAAGTTCATGTTTCCGAAGACAACGTAGGGGTGGACAAATGCGTTTAGATCGCCGAGATCGTACTGGCGGAGCTGATCGCGGAAGGTGGTCTGGCTCTGCTTGGAAGGGTCGTTGCGACAGCCTCCCGAGGTCGAAGAGACTCCGTTGCAGTCGACGTCCATATCTCCATATCCGCCGGCGGAGCTGATGAACAACGCCCCGGCGATGTCGCCGCAGTACTGGGTGGGTTTCGAGGCACTGGTGCCGTCGTTGAAGCCGGAGGCAACGACGCCTTTACATCCTTCCCTGTGGTCGTGGTGGATTCGGATGAGATTCTCGGGAATCCGGTATGCCTGGATGTCGAATGCGAGTACAAGAACCAGGCTTGCGGAATGGAACATTGTGAGTGAGTGTCAAGATTTAGGATTGGAGAGGAGGGGTGTGTGAGAGCCATAATCTTAATGGCATGGCATTTAAGACAGTACAATTGACTTCATGGCAGGCATGGTGATCCAATGTTTTCAATGGCGCTCGTAGGCCTTGACTGGGTATTATGATTGCACGGTGGTCTTAGAAAAGTATCAGTGGTAGATCAGTTGGTTCAGCAAGCCACCAACCTACGTCGCTGAGCAATTGAGTTCTGGGGTCGGAGTCTATGATATCTTGTTGTTGTCAGTGAGTATTACAAACTAAATCTCGTCCTATTGTTCTTCTCTGACGGCAGAGGTCTCGGCTTGATAACTGGACTTGTCAAGACAGCGCCATGCAAAGCGTGCACTGGTTCATGAGCGACATAGGAACAAAAAGGAACAAGAATGTCAAGCAAAAACATACAACAGAAGGGATTCGCTGGTGGTCACCCACCCAACTACTAACCTCCCGGCGTGTGGCTTAAGTACGGCTGAGCGGACGGGAAGCCCTGTTTTCCACACCCTGTGGTCGTATGTGCTTGAGGAATTCGTTGCTTGAAATGTATAGGCAGATAAGGAGCCCTAAAACATGGGAGCGATCTTTTCACGTCATTTACCTGTGCAAGATACATATACCATTGAGTTCTCAAGATGGTTGCTTGAACCAAACTCCTTGCTCTCAGTTGCACATAATATTGATCATAGAGGTGATATCGCCAATGGGGCCATGGTCAAAGTTCAAAGCTTGTTATATTGAGTGAGATTAGTAAGAAGACTTATATGATAGTTAGTCAGACGACTCAGTGTCTGACCAAGCCCGGCATGAAAGGCGTAATGCGAATTTGTATGGTGAGGTGGTAAAAATGAACGTCTGCCTGTGATTTCAGGCTGAAGCCTTGATGCTGACTACCTGCCGATGGAGTCCACTCAGGTGATTCACCAGTGTTTCTGCCACCGCCTACCATTCTTGCTAGCGGGGCAGTGGGGACTTGAGAAAAATTTGTGCAACACTGGAAAAAATGGAACATGAGATGAACCGGACATCGAGATACAGAATAGACAAAAAGTGAAAGCCCAACGCGGGGGTTGAACCCGCAACCTTGAGATTAAGAGTCTCACGCTCTGCCGATTGAGCTAGCCGGGCTGCTTGTGATGACTTTCCGTGCACTCTTGGCTCTATACTGCAACTTTTACCAATAATCCTGTCCTCCATGCTAAAGCTAATGGGACTCGGAGCACATCCTGCCCTTCACCTCTCTTCTCATTAGCCATGCACATTTAAATAAATGAATTAAGTCGTAGAACATAAAGCAGATGCTCGTATATTAATAATGGTGGCACGGGCAATCCTCGGGCTGATTGTGTGGACTGCTAGGTAACTACTAGTAGGCGCATTTGAAATATATTTCCTTCCTTTGGCATGGTGTTTCCGTCCTCTTTGAATCAACAACCTCAATGCCCCGCACACCCCTCTGGCTCTCCTGCCACCCCTATCATTTGTGTCAGCGTTGCTAAGTGATCCAGCCACGTGATTCCATTCATCTCGTTTAATGCGGGAATGTAGCCAGTTACACAACCACCAAGAATCATATCAAACACGTCCCAGAACCACCCTCTCCTCTGAAGCCTCAAATCGTTGACAATCTGCGAAGGTGCTCCAGCTAGTGCTTATTGCCATGTACAAGAAGGACCATATTCGCAGACGGCCAAGGACCTGTAAGTAAAGACGATTTCCCAAAGCAATTCGTAGAAAGTCCATGCAGGGTACAGTTTAAAGTTCCAAGCTACTTGCGTACTGTTCAACAGTAACTGAACACTTTCCACTCAAGGCAGAGTGCATGTAGAAAATATCTAGCTATCAGCCTCGCGTAAATGCCGTGGGTTTAGCGTTTTCACCCACCCTCAATGACAGGTGTCGCTGTGGCCGATCCTGGCAGAACTAATTTAGATGCGACCAAAAAAAGGTGCAATCTCAACACCGAGACTACTTGTTGCGCAACGTATCATCCAGAAGCGCTCGGTTTCTTCACTTCTCACGAACCGCAATACAGACCCGATTCTCGCATATGCTACTTTGCTGGAAATATGAGACACACCAAAATTTATCTCATACCAGTAGGTAGTTACCTTCATTCACTTTGCACGCGAATCGCGCAGGATGGACCGATTAGATGCCTCAGTTGCCAGGGGGCCTTCAAGGCTCATGCATGAAGGCAGGTTCAATATCGCTGTAACCCAGCCAGTGAAGCTCCGTGGATGGAAATGCAGAGCCAAGAGAGGAACCAAGGCAAACGTTCAATTGTGAGTCATCCTTGCCAATACTTTCTACACTTTACCTTATCGCTCCACCCATGGAACGATCAGGACTGGGGTAGTTATACAGGCTCATTCAGCCGTCGGCAATGCACTATCAGGCAACTTATCACTGCTAGGCTGTTAGCGATGAGCCCAGGTATTGATTACAAGGTAGATGACGGCTTGGACGGGAGGGAAGCTCAATTGCGGCCAATTATCCCAATGATGGGGCAAATCAAATCGGCGTCACCGAAGAACCAGTGACTAAACACAGAGCCAATAAAACCTAGTGGCGGTGTTGTCTCGTCGAGCCCGATTAGCCTGGCTAATGCTTTGAAACTGGACAGAACATCATTGGGACTGGCTGTGAAGTCATTTGGCTCCTTGGGTGTGCCACCCTCTTCCCTCTTCCCAGTCCTCGTATCAATCCCACATTTGTGAAATCCGTAACGTTGCTGCGTACCGGTACATCCCACCCTCAGCTCAACACACAGCGAGGGAAGGTCACCGTGAACATGGCCTGCTGTATGGTCTTGTAATTTGCAAACAAGGCGGCTTTTCTGGTGTGCCTGTCAGGGGCCGGCACCAGAGCAATCACCGTGACACCTCGCCATTTCATCGCTATGAACCGTAAACACCAGCAGACACTTTTGTAATCATTTAAGCTCATTTATCTGGCAGCTTCTCGAAACCCGAGCACCCAAACCTCACATTGGACTGACTACCATCATGGCTGATACCCAGGGTTTGCCTGGTGGGTGGACTAGCATAGTTCCTTCGTACTCGTATACCCCGAAAGATGATCTTAGTCCTTATAGCACCAATCGGCGCCGGCCCAGGTACCGTTGCCCCTTTCCAATCGTCTGATAATAGAAGAGACTGATGAGATCCGGTCCAAGCTGACTGGCTCTCATTTTTTGATAGAAATAGCAGCAAAAGCAGCAATGTACCTGGTATCTGGTGTGACTGGAGGGATTGTCCCAGCCGCCCGGCCTTCAACAGAGAGGCCGACCTCTGACGGCACATCCGGCACACCCACCTTGCTCCTGGGTCGTATATATGTCTCTTCCCTTAATGCGGCCGCTTGTTCAGCCGTCATGATGATTTGCTGGAGCATCGGCTGCGCGTACATTGATATTGCAACACTTGGCCGAACTGAATTGGTTTAGTCCAGATTCAATGGAGTGTGGCCTGGGCCTTGCTTGGGGTTTCACGGGGTTTTCGTTCTTTGATGTGGATCTCGGCAGACTTTTGAGGGCTCCCTTTATTCTGTTATAATTCCCAGATCGATGTGGAGACGTTTGATATCCTGTTCATTGGATTAATCTTATAATTTTATGATCCTATTTTTCCTGGACCAGATGTCGTGATGGATCTCTGATGCCAACGGCTTGCAGTGTGTGACCAATCACCGCTGGCAAAGTAGCCTTGCCCTTGATACACTCCACGAAGCAAAGTAGCACATACAAAATTCGATGTCAGAACAATGCGACATGCTGGCTGCCAATTACTAGTGCTAAGTATTCTTACGCGGATTTTGTTACGGCACGGTCCGGATCAGCGCACCGCTTCGGGCAAAACCGTATTACGTTCCATGACATGGACAGGAACTCGAGAGCTAAAACGCTCGAGTCTCGCTATCTTGGGAAAAGGCCCTCTAGTATGCCCTAATGGGAATACCATATCTCTCTCTCCTATCATGACCCTCTCCTTGAATTATGTCTACCGGGAGCCAATGGATAGTTCGAAGATTTTTGAACATTCAGCAAGCCAAAGCCATCTCCTTTCACCCCCCTTGAGTATGTATGTACAATGGTTGAAAAAATATGTATGCAGAAATAAAAACAACAGATGAAAGAGACAACACACGAGTAGATTTCACAGCGAGCTCAAGCGACTCACACTGGAGGCCTTGCTCACGCGATGACCGTGGTTCGCCTTGTTGTCCGCGGCCAGCGTCTGGGCGAACTTGCTGCGCTCGCGGATCTGCGGGCCCTTCCAGTAGAAGACATAGATCGGGATGACCACCAGACAGGACAGGCAGGCCAGGATGGTGGTGGCGTACTCGACGTGGAACTTGTCGCCGATGTTGGTGTACATGGGGGTGGTGTACATGGCCGCGATACCGGCCAGCAGGTCACGGCAGAAGGCATTGCCGCCGGTAGCGGAGGCGGAGTAAACGCCATACGCGGCGACCATGTAATCAACAGACGACAGATAAATGGCGTAGTTGGCGATACCGACCATGGCCGAGAAGATCATGGAGACGATCCACGGCACCCCATACTCCTTGCCCAGAGAGGTCCAGGCGAACCCGAATAGTCCGATCGGCTCCAGCAGCGCCAGGTACAGCAGCCACTTCAACCGTCGCTCCGGGGGCAGCGCATCGTCGCCCTGTGTCTTGCGGATGTGCTCATCACGCCAGAACCAGGGGAAGTACGAGAAGTAGGCAATCACGTAGGCGACATTTATCGGGATGACTGCCCACGCCTGGCCGAGCACCCCGAAGCCCCAGCCTTCTGAGTAGACAATGCTGAAGCCTTCCAGGAAGGTGAAGATGAGTGCGTCCGAGAATCCGGATAGTAGCGACAGGCAGAGCACGATCGGCTCGCGCAAGAACATGTAGAACGGGCGCACCCAGATCTTTCCGGCTTCTTTGAGGGACACTCGAGGCTTTTTCAGTTCGTTGGGGCCGTAGATGTTGGGGTCTTCGCCGGATTTGCGGCGGCGCTTGGCTTCGCGGTCGATGAGGATAGTGGATCGGCTTTCGGGCATGAAAAAGATGATGGCCTGGGTGACGGCACCGAAGATGAGCTGGATCCAGAAGAACCATTGCCAGTCCAGGACTGTCGAGATACTGTCAGTAAATATTTATTCCTCGCTACAAGGCCAGACTAGGGTCATCACTTACAGCGCTCAATCGGACCACCAATGACTCCACCAATACTGGTTCCGATACAGGATGACAAGACAATGAAAGCGAGGGGAAACTGTTGCGTGTCTGCCTCGTAAAGATCTGCAATCAAACCAAGAGTGACACTACCGCCTGCAGTTGAGATTCCACCCTACAATGATGTATGTGTTAGTCGACGAACTGCCGATCTCGAACGTTCGGGTGGGAGCCTACCAATCCACGAGCAACCAGAATCGTACCCCAGTTCGGGGCCAAAGCAGCCGGGATCTGCCAGATGTTGATGAGGAACATAGAAAGCTGGAGGATCGGCCACCGACCGAATTCCTCACTCCATGGCGCCCACAGCTCACAGCCAACGGAGTACGTGATTAGGTAGATCATTTGTCCCGTTCGGGCCTCCTGTTGGCCGATGCCGAAGGCTTTGGATAGAGGCTTCACAGCATTGGGAAAAACGGAAGTGTTGAAGTTCATGGAGACCTGGACAAAGGCGATGGCCGCGAGGTACGTCCATTTCTTCCATCGGGGCCAACAGTAGGCCAGCTTATCGTAGCAGTCTTCTTCCTTCAATTCCCGCTTTCCGTTCGAACGCAGCGAGCCAACCTCGTCTTCAGCACCTCCATGCCAGGGGGGTACGATGCGGTCCCCGCTGTCCTGACTGTCGCTGCCCTTCTCCTTGTCGGAGAAGGTACTGCTCGGTGATTGTGATTCGGCCCGGCTTAAGGGGTCAGCCATTGTACGAGGCCTTTACTGTACTGTGTGAGAAGAAGCGTATCGAGGGAAGATCTAGTAGCAAAATTTCATATCAAGAGGGGAGTTCGGGGTTGAAAAAGAACCATGAACGTGGAGCGAGCGGGGCAGAGGAGGGGGAGGCGGGGAAGAAAGAATTTTTAAAGGTCGTGGGACTTTCCTAAAAGAGATGAACTATTTACTCGTGTACTCGTATGTGTACATTATGCTACGTCGATGCGTCGTACTATTAGGGCAACTGATGCGCATGCTATGCTGGACTGTGGAATGTTGTCATAGTTCGCCCCCTCGACCTCCACCGGTTGATTCCCGTTGGTCCCGATTGGGGGTCGGCACGGCCTCCACTTGGCGGTGCCGATCCACAATTCGGTCTCCGACCAACATAACACCACGGGCCAAGAAACGATCTCACTCTCGGCAATAGAAATTTGACTGAAAGATGGCATGTGATGCGCTGGTTCGTGTCGACATAATGATTTTTCCTGGATAGATAATCTGATCCGCTTGGCTGAAGGGAAGTCTAGATGGTGAGCCAGGAAGTGTCTGTGGTTGTCACAACCCTTTTCCGGGTTTGTTGATGGTGTCATAGGCACATGAGCGACACCGTAGCGTTGGACCGAGCTTCTGATGGAACTCTATGGCACTAGAAAACTGATCGGGAGCGAATGATCGTTCTGTGGAATCCAGACGGTCAGCAGGGGCAGACCCACATGGAATGCTTATGATATCATGCTTGGATTCTCACCACCAGCTCCTACCCAGCATTCTGGAAGGGTCTGGCTTGCGAATTTCTTCTTCAACGTGAAAGGCAATGTGGCATAGAGATCAATAGAACAATAAAGTTCAAAGAGTTGACACAATCCGATCAGTGACATATCATCGATCATCGAGCTTGTTATTGGGTTAGGGTTTCTCCATCACAGCACATTCCAGGATAAAACCGGAACCCGAAATCCGAACCGTGGTCAACCTACTGATGCGATCATGGAAAGTGACGTATCTGCCCTGCATGGTTGCGGTTAAAAGTTTTCCTCTATCAGGCACTTTCCCTGTGCTATGACGTTCTCGAGCTTCTCAGCAGCAATTCGGTCGCAGTTTGCGGCTGTTGATAAGTGGATCGGCGGGTCGCGCATGCTTAGTGTCCCCTGGCGATCCACCCCTTGGTGGCGAGACCAGACCCTTCTCAGAACCTCTCCGTGCTTTAATGATAAGTTATGTTTATGTCGATTACAGAAGCACTATGCATTCCTCCCAAGAGTTAACTTATACATAATATACTGTGTAGACAGAGTACAGAAGTTATACCCTTAGCTTTGGTTTGTATATCCTCGGATCTTCCCGACGATTCGGCGCAGTATTTGTGTCGGTGTTCGCGCGCTATTAGTCTCAAGCGCAATGTTATTCTGAATAAAATATAGCTCTCTTGTCGAACTCTGCGATGATTTATAATATGTTGCGGTTGAGAAGAACCAATATCAGGTGGTGAGTGTTAACGTGAGCCACCTGACTGGAATGCTAGGCTGATGCGATCGTGATGAACTGACTGGTGTCAAGATGCTTTGTCATCATTTTCGAAATCTCTGCTTGTTCATTGACAACTAGAAAAATATTGAGAAGTGGTGCTCTCCGTAGAGTTGACGTCGGACGTATGCGACCTAATGGGCTCCTGATCTAGGGTCACGACTTGATTGACTCTCTACGCAGCAATCCAAGTGTAGAGGCTTGCGCATGGAAAACGTGGGAAGAATCTGTATAAAGCGTGAGCTGACAGCACAGAAGATAAGCGAACGTCTTTGCATATCTAAGACAACGGTATACAGAGTCAAGACAGCCACATCGCCCGCCTCACCCGAAGTGGTCTTCCTTTATACCCATTCTCAGAATTCAGATCGGATCCGTTCGCTGGGACTCTGTCTCTGACAAGAGTAGGCTTGCACTTATCATTGACTTAAGGCTTTGCAAATCGACCGGCCCCCATTTTTGATAAGGACCTGCACTGATCACGTACTGTGATCCGGATCGAGTCCGGAAAGCAAAATCGGTAGACCTTGCCAGGTCTCGCTCGCCGGTTAATCTATGCATCTTGCCTCACACCCACTCCTACAGCTAGCTACCCGGGAAACCTCGAGTGACACCAAATTCATAATTTGATAGTTAGTACAATGTTGAGTGGGCTTAATATTAGAAGATTAACGGTCGTTGAAATAGGTCTCTGACCTTTTCTTTTTTGAAATGCTTCATGATGCAGCCGTGGTGTTCTCTATGTGTACAGTACCCAGTAGACATTTGACCCCACGTTCTAACTTCTAGGCACGGTAACTTGCCCGAGGCATCTGTGGTTCATTGGTTTAGGCTAGGTAGGCCCCCTTGCTGGAGTGAATCGAAGGGGCGAGGTATGATAGGCTGATACTATATCTTTGTATGCCTCAGGCATTACACCCAATAGTATCACTGCTTCAGGCTGAGAGTCATCTGTCAGCGCACATCGGATGCAAGGGGCTCTGGCTGCCCTGTCAACATTTTGAAGAGTAGATTCACTTAATCAATCGAGACGTGTATGTACAGTACTATTCTCAGACTGCTCGATACTATTCTGCCCCTCAGGGCCAGTGAAGTGACTGTAATAAGTACTCTTACTATATTTGACACTTTATAGCTTGACCTCTCTTTGTTTCCTCGCCGTGCTTATAGTCGTCTGCTATGTACTACTTTGTGCATGAGACAGCTGCTTGTGAAAAAGCCAGAATTGCGGAAATATGAAGCAGACTATCATGAATCTTGATTCTACTTAAGCACTTGAGAGATTTCAATGAGCAGAGTTAGTATTGAAAACTAGATTCATATAAACATTTATTGCGGACTTCGTATTTCGGAATTTATGAGTATCTTGACTTTAAAGACTCACTTATTTCAAAGCCCAAACGTGGGCAAGTTCGTCCATGCCGATGAATCGCTCACATTTTTTCCAGAACCAAATAAATACTGTTCCATCGTACTACCGACCATTTCCAGGCCCGGAATACCGGTGTTTCTTTCGAATATGAGCTTTCAAATTATCCTCCCTCTTGAAGAAACCATTACAGCCACGGTTTTTGCACCTATAGTATGGCTTCGACGACGTGTGCATGTCCTCAATATGTCTCCTGAGATTCCATTTTCTTCGAGATTTGGTTGTATACTCGCAGTATGGGCAACGGTAAATGGTGGTATCTGTGCTTCTATCATCAACGGTTAGTCAAGGGCTATCAGAAAAGTCGCATGATGCTAGACTCACCTGCGAGCGTGTTGTGCAATAGCAATCTGACCACTATTATGAGCGTTCGCTGGGAAGGAGTCATCACATCGGGGTCTCTGAGAAAGTTGAGCAGAAGTGACCTGCTTGTTTGCCGTCACCGTTTGCACATTGCAGCCCGAAGTGGCTTCACTCATATACGAGACTCCTTGTGAGGCCCCCATCAAAGTATGCATAGATCGCACCGTGTCCATCTCAATCCCTAAACTCTCCGCACTCCACTGCCAGTCAAGGCTGGTGAGTCGAGGATCAATTGTCGCTGCTTGGTTGAATACACCCTCACTCAATAATCCTTCATCCAATACCTGCAAATTCAACTTCACGTTCTCATTGTAGGCATTGGAATGATAGCTATCGAGGCCCAGCGGGCTTGAGGTAGCACAAGGAGTAGGAGTCATGTCAAGCATGTGTGGGTTCAAACCGTAAACAGCCAAGCTAGACACCCCTTCGCCGTCTAAGCTTTGGGCTTTGCGTGATGAAGCGATGGCTTCTGGTTTGAACGCTTACTGGGGGATATAAGAGCAAGATTGGAGGCACCTCAGCCAGAGAACACAAGGGAAGACATTCATGCTCGAGCAAGAGATACATTTTCCTTCCACCCTTTTTGAAAGTGTTTTCTTCTACAAGTCTTGTTATTTCCTATAATCTATCGCTCTGAAGTTAAAACCTAACAGGTTAGTACCGACAGGGATTCCAAGGCTAGGCTGCCAGATCCAAGTGCTATGATTGTTGTCGTAGTGATGTCCTCTGCCTACGGCTAGGAGTCCATAAACTGCAGTATGCTGAGAGGCGAAGACTCATGATTTTTTCATTTCCGACTTTTGCTTATCGCGTCCATAGCCTTGTCTCATACCGCAATCGTTTTTGTGATAGCTGCCCTACATTACCTGATAAAGTCTTGGCGACAGTAGACTAAAGCTCCTCCAAATAGAGTGATGCCAGATAGCGTACTTTGCAGCCATACCCTGAGATTATGCTAGTGGTGTGGAAATATCGTCAACGTCTGTCTTCATAGATGGCTCCTGGGGAGTCCCTCTGATCTTGGTCTTTTGGCCGCCAGAACAAAGGGATTCTGAGAAAGCTCTATCCAAGCCTCAATCCAGGTACCCGTTCCAATAAGCGCGAGAAGCTATCCGGTGTGTGTAATACCCACCCGCTCGAAGGATCTTCCGGGACTAGAACCCGTTTCCGACAAACGCCCCTCCAGCTGGGGGAATGGACAAAGTACCTCATTTGAACCCAGCTTATCGAACCTCCCAACATTTCTAAACTTCTCAACCTTTAAGCCTTACCAAACTTACCACGTTGACCAAGAAGTCAAGCGATTGGACAGGTTGCATACTACGCCAATGCACTACATCTCGAGCTTCTTATGATGACTACTTGAAACCCACATCTGCCAAGAAAAGACACTCCACTCATACGCAAAGCGCGCACTGCCTGCTTCTAACTTGTTAATAACTTGGAGGAGTGGGTACAGTTTAGTTCCGACGTTGCTTTGAGTCCAACCGGGTACTTGTGGTGTCAACCTTGAGCCATAGATAGGCTCACCGAATCAGTGATCGGGTTATGTTGGGTGAACTGGGCAAGAGTACGGAGTCCTGATTTGGGAGAACACAAAACACAGGTTACCTTTGGTACGAACATACCGTACCTCAAGTATGATAGTCACTTGGCAGAGCACCTAGCTTTTGCATTAATTCATTTATCTACCTAGTTGCTTATACACATTTCGGAAGACTGGATAACAGAGGTTAGGGGACTGTGGGGCGTGAAAGGCTATATTAACCTGATCCAGCCGGAGTTAGGTGTTCCTGACTACCAAGTGAGATATATTGCAGATCTCCGACTTTGGTAATGTTGCGCGTATCCCGGGAAGAGCAGATGGCACGTAGATGCTCACGAATACTTACAGGAAAGAGCCGCATCAAGAGCACGTTCTGGCCAAAGAAAGACAAAATTGGTGAAAAAAAAAAAAAAAAAAAAAGAAAAAAGACTAAACAAGCATGTAGACAAGCACGACGTATCTGACCCTCCTTTCAACTTTGGTGGCTTAGTCTAATGTGACCCTGAAACACATTGCGGGGCACTAATATCATCTGCCAACGAATTGCATGGAAACTTTGACGTTTCATTGGTGAATGCACCTGGCCTCCTTCATCTTAAAGCAGGCGATCTCTTATACTGCGCGAGATGGGAATAACATAAGAATATTTAGAGCCCCAGTCAGCCCTGATTTCGGATGTACTGTCCAGATCCATCTTTAGTAATCATCCAATCCTTGGGTTTTCTCTCTCCGCACAAGCGGTGTGACGGACTGTTCATAGCAAGTGCCAAGGTGAGACGGCTCAGAACTCTTTCCATTGATTATCCTGCCCGTCTTCGCCAAATAAGCATCGCGGATAGCTTTTAGGTTTTCTTAGCACGAGACTCGGGAGTTGTCTCCACCCACCCAGTTGAGGTGAGCAGGGGTACCGTGCCCAATCACCAAAATCGCACCTTACCTCGTCACGACCTACTACTTGAGCCACAAGCTCGACTGAAATTGATGTTAAAAAGATCTATCTCTGTTAGACATGATTCATGAGGCCATAAAGTACTTTTTTTTATTTTCTTTTTTCTTTTTTATTTTTTTTTTTTTAGCTCCGTGGCTTGCTTTCCCATTTATGGGTGACATCTTACTATAGAATAAGGGACGAAAGATAGTTGCCGCTCAGCAACGCTCCATACACATAACAAATCCAACGGATGTTGAACCTCGAGCGATGATTTGAACATAATCATTGTCCACATGAAGTGCTTTGCCAGGATTTCATGCTGCCGGTGACTCCGCTTTACCCGCGGCTAAAGGCGCGCTGATGTGCTTTCTCGGACCAAGCACGCCCTCCAAGCACTTATTATGCAGTGACGCCTCAACAAGCCTCGGATTCAATTATGTACACAAGAAGGTGTGGCTGGGTTCTCAACCGCCCGAAAATACTACACACCTCCATCTTTCGTGGGGTGAGTCTACAGTGCCAAAGTATAGTATCTTGAAGCAACACAAAGTATCCACCCAACGGACCCTTAAACACGAGGTAAGCATGAGATAGCCAAGTTCCAACTAGGTCCTCGGCACTATTCACAGGCTTGGTCGGTAATACAAATTTTACTATGATGAAGAGAGTCTCGCCAGCGTCTGGTGTTCTGCAGAGTGCACTGTTGATTACTCATTGCCCCCTCACTAGTAGGCTATGCACTCAATCTCAACCCATTTGCGAGCATGGACAAATCCTAGCGTCTCGGCTGAGACTTCGCCTGTATGTATAGTGTGATTACTGTATCCCGTGACTCTGGCCGAGATTCCGATGCCTCAGGAGAGCTGAAATGAGAAGAGTTGCACGAGCAGTACCGATCAGGGGAGAAAAGAGCACCACTAGTCTTGATGTTGGCATTTCTGAGCTAGTGGGTTGTGTAGTTCGTGGAGGAATATATTTTCTGCATATTTCTTATGCAATGTACTGTACAATCTTGCTTTTGCTTTTATATTCCCCCAAAATACATCGATCCGCCGACCGGGGAACGGGGGAACGTGGGCCCAGACTCCTAGAAACACGGCTCCAGATCGGCTATTAGCGGCGGTTCGTCGGCGGATGGACCGTCCTCCCGTGGTGTCGTGTCACCCATTCTAAGCTTCTTATCTTTAATCAAAAAAAAGAGAAAAAAAGAAAAAAAAAAGGCACTCGTGGTCGCATTCCACGGGTTGGGTCCAGCTCCACAGTCCTGGGATACGAGTATCTTCCCTGGGGCTCGGTGACGCGAGGTACATTTGTCTGCTTGATACGTCTTTTTGTTCTGTCCGATGCTTGTGCCCAAGTCGGCGCAATCAACCACCCCATTCTCCTCCCCAACAATCGCCCCACTGATCTTGTACCTTTCGCTTCTCGTGGCCCAGTGAACTCACTAGATCGGCGTGATACTTAAGGTGCTACCCGGTAGATGGCGGCTCCTGCGCTGTCGGACATTCCACTTGGCAGGGCTAGAGCAATATGATTGGCATTCTCTTCATTGACATCGCAATGCATGGATTTACTCCTGCTTTCAGGCGGCGGGCAGCTAACTTCGGTCATGTGATTTTTAACCCTTCCCCTCTGGATTTCTTGCTTCTCTATGCGCATACGTCACTTGCAACATCTCTTCTGTATCCTGAGCATAGATATGACTTATGAGAATCTCTAAAGGTTTTCGACCACTATGACCCTGCAAAAAGGTGGTATACAACCCCCCTCCCTCTTTTTGGTCCTCCTGAGGGGGTAAATGCGAAGCTCTTATCGTCGATGGTTCTTTACTTATTCGAACGGATTATGCTTCTTACCTTCCACAGCCTGCCTGACCGCTCAATCCCCTTATTCTCCTTGGTCATCCATAACAGGCACAATGGTACTCTCAGCTGACAAAGCAAGAACATAGGTTACAATAGGCTTTACTAATAATTAATTATAACTAAAAAGAGATATAAGTAATTACAACACCAAGAACAACAATAACAACATCTATTTGATAAATCACAAGAATCATAACATCTATAAAAACAACCAGGATATCTCAAATCACGCGTGTAGCAGTAACAAAAGCCATGATAATAACAACACTAAGAACAACAAGAAGAGCATTGATAAAAACGACCAACAACAGCAATGTTTGTCGCTTGGATAGCCGTATGACAGTACAAGAACCCATTCATGTAGAAGGAAGGATCACTAGCGAGGACCCTGATGCCCGTGCATGCGCATTGCGTGGTCATGGCGGTTGTCGTCGCGGTTAAACCTGTCACGGCATCCTTCATCAGGGCAGACGTACGAGCCCGGCCATAGATGGAGAGATTTGATGTGTCGCCAGAGGTCGGCTGTTCGCTTGAAGGTTGGGCGGGTGCCGCAGCCTCTCCAGTCGCATTGGACGGGGCTAGATGTCGATGCAGTCCTGGATTAGCTGTGAAGGTTGACCCGGGAAGGGGAAGGGGGAGTGAAAGGGGGTGGGCACTCTACCTATCGCGATGCTCTGCTGCAAGCGCTGGACGAGCAGTGTTCCTGCTACGAGGCGACACGTCCTGTGCGCCAGGTAACTGTTGACCTGGAACACGGACAGCAGAAGGATAATGTTGTCGGCGAAGGCTGCGGATCGACCTAGCGCGTTCCCTCACCTGGGGGGAGCGTCCAGCGTGGGCTGTCGGCGAAATCTGAGGGTGCTGTTGGCCATCAAGTTGCAGATCAATGTGTGTCGGGGTCTGCGCCATGGAGTCAAAGTTCTGCATGGGGTCAAAATTGAACCAGCCATGTCTCTCTTCCATGAAGTCAGCCCACTCTAACATTGCTTCTTCGAACTCAGAGTAAGGAGTAGGATCGTTTTCATCTGGGAAGTTGGGGGTATCGGGCATGACTATGATATCCGACCGCGAGAACTTGTGCCTGTGAGATGTTTAAAGAATGTGTCGATGCTGAATTCGAGTGTCTGGGGGCAGTCGGGAGAATTTATACTAGTCTTGTTGGCAATGAATAGAAGCATGAGCTCAGGAACGCCCGCAGCCCAGGATCAAGGAAATAAGGCAAAGTAGGCACAGGATAAACAGCATGGATTTTCAATGTTGGAAATTTACTTCTTCACTCGTCAATGGACCAGATTGGTCCGGAAGGGCTTGGTCTTGCCAGAAAAGATCGATCGCTGCAGTTCTTAATGATGCCATCTAGCTACTCGGTACTCATCAAATGCGCAGCACGCCTAGGCTTGTCAAAGGATTCCCTGAGTCTACCCAGCTGTCATTGCAGCAATGATCCAATCAAGATGAAGCTGTGCAGGTACTCACTAATGGCCATGGGGTCTGAGGAAAAACTCATGCACCTGATACATAGTTACATACCCGCTAAGTTATCCGTAGTCTGCGGGTGATTCCAGTCCCCGCCATGAGCTGCATTATAGGCTGTTGCCGAGGAAAAACCTCGGCACCACCAATCTAGGGAAGGCATTCTTCAGCGCCTGACTGGGGAGATACCTATTATTTTTCTCTCCCAGCGTTGCAGAACTCCACCCGCCAGATGTAACAACAGATCGCCCGGACTCCTGAACATGCCAGCCAACGCCCGAACACCCGAACTACAAAAAGAAATTAGCCCAATCTGTGCGCACGTTCTCGGCGAGCTATGCATCCAGTTCAGTTGCTTTCCTGTCCTTCAAGTGGAGTTGATGAAGAAAAGAATATATTTCCCGGGGATCAATTTTATTGAACCTATTCTGACGGACAAATATCTCAATACCGGCTTGACCTACAACGCCCTATGAAAGGGTATTCTAAGAAAATGCACCTCAACATTGGGGTACATTAGAAAGGCAAGATTGCGAGTCTGTCAATAACTTAGCTACGTAGTTATTATAGTATTGAGGAGTTGGTGCTCTCTCCGCTCTTTCAAGAGGGCGCGCCGCCACTGCCACTGCCACTGCCTGCGGGACAGTAAACTGAACAGTGCCGCATCCATTGACGCCTTGATTCTGCACACCTGAGTCTCAGGAAAAAGATCTCATGGTAATGACAGCCAGATGGTATAATGACGGCACTGACGTAGAGTCCTGTCTTGTAGACGTATTAGAGATTAAAGAGAAGGAAATGGATCGGGAATCCACTCTAAGTTATTTTCCTATTTCTAAGGTATTTCTCCTCGCGAATCTGGATAAAGGTAAGCAAATAAAGGGGGAAAAAATCCATTCTTTACATTTCTGGATACTAGCATGTAGATGATTTGACATGGTGAGGGGAACATGCATCATTTTCCAGAAGGGGAGCGAGGCCTGCCTGCATCTTCACCGCTCCCACGGACTTGACGACAATCTTGAGCACACATCAACAAAGTATAAATCGGAGTGGGCGTCTCCACGGTGCGGTCTGCAAAGCTCAAGCGACTTCTTGGTGGAACGAGGGGGAGCCTGCATTGTCGGAAAGTCGGCATCGCCTCACTCCAGGCAACACGCCTGTTGCCCTGGGTCTCTCTTGGGTCCGTCCGCACAGTGTCGTCGTAGGGCAAGGGAATGGTAGGAACTGCTTCTAGACCTTTTCTAAACTATACTATAGCTATAAGGTCTTGTAGTGTAGCTGCAGTCAGAAAAGGGGGCAGTGTCCCGACTGAACAAGTTCAAGTTGATCGTGCAGACTAGAGCCTTGGCTGGCCATCAGACGAAAGTTGCATCAGCTGCACCAACCACACCTCCCTTCATTTCCCACAAACCCGGTCGGCCATAGGTGTTGTTCCTGGAAGAACAGGTTCCCGCGCTGGGTCCAGACCCGGCCAAAGAAACCTCCATGCCTGATCTTCAAAAGAGCCCGATAATCAGAGCTGGATATGCTAGCTCGCGATAAATCGGAATAACAAACCACGGAACTGTAGGGCGGGTTGACAGATCAAAGCGGGTCAGCTGAATCAACAAAGCCAAGGTGATGGAACGAGACCCGGGTGGGTTGTAGTCGACTCTTTTTGTTCCTTGAGCATGTTACCGCATTAAGGATATAATTGCGCAACATTTGTTTTATCCTTGATTAGGAAAATAAAAAAGAGACTTTTAAAACGGATATTATTATTTTCAGTGAGTGCACCCTACTTTGAGAGGGTCGGATTTCTCGAGAGGAACCATGATTGCTAGCAACCCAGTTACCAACATGACCTACTCTTTCAGTGGCCACACTTTGCTGCAAGAAAGTCCTATAGAACATCGTTAAGAATCATCAGATTATCCAGCGAAGGCAGTCATCTGGGAGTGTGTAATCAGCGAAGAAGACACACCGAACGCACGAATGCAACAGACTTCGAAAGCGCAGCGGTTAGTACTCCGTAGAAGAGTTTCAAAAGGTCCGAAGTTGTGATTCATGCACTGCTGCACAACCCAGCCCAGCGCAGCCACGTTGCCGGCCTCCTATGGCCCGCAGGCGCCAACCGAAAGAAGCAAACAAGTTCCGAAACAGCTAGCGCAACTACGGCTGGGCTATCGGTCTAGCAAGTACTTAACTTATAACTGATGAATCCTGCACTGGCTTGTACCTGCGGTCAAGACTGAATAAACTACTTGAAGATCTCTTGTTGTAATGCGTCAGATGCTAGTAAGTGGTCCATTATTCGATGACAATAACGCAAACGCTCATAGAGCCTACCCTACGGACTCGAAGCAGATCAGCAGATACGGATACCTTCAGTATTAGATTCCACGGTCTCGACCTCGATTTCAACCGAATCTATGCGACACGACCATGCCCAGGACGAAGACCACTCTTTGGCCCACCCACCAACCCACCCTAGAATCACAGAATCACTCAATCAACACCCGCAACTTCTGCGCCCACGTCTCCCTCGGCCGAGGCGGCCGCTCCGCCTCCAGAATCTCCTGCAACCCGGACACCAAATCGACCTCAGAGGGCTTCCAGGCCCACGGATCGGACCGAAAGACCACGCGATGCCCGACATACAGCAGCACGAACGCAGGGATGCCGATATACGCGGTGAAGAAGTTACTGGCGGACCACTCCGACGGAAAGAAGCAAGTGAAGCCGTTGATGAGCATCAGAAACACGGAGCCGACGAGCCCGAACCACATGCCGTAGGGCTGCAGGCGCGAGGCGTAGGGCTTCTCGAGGCCCTGGGCCTTGATGGCCTTATCGAACCGGAAGTACACGACACTACAGCAGATCCAGGAGATGAAGCCGGAGGTGTTGGTGAAGTTGATAAGCCAGTTGAAGACGGTGTAGCTGCCGCTGCCGACGGCCATGTAGGCCAGCAGGGCGAAGAGGGCGGAGACGCTGACGGCGAGGTAGGGCACGCCCCAGCGATTGCAGGTCTTGAAGATGGTCGGGGCGTTGCCGGCGACGGCGAGCGAGTACAGCGAGCGCGACGACATGTACAGGAACGAGTTGCCGGCAGACCAGGCCGACGTTAGGATGGCGGCGTTGACGATGCTGTCCAGCACGGGGATGCCGGCGTTCGAGATCGCGACCACCCAGGGCGACGAGCTGGCGTCGGTGCCGGTGCCGTTGATCAGTTGGGGGGCGTTGGACGAGCAGATCACCCCGATGGCGAGCGCGCCCAGGATGTAGAAGATGACCAGCCGGTAGATGTATCGTCGCGCGGCTTTGGGGAGGTTGCGCCGCGGCGACTCCATCTCGCCGCCGCTGATGACGATGAGCTCGGGCGCGAAGATGAACGCGATCGCCGACTTGACGACACACTGCAGCAGGCCGACGAAGCGGCCGGCGTCCCCGTGCACGAGGTAGGTGTTCATCGCGCCGGGATCCTTCCAGTAGTGGAACCCCAGGCGCTGGCGGTTGGGCCCGCCGCCCCAGAAGAGGATGAACGCCAGCAGCAGCAGGCCGACCAGCGTGATGATCTTGATGCCCGCGAACCAGAATTCCGTCTCCCCGTAGAAGCGCACGGGCAGGAAGTTTAAGAGGACGATCACCACCAGCATGATCGTGATCCAGACGGCGAGGTTGACGTTCGGGTGCCAGTAGTCGATGACCATGGAGGCGGCGACGATCTCGTACGGCACCAGGATCCCCAGACTGTACCAGTATAGATAGCCCATGGCGAAGCCCAGACTGCGCGACACGTAGCGGACGGAGTGGTGGGCCATGGTTGCGCCGTGAGTCGGGAGATAGGCCCCGACCTCCCCGAGGCCGGTGACGAGCGCGTAGACGAGCCCCGAGATGAAAATGTATCCTAGCAACAGCGACAGGGGACCTCCGATGTGTAGCGCTTGTCCTGATCCGACGAAGAGGCCGGTGCCGATTGTACCTCCTACAAGTCATGGAAGGGTCAGCTCAGTGATGCAGTACTGTGGTCGTGGCAGCCGAACAGACCTAGCGCCATGAGCTGGACATGACGGCTCTTGAGGCCACGCTGGGTGGGCTTGTAGCGCTCATCGAACAACTCGCGCTCGATCATCGTGCCGGGCTTGACATCCATGGTCGCAACCTCTGGGCCAGGGCGCGAGGGGGTAACCCCCGAGGATTTTTCATGGGTAACCATGATGATGATGATGATGGCGGACACGTTAGGTGGGAGCAGAGAGAAATCCGGGGGAAGATGGTTAGTTGTAAAGACAACTGGGGGAAATCCGGTGGACGTGCATTTCGAGTGACGAAGAAATCACGTCGTGCGACCTCATCGATTATAAGCGTCAGATCGTAAGTTTTCTCTGGACCATAGACTGAGCCGTTAGTCAACCTTGGCAAGAGTGAGTGTGCGAGATTGTGACGAGTGAGATGAATCCCCTCAATCAGGTCGAATGTAACACAGAGAGAGGCGTGGAAGATTAAGCGATAAGAAGATGCGGGGAAGCCCAATCGGTCACTGCGTTGGCTTGTTGAGAAGTGGTGAGAGCTGCGCCACAGTCATCACACTAACCGACTTCAGCGTCGCTTATCTTCCTGCTTTCTAACAAGGACTCCATCCTTAAAACGTGAACCGTCAGGGCTTCTGGAAGGCTGAATCCCTCCGTCGCATGGCTGGCGCTATCCAATCCGCGTCCTCTGCTAGCCCGCCCTTCCGCCTGTCGGGTCTAGCATGTCGCTGCGCATCTTATCTGTTCTCAGCCCTCCCCCTCCAGGGTCTAAGGACCCCTGATCCAGTGGCTGGCCGTTGAAAAAGCCACTTGACCGGTCCGACGACCGGGCCGGGTAACATATCTGGTATTCGAAGCCTTAACCTCAGTGACCTCGAGGACTCACGAGATTGTTAAGCGAGATGACATACTTCTTGGCGGGCTCGCTTGGAGTGAATACCGGCAAATCGCGAACCTCGGTTGGATCAAATCAGCTGGCAGTCCCAGAGACTCGGCCAATGCACAGTGGATGATTATAAGCGGTCGCTCAAAACACCAAAAAAACCACAATAGGCAATAATCAATTCGTCAATGGTCATTAGTCTTATACTGTATCGCTGGTCTAGACGACACAAAAATCCAGAGTATCAAATAGGGTATCGTCAACAACTCAATCATGCTCCTTACGGTTAGGAATCCCTCCCCCACCCACCAATGTGGTCCCAAGACACCATGACCACGCGACGTTCGCTCCCTTCCGTCCCCAACTGCCGTAGCAGATCCATCTCGTGCGCACTCAGCATCTTCCCATCCCTCCGTCGCTCCCACGCCGCCTGCGTGACGATGGGCGCCAGCTCCTTCGCGATGGCCGCCTCATCGCGATGACACGCATAGACCGTCTGCGACCCCCAGACGCGGGAGAAGTACCAGACTGCGCGGACGACGTCGTAGCGATGCTCGAGGAACCAAATGACGGGCCAGGTGATGATCCAGAGCTGCAGGATGATGCAGAACCAGTAGGCCAAGGAGTTGTTGCGCAGCTCATTGATCCAGTGCGGCGAGTAGATCGTCAGCTCCTTATTGGCGAGGGTGATGGAGATATCGATGTTCCCGTGATAGTTGAGGTTGCGGAGGTGGGAGATAAGGAGGGAGCGGAGGGTGGCCACGTCGAAGCCGACAATGCTCCTCGTGAAGCGAAACCTTACCGCTCAGATTAGTACGAGGCTGAACCACCCCAGCCAAAAGGAAGGGGGCACATACGACTTGACCGGCCCGGGATCCAGACAGAACCGGTCACACCAGCCCATCAATCCAGGTTCCTCGCCTTCTTCGCCCACCAGACCCACAATCTCCCCCTCGGACGCATCCTCCACATGTCCTCCGCCAGATCGACGCGTGTGACCGGCCCAGGTCTCCGACCGGGAGCGACCCCCGCGATACGCCTCCTGCCCGTCCCCATCGCGGACCACACTGCACACCCGCCAGCTATCGCGATCCTCTTCGTCGTTTGCAACCGCGTCGACCTCGTCTTCGTAGTCGGGCACCGCGTCGTAGTCGCGGACCATGTACTTGTAGAGATCGATCTTGAAGTCAAAGTCGACGACCGTCTCGTTCCGCGTGCTCTTGTTGTTATTGTTGCTGTTGTTGCTGTTGTTGCTGGTGCTGTCGGTACTAGTCGACTCCTCGCGGGTCTCGGTGTGGGAGCCGCGGACGGTCAGATACGGTCGCGGAGGGGTCCGGGCTTGGCGCACGATCAACGCGTAGAGGGCGGACGGGTCTTCGCTGAGGGCAGAGTCCAGCATGACGCTGCGCTTGTCTCCCGCATCGGAGGTGGTGCGATTGGAGCTAGGTCGAGGGACAGGAGGTGGAGGGGGGTTGGTCGTAGAGGGCGCCGAAGGCTGCGGTGGTTGAGGGGTGACTGGCCCAGCGGCGATGGTTTCTTCGTACGACGGGGGTGGAGCGGTGGGGTTGCCCATTTTGTGGGGGGCAAAAGTAGGCTTTGAGGAATACTATCGGGGTGTTGCGGAGGATATGGCTAGCATGTTAAGTGTCGTTGTTGCAAAGAGGACACATAATGCGCAGTACATGAGGTAACGTTAGAAAGTGTAGCCTCGAGAAACGAGGCGGAGCTGCTGTGGCGCTTCAGCCTTGGCCTTGGCGCTTCCCGCCCTATAAATAAACTACCTTACGATCCCCACTACCAGCTATCTTTGCCTCTTACAAGTGGAGATATCTCAAACAATCAGAATCACTGGCTAAATATTTTATTCAATCTCTCCACCGCAGTCCTTTGCTAGTCCCCTCCTAGGATGCTTGTTCCTTCCTCACCAACAGTCTATGTCGACTGCGCATTGATGGCCGCCACGTGATCCGTCACCAGGCACGTAAAGTCGCTGGTGTTATAGTAGAAGGTGTTCCCATCGTTGGGGGACTGGCCCCAGCTGAACGTGGTGCCATACTGCCAGTACAGATCGGCGGCGATCCCCGTCGCGTTTCCGGCCGTCTGCTGCCAGGGGCTCTCCACGGCGCAGTGGTTGGAGGTCACTCCGTACTCTTCCAGCAGGCACGGCTTACCCACAGCCTTGCAGGCGGCCGCGTGGGCGGTGATCCAGCCGTTGCCCCAGTCGTAGGAGGTGCCCCCTGCGAACAATGTTAGTATCACCGACTTCTTATTCAGCATGTCAAGACAACATACAGCTATCCGGGTACAGATGCAGAGTACCGAAGTCGATGGTCGAGATGCCCAGATTCTTGGTGAAGTTCAATCCCTCGCCGTAGGTGTAGGGGTAGCTGCCGTCGGAGTCGACGTCGAGACCGAAGCCCTCTGTTTGATGAAAACCGTTAGCGTCGGATGGGGAAACGGGATATGATCTAGGTCAACCGACCATCGCCGATTGTGACCAAGTGCTTCGAATCCAGCGACTTGATATACTTGGACGTGTCGGAGATCCAGTTGTACAGGACCGAGGTATCGCAGCCGTTGCAGCGGGGCTCGTTGGCCAGCTCCCAGGCGAAGATGGCGGCGGAGCTGCTGTAGCGCGAGACGACCGCCTTGATGTAGTTCTTGTAGGCGGCCTGGATGGCGGTGTTGGTGTAGAAGTCGGTCTGCGCGGCGGCGCCGTAGGCGGTCACGTAGGCCTGCATGCCGCCGTAGTCGGTCCATTCGTTGACGAAGTTGATGATCAGCTTGATGCCGTACTTCTCGGCCGAGGTCACCACGTAGTCGAGGCGCTGGAGCCCGTCCGCGCCCGTGTTGATGGTCGAGGTGCCGTTCGCGTGCAGCTGATACCACACCGTCCCGTCGGCGGGCTTGGTGTTGACGTCGTTGAACCCCCACACCCGCAGGATCTTAAGGTCGGACGCCGCCAGCTGGCTCATGACGAGATCCACGTCATCGTTGTTGGTCAGGAACCCGATCCAGTACGAGTTGGTGCCGGCGAAGTAGCCCGTCTTGCCGTCGATCGTGAAGTGCAGCCCCGAGGTGCTGGGGAAGGCGGTGGTGGCCGCGTTGTGGTTCGGCGTCCGCGGAAGAGCCGTCGCCAGCGCCAGGCTGGCGAGACTGAGGAGCATGTGAGAAAGCTTCATCTTGGTTTTGTGGTGTTGTCGAGTCGCCTGGCTCTAACTATCATGCTTGCCTCCTGCGCCGACCTGCCTCTTCTTATAGAACCGTGATTCGGGGCCATTGCAATCGGACCATCCTCCGTTTCTAAAATGAGAAGCTCCTTGAGGATCGAGGGGAGTCTGTTTCGTATAGGGAAGGAAGTCCACTGGACATCCGCTTGTAGCACGGAGAGACGGTGATCGTCAGGGCAGTTAATCAATTCGGCTCTGCTGGCGTTTTGTCCGTGCTGATTTGGGAATGGCGGATCGGCTGGTGTTTCGGATGACGTGAGTGGTGGAGGGTCTGTTCCACTTTACCCGCGACAAGTCATCGCTTGAATTAGCCACATTTTAGACTGACATGCATTGATGCATGACTTCTGGGGAAGACGATTGAGTTGTTTAGTGGTTGCGGGGTTGAGGGGCAGACTCATCTGCCTGGACGGTCGGGCCGTATGCCGTGCAGAAATTGCTTTCTTCATAGTACTTTCACAACAAGATCACACCATGACGAAGGATAGCAGTTATATGCCTCAAGGGGCAGCAGTGGGTCTTCGATGTCAAACTTGAAACCAATCTTGGCAGGGTGAGCATAGGTTCCAGACACTTCCCGCGTTTGCGCAGGGACAGACTTATACAAGAGCAAGACTTAAGACATGGACTAGTAGCCAGTCCGAATATCTAGTTCTCTGGTCTCACTTCGAATCAAAGCTGGTGCCTATTCATGAAAGCCGGCATGTACCGGGCATTGACCCGGTAATCAATTACATCAGAGACTTGGTGACTTCACTTGACTCAACCTCCGTCACCAAATTAGCCCTGTCAGAGGGTGCACGCTGGATCACACTGCACCTGCCACTGGTCGACTTCCGCGCGAAGCGATTCCGAATGAACCCCAGCCACCCAGGAGAACTCGCCGTGAAGACATCGGTATGGTCCATGCCCGCCACGAGGCTCATATGCACCTTATTCCCCGAAAGACAGCTCGCGTTGAACGACCGGACGGTAATCTCCCGAAGGACGGCGGTTTCCTCTAGTCCCTGAACGATGAGCTTCGGTGTATCCGCAGCACCCCCATTAGCCGGGGCCGTTGCGTTCTGTCACACCTGAGACGGGACAATTGTTCACGAGTGCACTCGTGTTTGTAATAATCTCTGACAGTGTCCGGCCGTACCTCAGCGACATGATGCTTTAGTAGCATGCCTGCGCGAGCTCAGCGATCTGGACGCGCTGGAGGAAGGTGTCGGAGAAGAAGGAGAGGTCGATCCCGGGGATGACGCGCTTGAGCGCGAGCGGCAGCCAGAGGGCTTCGTAGGTGGCATCGTAGCTTGCAAAGCCGCTGCCTGTCAGAATGGTCTCAGCCGTGAGCACTGTCATGTCGTAGATCCTGCTGGCGGGTGCTAAAACCACGGTACCCAGGTATTCTCCCGCGCCGTGGGTTTTGACTAGCTCACTCTTTGAAGGCTTCCAAACAGCACCGCCTCCCTGGCTGTGGCCCACGCTCATCCATTCTGAGGTGAAGGTATGGGGTAACGCCTTGCGCGCGGCGACCATGGCGTAGTAGAGGTCGTTGGCGTGGGCAGGGAACGAGAGGTATTCGTGGAGGGTGGCATTGTTTCCGAGACCCGCGTAGTCTGGCGCGCCGACTGCGTACCCGTCCTCAATCAGGAGACTCCAGCTGTGGTAGTCGTAGAGATCTGTGGTGGTGGTGGTGGTGGGAGGATAGCCGGTGAAGACTCCAATGGTGCCGTGCGCATAGGCGACCACGGGAAACTTGGGTCGGGTCGGAACGAAGTATATGGCATCCCGATGAATCCGGTTACGGGAATGAGGGTGTCGTGCAAGTCCCGTGTAGTATATTGGAAGCGGTAGGCGGTCATTCCGGTGCTCACGTTAAGTGTTTCGGCTCGATGGCTTCAAACTTCAGCAGATTGCCTGCAATGGAACCTGTGAAGTTGCTTTCGGTGCTGTAGAAATCGGAATCGAAGCTCGTACCGAACATCTCGACATCGGCGGCCAACCCGGCTTCGAAGTAAGTCTGACACATTGTATCACATCCCAGCTGAGTCAAAGTGGTAGTTGATACATTGAGGTTTGCAGTAGATGCTCTGACCAGAGAGCTGCACGCGAGGCCGATGAGAATGGTGGTAGGTATGGTAGGTAACATTGGAAAAGACAAGCTATTTCCGGGGGAAACACAAAGTTAGTGAGGGTATGAGAGTCTGCAAAGTTGAATAGGCTAGAAGACTTCATTCCTACACTCACGCGAATGAAAGCGATAATTATCTCTCCTTTGAGTCTGAGGAGTATACACTATCCACAACCCTAAGCTTATTTACCCGGGAACGCGCGGGCAGCGATCAGCTAGCGCTAGTCTGTATTTGGACATGATACTGCGATAGTGGGTCGGCCTGGAGCAGTTTGTGCTCTGGTGGAAGTCACCTGAGACTGCCATTAGACAAAAGCAACTTCAGGTCATTTTGTTCGGATGCTTTATGTGTAGTTTGCGATGCTTCGTGGACAAGAGCGGCCTCGGCTAGTCCATCGTGTATGGTTGATTGAGGGATTATGCTCCATCCATCTTCCAGGAGTGAATTTGGTGATAATAACTTTGAAGCTGCAAGCGCCTGGTGCTCATGAGAATTAGCTGCAAGATTACACATTGTGGAGGACCGACTACCATGTATGATACCCCTGCATTGTGTGTAGGTAGATCAAGATGTGAATTGCAGGCTTCATCCTGACGTTGCGTGGTTGCATCCGTGACAGTGAGAAAATCAAGGGATAGAGGAATATTTAGCTAAAACATTTATCAGACGCCAATTTGCAAGGCGACCAGCATCTCTCAAAGTTTGCCCGAAGCTCGCTTTAGAGGATTGGATCGTATAAGGCAACGTATGGGGAACTTTGTCGTCCGACAAATGTGTGGTCGGACGATTCGACGTGCAACTTACATTCAATACCGCTCGTATCTATCGAAGTGCCCTACTTGAGAGCTGCTCGAAGAATCTATTCTCCATACCTACATAGGGATAGTTGGCTCTCCTTTGAGCGAAAATGCCGAAAGAAACCCGAAGCTCCGGCCAGGTTTCATTGGCAGACACATATTAACCGTATGTCGAGATTCTCAATGACGAGTATGATGTGCACATGGCACTTGAGAATATTTGCGAGAATTGAATAAGCCATGTACTCGTAGTAAACCTTCTTCCAGTAAGATTTAAGAGATCACCCGACCGGTGAAAACCCCCTACCTTCAAATTGAAAGTCAAGTACAGCCAAGATGGAGGCCTCGAACCTTCGATCTATTTTTCTCTCCAGACTGCCAAATTTCCACGTGCTTTTGTCAGAAAAACCAGTGGATGCGGGAGATACCCGAAGCAAGTGTATCAAGATGATAGGTGACGCACCAAGGAGAATGGCATGATCACCTAGTGTAGCTTGATAGAAACAAGCAAGTTCCTCAAGAATCATGTCACTGCGTCAAAAGTCAAGGTTTCTTGCCCATCTGAGCAAATTAACTCCCTTGATTAACATGGGCTGTGCGGGCTTTGCCGGAGTGTCGTCATTATCAAAGAGGGCTCGGAGATAGTTCACTCTTTCGGCAGCGTCTCCGACTGACACCATCGGTAATTCTGATTGTCAGATGATCGGGAGACCGTTGCTTTGACAGATCGGGCCTCAGAGAAAACATCTCGTCGTGCTGGGTCTGCATTCGGCAAGTTCATAGCTTTGGCGCCGTGATTTTCGACAGAGCGGCCTTCGGATCTCGGAAAAAGATTACTGAGGCGTTGAACGGACTGGCACGATGTGGGGAATGACTTTTTCCGGGGCTGCCACTCGGTTGCTATGGTGTCCCGTAGCTGGCATGGGGTAAGATGTGACTCTCCAGATAATCTGTGGCAATCCTCGAAGCACAATAATGGTACGAGCGTACGGCCGAGTTATCTCAAACCTTGTATACTTTTGGCTTGAGGCTTAGCAATATGGCTGCTTCCGGCCGTGCCATTTCCTACATTCAACCTGGTGGCAATGGCTTTAACTTCAATGGTTCAGTCCTTACAGCAATGTCCGAGCAATGATCTCGAACTCATCGCTACCGGCAGTCGGCGGTCTGGCGAGCAGTCCAGCTACCAGAAGCCGGACAAGAATTTGATTAGATTTGATCCGAGACACCGTTCTAGGAAAGTTCCACGGCAAACTGGTGAATAAGCGGCCCATACGTCATCCGAGATTCCAAGACTAAGCGAGCACGTGAGGACACGACAGCCCTTACCCTATTTGAGGATGACAATTTACCCGGCTGGAGAGGTTCTGCACGAGGAGACTCAGGGGTTGCTGCCACCGATCCCAATACCTAGTCTCTAGATGATCAGTGGAACCGGCAAACCATAGTCAGGAACCATCTACAACTTTTATCGCACAGGGGAAGTGACCGGGGATCCTTAACGTGGTACATAATAATAACCTGATACTACACAGTAGACTGCGTTAACTGCGTAGACTGCGTAGACTGCGTAGAACTGCGTAGACGAATAGACCAGACCATATGGACAGTGCATGGGAATAGCGTCATAAATCATGGGCAGCCTAAGCAAGCCATTGTCGTCATTGTGCACTGCGAGAAGGATCAGAACCCTGGCCGGAGGGAGTTTAGGCGAGGTTCACACCAAGGCAGCCACGAAGCTTGGTGGAGGATTCCAGAGCCAACCAGTCGAGTCCCTTGACGCCACCAATCAATTTCGGCTCGGTCGGGATGGCAGTCAGCTGGACGTTGGCAGCAATTCTCGCAGGGATGGCGACTCTCGTGATCCCGACCATCGGGGCCGAAACGCTTCTCTCGGTCGGCTTAGCGAGCATCTCAGTACCAGATGTCGGTTGGCAATTGTCGACGAGGGCCAATTGGTCCAAGGGGCGTGAGAGCAATCGACGCTGTTGGGAATAGCTTCGTGCACCCAGTAGACACAACAGCTCCAGTAACATATCAAATTTCCCCATGTTTTGTGCTGGTTTGCAGGTGGTCATAACTGACGTTTTAACCTCCGCATTTCCCCTCTTTTTCCCCCTCCTTTTAGCACTGTGCAGGAAGTGGAAGGGACTGGGATTGAAGGCTCACCGGTCAACGGATACGGTATCGCACTCCCCTCAATTTCTCCAGGCCCTCCAGATTTGGTGGCCCTGCGTCAGCAAACTCCAGGTCACTCCAGGATATCCGACCCTTTCCGGGCCACGCGCGGTCATTTGCTTGCCGAACTCTGGAGTTGTGGGTGAGTCCCCCAAAGAGGCATGGTGGTAGTGGGGCATCTCCACCTTGGGCAAGAATCCCTAGTGTTCACGGCTCAATTCATCGCCAGGCTTTCCCCCTCTGGAGCGCCGCTGATGCCCGTCTCAACCTGCACTTTTCCTTGTTCTGCTTCTTTTCTTCTCTGATGTCTTGGCTGATGCACGACGCTCACATCCCGGTCGGTCATCATCAGCTCACTGTGAACCAGGTCTGTCTTCCCCCGGATGTCCAAATTGACACCAGACTAATCCATTTCTGTACGGCAGCATCTCTATTCCCCTCGTGGAAACCCGATGTCATCGATCTGGGCAATCCGTGGATGGCTCCTTGACACACGCCTCCCGCGCCCATGCAGGTGGGTGGCGTCGAACCCCTTCAAATCTCTAGCAGAGAATAATTAATTCCGTGTGCCGATGCCGTCAGCCAACGAGATCTGTCACCTGCTCTTTTAACTGTCCCGAAAGAGGCCCGTGGAACCCGATAGTACTGCACCTCCCCCTGGTGCTCCGGCTGTTCCCCAGTATTCCGTCACTTCTGACTGGCTTGTCGGTTTCGGCCGGCCTTCTACGGCATACCTGGGGCCATTGAGAAAGTCGTCAGCCCTGGTCTCATTCCCCCCGGCAAGCTGCTGATGTCGGCTCCCCACATGTCGGCACTCTGCCCAGGCGTGGATCTGTTTTCCCCCGATGAAAATTTTCCCCTCCCTCTTTCGTCTAGAGACAGGGCATAAAAGGCCGCTCATTCCCCCCCGAAAATGAGATCTTTCTGAATCAGGCATCTGCATCCTTCTTCGTTATCCCCAAACAATTCATTTCTTCCCTAAAAGGGTGATTGAGTTCAACCCTTCTATACCTTCACGGGTTTGACATCTCCCTATCATCCGCTCCATTGGGCTCGATCTCACGGATCATTACTCTCTTCGACAAAAGCAAAACAATCCCCGCAACCTGCACCCTTCTCCACCATGGGTGTTGAATCCTCTGCCAGCCATGGGGAGCACATCACCCCTGCTGTCGCTCCCCAACAACAGTCTAGCCAAGAATCGCTTGGCTACGACAAGCCGATGGAGATGGGCGTGGACACCCCCGTCCCTCGTGTCACGCTGCGCTCCTTCGTCCTGACCATGTTCGTCTCCATGGGAGGTCTTCTTTTCGGTTATGATACCGGTCAGATCGCCGGTTTCGAGCAGGAGGATGATTACCTTCAACGGTACGGTATGCAGAAGGCGGATGGTACCTGGTATCTCAGCAATGTGCGCTCCGGTCTATTGACTAGTCTGTTGTCCATCGGTACCTTGATTGGTGCCCTGGTTGCTGCCCCCATCGCCAACCGCATTGGTCGCAAGTGGTCGATCACCGTCTGGTGTGTCATTCTTCTCATCGGCCTCATTGTGCAGATCACGTCCCCCTCGGGTAACTGGGTCCAGATGGTTATGGGCCGTTGGACCACTGGTCTGGGTGTCGGAGGTTGCTCCCTCCTGGTCCCCATGTACCAGGGTGAGAGTGCGCCTCGCCACATCCGTGGTGCCATGATCAGTTGTTACCAGCTGTTTGTCACTCTGGGTATCTTTCTGGCCTACCTGATCAACCTGGGAACGCACAACCTCGATGGCACCGCTCAGTGGCGTATTACCCTTGGTATTACCTTCGTGTTTGCCCTCGCTCTCGGTGCTGGTATGACCTTCTTCCCCGAATCTCCTCGCTTCGCCTACCGTCACGGCCGCATCGAGGAGGCTCGCAACACCATGTCCAAGCTCTATGGTGTTCCTGAAAACCACCGTGTCATTATCAACGAACTGGATGAGATCCGGGCTCAGCTCGAGGCCGAGAACGTTAGCCAGAAGTGGCACGAGTTCATCACTGCCCCCCGCATGTTCTACCGCATCGCCCTGGGTATGGTCCTGCAGGCGCTCCAGCAGCTGACCGGTGCCAACTACTTCTTCTACTATGTAAGTTTACCTTGATTTCTTTTTTTATATGGATCGCCTTGCTAACGCCAAACAGGGTACTACTATCTTCAAGGGTGCTGGTATCTCCGACAGCTTCATTACTCAGGTGATTCTCGGTGCCGTCAACTTCGGAACCACCTTTGGTGGCTTGTACATCGTTGAGAACTTCGGTCGCCGCAAGTCTCTGATGGTGGGTGCTGGATTCATGTTCGTGTGCTTCATGATCTTCGCTTCCATCGGCCACTTCATGCTCGATGTGCAAAACCCCGAGAACACCCCCGATGTCGGCAAGGGTATGATTGTTGTGACTTGTTTCTTCATTGCTGGTAAGTCCGGACGATTCTCCCTGGGTACAATCTTCACAATGCTAACGATTCTTCCAGCTTACGCTATGACTTGGGGTCCCATGGTCTGGGCCATCGTTGCCGAGCTCTACCCCGGCAAGTACCGTGCCCAGGGTATGGCTCTGGCCACCGCCTCCAACTGGCTCTGGAACTTCCTGATCGGTTTCTTCACCCCCTTCATCACCGGTGCCATTGACTTCGCCTACGGCTACGTCTTCGCTGGCTGTCTGCTGGTCGCTGTCTTCGTGATCTACTTCTTTGTGATTGAGGGCAAGGGCCGCACCCTGGAGGAGCTGGACTGGATGTACGTCAACAAGGTCAAGCCCTGGAAGAGCAGCAGCTTCGAGATGCCGACTCTCCACTCGGCCGAGTACTTCCAGGAGGAGGAGCGTCACCGCAAGGAGTCCCGCTCTTACCACGCGGAGAACGCTTAAGTTGAAAGAAAGCGTGGAAACCAGAAGGAAAAGTTATACCCCTGGGGATTGGAGTTTGATTTGGATGTGTTCATGATGTTTTTCACGTACAGTACAGTACATATGTGGTGGTGTGCATTTGATCGCATGATATACCAGGCTTGGCCATCTACGTTAGTTATTGCATAGTTCATACATTTCTTGCATCTTTTAAAACCTCTCCGGAATGATTATAGGACGTAGCATCATGCCTTGTAGAATTCACTGGGATTGCCTTGCCACTGGGGTATGATGTCATGGTGTCACGGCTTTACTTGGCTGTCTACACCGCCTACACCGCCTACACCGCCCACACGATCCACCGCCATCACTGGCTTATCGGTGGGATCTTATCGCACAGGCTGGACAGACCACAGGGTGCAACAGACAGCAGCCATGGCCAACAGGCGCCATCAATGCTCAGCCTTTCATACTACCGCCGTGTCAACGGACCTCAAGGCAAGTAGATGAGATGAGACTACGACCATAACCATAATCTAATTCACGAAGCAGCCAACCCCAACACTCCGATCCCTCCATCTAGCCCCTACAGACCACCACTAGCGCCGCCCCGGGGGCCCGCATGCTAATCCTTCCCGCCTCGTATAACCACCCGCGATCCTTACATCCACGTCAACCTCGATCCAACGCTAACCAACCACCTTCTCAGGCATATTCAACTACCCATCCCCCGTCACATCACATCAGAAAAGTTTTCCCACCCACCCACCCAAAATGTCCCCCCCAAAGCAACAACCCGAAGAAACGCGCAAGACAGTCCTCATTACCGGCTGCAGCGCGCACGGCATCGGCTCCGCGCTGGCCCAAACCTTCCAAGCCCGGGGCTTCCACGTCTTCGCCACCGCGCGCTCCCTCCCCAAAATGGCCCACCTCGCCGACCTGCCCCACATGACCTTACTGGAGCTGGACGTGACATCGCCCGAGCAGATCGCGCGGGCGGTGGCCGCCGTGCGCGCCCACACGTCCGGGACGCTGGACTACCTGGTCAACAACTCGGGCTTGCCGCTGGTGCGGCCCGCGCTGGAGACCTCGTTGGATGAGGCGCAGGCGCTCTTCGATGTCAACTTCTGGGGCACGGTGCGCGTGACGCAGGCGTTTGCGGGGATGGTGGTCGCGGCGAAGGGGTGTGTGGTCAATATCGCGAGTCTGGGGGGCAATATGCCTGTTGTCTGGAATGGTGAGTTGCCTTGGTTATTCGCAAGGGGGGTAGGGGAGAGTGGGTGATTTGCGTGAGGCTAATCCGTTCGAATGTTCTGTGGTGGATGGGCAGCGTTCTACGCCGCCTCCAAAGCCGCCCTGAAATCCTACGGCGAGACGCTGCGGTTGGAGCTGGCGCCGTTTGGGGTCCGGGTCGTCACGGTGATGTCGGGCGTGGTGCAGACGCAGATCTTCGCTAAGCATCCCGACCTCGAGTTTCCGGGGTCGATGTATGAGCCGGCCACGGAGGGGGTTCGGCGGATGGCGGCGGGGGATTCGGTCAAGGATCCCATGGCGCCTGAGGAGTATGCGCGGCGGGTGGTGGATGATTTGCTGGCTGGGAAGACGGGGTTGGTGTGGCGCGGGAGAATGGCGTCCATCGGGTGGTTTTTGACGACGTGGATGCCGACTTGGGTCTTGGTGAGTTACTTTTCTTTGATGTTTTGGGGGTTGGGCGTGGGTGGATGTGTGTAAGTGTGTTTGGCTGACTGTTTAGGATCGGATGGGGACGGCGGGGATGGGGTTGGAGGAGTTGAGGAGGTAGATCATTTGTTCAATAATGGGTGGTATGTTTTGGGTTCTTTTGACTCGGAAATGATTCTCCCTGTTGGCGAGTTGTATATTAGCTAGAATGTATGAACACTCCACTCTCCGGTAACAGCGGTGACGAATTGTCCCAAGACATTAGCACTCACAGGCAAGAGGTAGACATAGGGCTATGCACCCCACCCCACAGAACACCACAACTAACCATGACTAACACATACAAGGCCCAGCCGGATACTACCCCAGTCCTACAGCACCATATGATTAACCAACTACTAACCCACCCCATGTAGTCCATCACATGCCCATCAACCGAGTGGCACGCCCCCAAAGCTTGTCCCGCAAAGCCAGATATAATAGCCTGAAGAAAACTACTTCTCATCTCTGAGCGAGGGAGCAGCCATTTACTGTATACCATCATGTGTAAACAATGCACTTTGTAACTGGACAGTACACCATGTAAACATAGCCGTCTGCGAAAGGCGGTGTGCCATTCTGCCACTGCACCGCACTGCAGGAGCTCCCCACCCCAACATCCACAAAGGGGATCGCGGTGTTTTCTTTACCTTTTTTCCACACCTCCCTAAATCCCCCACCCCCAAACCGCAAAATCACAAGCACGCCCTCTATTTGCACCCCCCGGACCCCAGGGACTAGTCCGACCAAAAGCCCAGAACATACTATACATTGTCCCTCAATGCAAACCACCCAGCCACACCACCATCAAATGGCCATGGCCCCGGCCACGCCCGCCTCCCCCTTCAACTGCTTCGCCGTCGCGCCGCCCACCGACCCGAACGCGCCCCCGCCCCCACCGCCCGACCCATCCATGCTGCAGCTCCCCCCACCCCTCGAGGGCTGGTACGTGAGCTGGCAGGAGGCCTTGGGGAAATCTCAGGCATTCGCCGAGTCGCACGGCTATCGGCTGGTCAAGAAGCGGTCCAGCCGAGGCGAGACGGGCGGCACCCAGCTCAAGGCGCTGTACCTGATCTGCGACCGGGGCATCTTCAAGCCCTCCGTCGCGAAAATCCGCAAGCGGCCCAACCGCAAGCGCATCGGGTGTCCGTTCGATATGTCCATCCTCTGGAACTCGCGCCAGGGCCTGTACCAGGTGCGCGTGCGCAATCCGTTGCATAACCATGGGCCCCGCGAGAAGACGCCCCCGCGGGAGCCCTCGCCGGGGTCGAATCTGCCGTTTTTGAGTGAGGAGTTGCCGCCACGGCTGGGGGAGGAGGAGAATGAGGAGGACGGGGAGGGCGAGAGGGAGGGGGCGGAGGGTACGCCGTCCGCGGAGTCGGATGCACAGCAGCAGCAACAGCAACAGCAGCAGCCAAGCAAGCCTGCGGGGAAGAGGATCAAGATTCGCGGGCTGCGGGATGTCGCGGTCAAGGCTTATTGTGAGTGGCAGGAGTCGTATGTGCAGTCTCCGCTGCTCAAAGCGGAGTTTCGCAAGGCGCGCGACGTGGCGTTGGAGAATGGGCTGGATCTCGAGCAGATGCACTTGGATCAAGATTGGGAGTTTTTTGTCGAGAATGGGGTCAAGAAGGGGATTGCGAGGCGGTTCATTGAAGATATTGGGGAATGGGCGAGGTTGTTTGAGGAGCTGTCGGGGAAATAGAACTTTTGACTGTGCTTGCAATGGAGTCCGCTTTGATGAAAAGGTTTACTGTACATATCGTGTTAAGTTCATTGGCCAGCGTGCTTACTTTTCAAGGTCTGATGGTGCAAATTGCTCTCGGGATAAACTGCTGGGCAATTTACTCATGAGCTAGATAGCCAGAGACATCGAGACCTGACTATGTCCGCTTAGAGGGACGGTGTCAACCCACGCCGCAACTTAGGAGGTGTAGAACTTCCTTGGGGCCGAACAGTGCGGGCCAACAGTTCAAGGATGCAACGATTCATAGAGGCTCTCTGCTAGAGCATCTGATTGGCTCCATCGTAAGTTAAGGTCATCGAAGATTGTGGAATAACGTGGGTGACGTTGATCTATGGGGGCCATTAGGGCGCAGTCGACATCTGCAGCGGCAAGGATCGGGGCCAAAAGCCTGCCGGAAAAATCTTGTGCAAGGCTATCTAGCTGTGGTCCTGACAGACAATAAGCTTGACACTGCATCCGCTGCGCAGCAGTCATACGCGTCATGCTCCCCCGCAAAACCGCCCCCAGGCGTTTCGGTACCAAGCCACTAGCCTGATTCGCTTATGCAGAACTAAGTCGGGTTTCATGGCAACATGCAGCCATTCAGTATACACCTGTCAATATGGACGTTTGCAGTGTTAAAGACAGGAAAGGTATAAAAGCGGGCTGTCATCTGTGACTCCAGATCATCATCAACGACAACAGCACTCTCAACACACCACTACAAGCACCCAATCACTCCTTTGACTCACTCAAGTCCATCATTCTCCATTAAAACAATCATCGAAATGAAGTTCTCCACCACCCTCATTTCCACCGCCGTCTCCCTCCTGACCGGGCCCCAGCTCGTCTCCGCGCTCTGGTCGTGCAGCGAGCTCTCCAAGCTGGGTGACACCGCCATCGACGGCACCGCCTACATTCACTACACCTCCATCCGCGACAGCAGCTACAAGGCCAACGGCGAAGGTGCCGCTGAGCCATGGGTACGATGACTCCTCCCCGTGAAATTGCCCACTCCTTTCCTATCCAGAGACATTTCAGCCAAGAACGAACAAGGGCTAACCGCACTAGATCGCAATCTGCACCCCCAGCGACGACTCCTGGAGCCAGAAGGACTTCGGCCTCCCTTGCACCAACTCCGCGGGCGGCAGCCAGCCCTACACATTCTCCGCCTCTGAGACCGGCCTCGGCGCCAGCCTCGTTGTCTACAGCGGCGAGGGCTGCGATGAGAGCGCCTCCGACCTGCAGGGCGGGTACATCTCCTTCGACGGGACGACCAAGGAGTTGAACTCGGACTGTGGCACGCGCAACAAGGGCGTTACTTGCCAGTTCTCTTACTCTGCTTAGGGGTAGCCTCTTTCTTTGATTGAAGGGGGTCTTCGCCGTGGTGATAGGTACAGGGGCAGTGATGATCGTGTGATTAAAGTTGGGAATACGGTTATTTCCTTTGCTGGTCTTTTTCTGTGTTTACTATTGAATAGAGGAAACAGTCAGTGTCATGGCATAGCTTGTAAGGTGATCGGAAGAATGCACTTGCTGTTTATCCTGAATATGACATAGATCAAATCATGTCATTGAACCTGGTATACACAGAAGAGATACGACGATAGAGTTGAAAGAGTCTCATACAGTCGGCGAGCCTCGGAACCAAGGCTCACAACCAGCACTGACAGCGATAACCGGACCATAGCGCAAGTATAGCAACGAAATGAGATCAAAACTCCGATCCAAGACAAAGAGCCAGACAAAGTCATTGTCTCCCCACCACCTTCGACCTTTATCACAGCTGCGCTCATAGCGGGAGAATACTATCCAAGATTTCCGGCCCTCACTATACACATCCACACATCAAACCCTCATCCAAGGATTATAAATACAAGCCCCCTTACCCACTCCTACCTCAAATCAACATCATCCAAACCCACAATCACCCAACACACTCACAAGCTACACCAAGATCCCCAGCATACGTACAGCACTTACCAAGTGAGAATGGCCCCCCGTCTACCCAAAGTACCGCCCGGCTACCTCGCCATCTACTGGGCCGAGAAGGTCGTCCTGCTGATGTTGCTGCACTTCCACTCGCCCGTCGCGTGCGAGCCCGAGCCTCTGTTTGACTTCGCCGAGGCCGAACGCGCGGTGGAGAACGGCTTCATCGACATTTTCTGCGGCAAGGTGATCCGGTCCAACATCTCGGGGGACTTTGCCTCGCCCAAGAGCTACGATGAGGTCGCCGGCCCCGGCGTCTTCAAGGCCTGCGTCGACTTGACCAAGCAGATCATGTGGGCCGCGCACCAGGATCCGTCCGTCTTGGACGGGGAGGGGGAGGTGCTGGCGGAACGGCTCTGCGCGTTGGGCTTCGCAATTTTCTAGTTTGCGGAACGAGATTGGGGATGCGAGGCGGAGGATGTAAAGGGGGGGCTTTGTGTCTACCTATAGTCCGTTTATAATATCTGTGCTTGTTGGTCCCTTGGTATATAGGTATTTTCCGTATGCGGAGAATAGTCAATGGACATTGGTCATGATATGATATGGATTACTTCCTTTTCTTTCAGGTTGTATTTGTAAGGTTCCTCAAGTTCCACTTGTATATTTATGTACTTTCATATTTTGATTCGTTGCTATCTTTTTAACATGATTCTGTCATCCACCAATTGTTCTTTTTGTGTGTTGTGCTTTGTGAATTCTTTAATATTGTCACTTATCCCGGAACTGGACAGTATAGTCCTGGGTTGTTCAGGAGCTGGCTAATTTTAAGAACCTGGACTCGTAGGTAGACATCTGCCTCCGCCAATCTGGGCACTGGGATTCCAATCCACCGGGAATCTTTTCTTTTCTTTCTTTCTTTCTTTCTCTCTTTCTCGGGGGTTTAACGTCTTGAGGAATCGCTTACCTGTGAGTGTACCCCACACGATGCCATAAGCCAAACTACAAGGTGTTGGTTCGAAAATCTCGCTTCTCATATATGTAGTTGGATTGGACAAGGTCATTATCGGCAAAGGAAAAAGAATTGGGATAAGGAATCCAAGAAATCAGTGTAGTAAAATGCAAAAATGGAGACCTGGGGTGTATGAAAGTCCCCCGATTGCAAGATAGGCAATGCTTGCTCTGTGGCATCGCATTGACTATCAGGCAGCAAATCGAATGGTCTCCTAGTAGAAAGTCCCGCAACTGAATAGTCCAGTCGGAACATTGTATCGCCAAACAAAGTATGTACAAACTTATGCCATATGACACTGCACACAAAGCCGTGGGGAGAGGGATAAATAACAGATAAATACACAACCAAAGCGAGGATCGTATCTCACATATGCAATAAACAGGGCAAAATGCTTGGTGTCGAGGGTATCCGGATCCCGCCAGCGCTAAAGAAAACATTATAAACAAGGACTCCACAAGGAATTGCGGATCATAGTGATATTTAACAAACTGAAGGTGCACCGAAAAAATCACCCCCTCGCTCAAACAGCCTCCCAATCCATCGCATCGACCAAAAAGTCCCACTCATCGGGATCACTCTCGCTCCCGCCCGCGGCGGCGGCGGCGGCCGCGTCGTCCTGGCCCGCCTCGCGCCCGAGCTCATCGACGCGCAGCTGGGCGATGTCCGCCGCCTCGACTAGCCCCTGCAGGATCTGGACGAAGATGGTATCGAAATCGTAGCTCTCGAGCGGGGTCAGCGCGTCCTTCCAGGCCTTGTAGCCCGCGCGCCAGGTCTGGGGGTCGCGCTCGCGCTCCTCGGGGTCCATGTCGGCATACTTCCAGCGGTTGCGCAGCTCCTTGGCCCTCTGCAGGTGGGCGAAGCGGTCGCCGGAGCCCAGCACCTCGAAGTACGGGCTGTCGAGGTCGCGGAGGGCCTCGAGGACGTTGGCGTGGTAGCGGTGGGTTCCGGAACCGCCACCGTTCATCTCGTCCGCCCAGCTGATCTTGGTGGACGGGTGCGCCCGCGACACGTGGATGTTCCACACCAGCATCAGGTACACGAGCGCCCGCTCCAGCAGGCCGTAGTACTCGTGGAAGTCCAGCTTGAACATCTGCTCCGCGTACAGCTGCTCCGGAGCGGGTTGGTCGCGGTTCGTGGCCTGCTTGAACCCGTCGACCAGGTGTCGCAGTTTCCACTCCAGGCGGCGGCGGATCTTGCGGTACCGCGAGAGGGCCTCGACGGCGTCGGCGATGGACGGCGGGATCGGTCTTTTCTTCTGCTTCGTCGTCGGGGACTGGGGTTCAGAGCGCAGGCTGTGCGCGGAGGAGGACGGCTCCGGCGTTGGCTCGCGGTGGGTTGGGATCTTCTCCCATCCGTCGCCGAGCGAGGAGCTCACTCCTCCGACCACCCGCGGGAGTCTTGCCGCTCGTTGCTGCTGCTGCTGTTGTTGTTGGGTTGGGCTCGTGCTCGTGAGAGCCGTGCCGTTGCTGAGGGCAGGGCGCGGGGATGGGCTCCAGATTTTGGGGTTCGTGTTGGGTGCAGTTGACGCCCCGTTGGGAGTGCTGCTGGCTGTGGCCGTGATGGTAGTAGTGGTGGTGGTCGTGGTGGTTGCAGTGACGGCGGGCTGGGGTGGCCGGGTAGGCTTGGATTTGTGAGACTTTTTGCCATGGCGATTCTTGGTCCCACCATGGCCACAAGGCTGCTGATGATGAGTAGTGGTAATGGTGGAGCTTACACTGGATGGCTTGTCGGAGCTCTGGGGGGCCCAGCGCGACTTACCAAGTTCTTCACTCATGTCTTGAGTCATGATGATAATTTGTGATGAGATAAGTTCGCGCCAGTTTCACCGAATAATCTTATCGGGGTTGCGGGAAAAGTGAAACGGGGAGCCTGGCGTGCGACGGAATCGCGGCTATTTATGCATCTGACTAAACTTGTGCGGCTTTGTTTCTGGCTTCACCGCGGCAATCTCCGCCCTCCTCGAGCCTTTGTGCTTGGAACAACTAAATCTTTGTGCAGATCATGCAAGGTTTTTTTTTTTGTGAAGAGATATTATTAAGGTGATGAATTAGGTCTGCGGTGTACTTGATCGTGAAGAAGATCAAAAACAATGGGGTCAATGCGATCTTGTGGATAAGAAATTGGTACAGCACATAGGAAAAATCTTTGAATAATTGACAAACCAGGTGACAAATGCCTCCCCCTGGGTGTAACTTATGTATTCGGTGCAAAGGGTATCAAACAAACCCGGAAACAAAGCAAAACCCGTCATGACTCCATAACACCGTTCCTCATGGATGGTAAATAAAGTATCGGGGGTTCCTTTCAGACCCGAGTGTATTTTCCGTCCATCTCCACCAAATGGACCTCGCTGTTGTCATCGCGCGGGCCTCGTGACACATAATCAACTGAAAAATTGACCGACTTGGAGATTTTGCTGTTGGCATTGGTCTGGCCCTTGGACAAAAAGGAAGGGCCGCGCGAGGCGTAGGTCCGTCGCGAGCCCTGGCTGTTCATCCCCGGGATGTGGTGGGCGGCCACCGCTCGGGCGGCGGGGAGACAGGTCGTGAGGATGGCGATTTGCGACTCGATGACGGACCAGTGGATGAGCGGGAGGAGACCAGCTATTTGGAGTCAGTGTCACGCTTCCTGCGCTACCGATGGCGAAGGATGAGCAAATGGGCTTACCAGTTTGGTTCACGCCCCAGCGGTGGTTCCAGAAGACAACCAGCCGAATAATCGCGACAACCGTCAAGCTAGAGAGCATTTACCATCAGTATGGATATCAGGAATCTGAACGCCACATGATCCAACTCACATCAAACCCATCATGAACATCATTCCCACGGTAATCTTCTTGCCGGTCGGCAACTGCAGCTTCGAAACCTCGTAAACGGGCAGGATGACGATGATGACGTCGGCGACAATGTTCGCAATACAGTGCACGAGAATGGCGTCGATGAAGTTGATGCAGGTTCCGCCGGCGTAGTTCGTGGCCCAGCCATCCCAATCCAGGTGGACCGGGGTGCACCGGAGCAGGTCGACCAGCGCGAAAGTGATGCCGATCGAAGCGTTCACGCCCATCATGATGTAGGCGAACATGCGGAATATGCGCGACTGGAAGATGCGGAGGAGGAACAGCAGAACGGAAATCTTGGCGAGCGAGATTTGTGTCTTGTAGACCATGGCTAGCGCTTCAAAGTGCTATTTGGATGGTGACCCGTCAGTGTTACTCCATGAGGGCATGAGCCTGTCACACACACCTTATAGAAATTCGTGATGTCGTCGAACGGCACGTCCCAAATGTTCTGGCCGAAGCCGTAGTAGATCACTGACGCAGTGTTAGTTTGAGGCGATGAGCCGTCACAACTCAGGAAAGATCACTCACTCTTGTCGTACATGGCATATTCCACAACACCAAAGGCCTGGACGACGTTATCAGTGAACCGCCAGCGCAAAATCCAGTACGCGACCGAGTCTTACAAATGAAAGCGCAATTGTGGTGTCGTCCGGCCCCCAGCCTCCCGCAAGACCCTGAAACTTGGCCCATAACCGGATGACGAAGAAGACGGTCGCAAGAACGAGCGGCGCAAGAACGGATGGGTCCACGAGGGAAGGACCTGCGCGAGGGCGGATCTTACATTCTTGTTCGAAGAGGTGTCTAGCGTCTGCAAGGGATCATCAGTATGAGAAACGCCTTGACTGGATCATCATTCGGAAAACTCACGGAAATACTCCTTGGGAGTACATTCACTTGAAGCGTAGGCGATCAGGCTCGACTCTTTGGTGCAGACACACGAGGTGTCGGTGATCGGGCAATCGGGATAGGTTTGCTCCCAGTAGGACACCTGCCAAAGGAAAAATTAGGGAAAGAAACACCAAGTCGAGGGGCAAGATGGGTACTAACGACACATTCTGAGAAATCGGCGGTGGTATAATTTGTTGCGAGCGCGGTGGTGGTGAGAGTTCCTAGCAGGAACAGAAGAGTTTGGTGAAGCTTCATAGTGACAGTGACAGGCTTTGTCGGGCGCAACGAGACAACAGCAGCAGCACGTTGCAGCGGCAGTAGTTCATAATTACAAGTGGATGAACTTCCCGGGGGGGGGGACAAAAACAGTCTTTAACACCCCTTATTAAGACAGCCCTCGGGCCAAACCTTCTCCTTGAGTCCACACGCACCACCTGAAACGTCAAGCAACGGTTGAGCGAGCACCGAACCAAGCCTACATCTACGCGGTGCATGAATCGTATCGTATACATGCCCACCTTGGTTGGGGGCCCAGATCACTCCATTGCACATGGCCTTGACTTGACTAAGGAAACTCTGAATTTGGAAAAAATAGAAAAAAAAATGCTTGATGACTGGCAGCAATAGTGAAATCTCGGTAGAAAAGTCTGCCCTGCCATGGATTTAAGATTGAGTGTGGTGGGCTACCATCGATCTACTCCGTAGTACAGTTGCTAGACTACAGTGCGCAGGGACCCGTGGGTGGGAGTGAAACGGAACACCCCCCGCTAAGCCTTTTTGGTGCTTAACCTCCGTGGCGGCGATCGGCTTGTGTTGCCCGACAAGACGCAGTGCACCCGCCGCAGTGTGTCTGGTCCAATCCGACGAAGTTCCAATTACTTGGTCACCCCTACTCCACTAGCAAGATAGAATCGTCGACCGGTGACCCAGGAGATTCTGCTGTACTGTCCATGACAAAAAGAGACCAACCTGGACGTCCTGTCTGAGTCCCCATCATCGGCTGAAATGACTCTGTTTGACTGAGACTCCTTCCAATGACGCCATGTGGTTGGGGTTTTCTGTTTATTACTGCGGCCTACCACCACCCCGTGCCTGTACCCCGCAAGAAAACAAAAAGGATCACCAAACCCTGGCTTGGTGGCTTGCTGCCACGCACGTGGCCTTCTAGAAGTCCCCCTTCCTTTGCACTGCAGTCACCCCCTCCTACCTCTTTTGCACAGTACCTATGCCTCGTGCAGCGGCCAAGTGGGACAACCACGTTAAGCAGCTGCCGGACTGTTTGTTATAAATGAATGATCCAGACTTCATTCCCGAGGTCCCAACTTGGAAGGCCTTGGAAGGCCACAGTGCGCCATTGCAAATACTTCGAAGGGCTTAGTGCCCCCCTCATTAAGGTATCCGGGGCAATGTTGATCCGCGGAAGTAGATCTCCGAAAGGGAAAAGTCTCCGGCACCAACACAATCCTTTCATAAGTCATACTCATATAGTATGCTGGCTGGCGGACGGTGTCTCCGATGATCAGCATCATCCCTGCAAATGTTTATTGCAGGGGGGAGTCTGTTTAATATATGTATCTCGGATTCTCGGTTGACCTCTTGCCAGAACCGGCATTCACCAGTGCAGCAACGGCAGCAACGGCAGCATTGACCGCGGTACCTTGTGTCACTGTGTGAGATTGAGCCTCTTTCGGAGCTGATCGACCCAGAGCTAAATTTGGCCTCTTTGTACTTAATTACTCGATGCGCAGCTCTTCCGCGGAGTCCAGCTGAGCCCAGCTCAGCCCAGCCCTGTTTGCCACCTCCTACTGATTGACATGGTGGACTAATACTACGTCTACTCGGTGTCTTGTGCCATCGCCTTGTTGGTTTGTTGCGTTGCAATGTAGGCCAGGGTTTTGTATTCTAGCCTCAGGCATCCACTTTCGGTCTGAACCGCTCGCGCACATTTGATTCAGCCTCGGGTCTATCGTGACTCCTCCGTCATTCCTCATATCCCACTGTTCTCTACTTCTTTCGATCTCTCCAAAAGTTCATTGAACTCAGTCTACTCACAAATTTGAGTCCATCACGGATCAGAGCACAGTTGCGTCCTAGTCGAAACTATATCGCAGGGCTTGAGTTCGTTGGTGCAGCGCCATTCCCACGATCGGGTGTGCCCTCTTTGCCAGACCACCTCTTGGCTAAAGCAGATCATACTTGTTAGGCGCCGATGGTTTGGTGCCATTCGTACCAACCCACCCAAATTTTTCGTTGCCCGATCGAAGTCTTGGCGTGGGGGGCGGAGGGTCAGGGAAACCCGCGCGATGCCGGTCCGAATTTAGGAAGAGATCAAATACGATCGATCCCCATGAGCAGCTGGGTGTCTTATCGTCGACCTGCCTTGTATCTTCCGATGATACGCCATGCGGCTCTAAAAGCGAACCCTTTTTTTTTTGTGTCGGATTGTAACCTCTGACCCGATGCACTGGTTGCAGAGTAAACAATTAGACTTTACCATCCGGCTACATCCGGGAATCCTGCCGCCAGCAAAACCGAGCGAGGAACTAAAAATGTGCACACGCACATGGATTCTGCATGCAAGCAGCAAGACCCTAGTCAAGCAGAAGAGAAATATACCCACCGCAATCCATGGCTCTGGACAGGGCAAAACGTGCTTTGTTTGTCATCGAGACAAAGGACTATTGAGCTGCATGCAAGGAACAGGTAGCGAGCTTAGCGAATGCGTTTCAGCTCCCCAGCTAACCTCAAAGAGAATCCCAATTCCAAGTTCTTCTGAATTAACACTCCCAGCTAGCCCCCTGATCTTCCAACCTCAAACAACACGGAAGCTCGCTACCCAACTCTACCCCTTTGACACCAACCTCAAACACCAAACACGCCCTTCTCCTCATCCCACGCATAATGCACCTACAAACTCAAACTCGATAAACACCTTTCCTTTAGTCTAGCTTTCTTTATTCCTCCAACCTTCGAGAATCAGGCTTTCGGCTCTTCGAACAAAATCGGGTTCTACGCCCGAGCGCTAACAAACCTTATGTCCCGGCGGGAAACCCTTGCACTGCAGTCTGCACGCTTTTCTTTTGTGTTTGTTGCTAATGAGCGGAATTCCCGCGGGCGTCGGCCATCTCCTACCCACCCACTTACCAAGTATGTAAGAAATTGTGCATGTACTTTTATCTAAGCGGAAGCACTTTCCCCACCGAGGCCGGCCGGTCCAATTCTATTCCTCTCCCTAAATTTTAGGTCGATGTGGAGATGAAACCTGGAGATTATCATGATTCGAATATCTCACCTTCGGTATGGAGATGACGACTCGGGAGGGATCCAGTTCGGGTTGGTTTGATCCTGGCCCTAATTCTGACTCTGGATCTGGATCTGGAGGCAAGGGGGTGATTGATGACTCGAGTAGCAATAGGTTGCCGTTGCGGCGCCTCGAGGCGAGTAAATCACCTTGACTCCATTCAATTCAGTTATGCTGGTGGGGTCTTCGAGAGCCTTGGCGGATGACTCGATTTGATGCTGGACCTGACTCGGATTTTCAGATCTGAATTATTCTGGTGCCATGACTCGAGCTACGACTGTAGGAACTTGTGCAGTGAGGTCTCGATGCGACGCAGTGTGTCCTGCTCTGCCCTGACGAAGAGGTAAGTGTTTGTGGCGTGTGGAAAAGAACCTCTTTTCAGCGCAGTAACTCTAGCCCTTCTTCCCACTGGTCTTTTTCTTTCCCTGGCTGGTTTTTAGGTTGCATGCTCGGAGTGTCTCGGCCGTGCTATTGAGGGCGGACCCTGGGTGGTGTGAACTGGTCCGGGGATTCCCGTATCCGTTCTATTGTAGCTGCAGTGGGCTGGCCTTGGTCCGTTCTGCATCTGCCATGGTCCGCTCGGGTATCTTATCTATCTCCTGAGTCATGTCCCAGGACCTGTTTTCTGGTTACCGGGATGAAATATGGCTACAGCTATTTGTCACAATAACCGGTCCTGGGACCTTGAGCATGATCGCAACGCTGGACGTGCTCCTCGACGACCAACAAACACGGATGTCCTCCTTGGAGATTTCGCCTGGGCCTTCTTGTTCCAAGCACAAACTTTCCATGGACGAAGTGTGTGTTGCTTACAGACGCCTAAACCACAGACCTTACTGACTAGAGCCACCTAACTTAGGCACTAGCGGATCCTCGATCCCTACTAGAAATGCCACGTGGGCGACATGAGTGCGCGGTGGCACCTGCTTGCTAGTCATGTCACAAGACTCGAGACTCTCCTTGCTCGTGCATTGAGTTCAATAGCTTATGTACATTGACTTTGAATCATATCTGGGTGGAAGGATCGATAGAAGTGCCACTCGTCCCGATCAGACCATGGGACTGAACTGAGACATTCGTTTTCTGCTTGGTGAAGGTTTCGGGGGATACGAAGCAGAGGAAGAAGAAAATAGCAATTAGTGGTTTGTAAGCTCATGTGCTTGGTTGGGCTATGTTTGTTTTGTCGTGAAGTTGTGGCTGCAACCTCAATCTCTACGGCAGCGACAGGAACAGCTTCTTCAGCTTGGGGTAGTTGGGGGTGCCCAATCCAGTAGTGGGGTCCCATCTGTGGCGGTTACAGTGTTAGCAAGCCCCCTCATGATCTGTGTCCGATAGAGTGGTTTCTGTCTCGTGGACTTACCCGGGGATAGCGCTAAAGCCGTAGGTACCACATCCGGCGTTGGTGCCGTTGGTGATATCATTCAGGGCTTCCGGGTGCTCATAGAGAACGGGGTTGATGAAGCCCACGGGGCCCTTTCCGACCGCGAGACGCTCCTCATTGATCTGGGAGAGAAGGATAACAAATTAGCTCTGTTCGGGTCTGGAACACCGGTGGTGGCGTTGTCTTCCCCCCTGATGGGCTGTGCGGGACCTCTATCATGGTCTAGAACTCACCAGCGTCAGCACGGAGGCAAACAGTGGCGACGCCAAGCTCGCCCCGTAGAAATGGTACAGCTCCTCGCCCATGTAGGCGCGGAAGTTGGCGCCGTTGGCCGCGACGTCCGGGTACGCGCGCCCGATGCGGTTGTATAGGCCCTTGGTCGTGTTGAAGTCGACCTCCAGCTCTGAGTAGTACGGGTAGGTCAGGTGGGCGCGCTTGAAGTAGGTCGCGACCGCCTTCTTCTGGTACTCGGGCTGCGGGAAGTAGTTGGAGAAGCCGCCCGAGGAGCTGAAGTTGCTGGCCGTGCCGCCCAGGTTCACGTGCATCACGCTCTCCCTGTCCTCGTAGGTCTGGTCCGCGTAGAGCATCGTGCCGCCCACCGAGGTCACGTAGGGGCAGTTGGACGGGTACTGCGGGTTGAAGATCTTCGCCTCCGGCCCCAGGCACCCGTTCGCGTTGCCGCCGTCCCCGGCGAAGGAGGCCACGCCGTAGTCGCCGGAGGCGAAGAGGATCGAGTGCCCTTGCAGGCCGAGCTTCAGGAACTCGTTGCATTGGCGCTTGGTGTATGCGACCGGGAGGTCTTTCTCGGCCTGCCCGTAGGATGCCGAGATGACATTTGTGGGCTTGTAGACGCCGCACTGCAGCTTGCCTGGGGTACTGTTAGGGCTTTTTCTTTTTCTGGTGAAAACATGGCATCGGGAGCGTACCTTTGTATCCTCCAGCGTTGTGGTCCGGATAGACGGGGTCGATGTCTGGGTCATTGCCTTTCTCCCCGTATGCGCTGTAGGTGCAGTAGGACTGGAAGAGTTAGCTAGAGTCACAAAAGGGGCTGGATTACACATACGCCATCCAAAGCATCCAAGAACGTGTTGAACAGGTTGGTAGTCGCAACTTCACGCGGCTCGTAGTACTGGTCGTCAACCTGATACAGGGTGACTTGCTGTGGGTAGATCAAGGCGTAGCTATAGACTGCTTTAGTTCCGTGCATCCTGAACCAGTTCAAGCTACTTACGCCATGTCAATGTCAATGTTCGATTCACCGGTGTTCCAGGAGCTGTCAGTCGGGACAGAGTAGTTGGCTCCATCGATGAGCGCTGGAATGGGATATGTGCCCTGGGGAACCCAGGGAGCATAGGCTTCGTAGAAGAGATCGAGGTCGGCCTTGGCAAAGTAGTCGCCCTGCTCATACAACCCCAGGGTGTTGCCCTTCGTCGCCTTCGTCGCGTCGGGGATTTTGTACAAGGCCTTGATGCACGTCGGAGTCATGTTGGATCCGCAGCCTTGCAGCTCAGTCGGCAGTAGTTTGGCTTTGCTGGAGATGATCGCGTCGCCAGTGACAGCCTTCAGGTTGGAAGCATGACCGAGCTGCGACGCACGCTTGACCTTCTTGCTTTTCTTGACCACTGGGGTGAGCTTGACGCCGGGCGTGATGTAATCAATGTGATGCTGGATGTGTTCGGGAACATGGTAACTAAAGACAGATCAGCCATTGGTGTGCCTCCCGCGAGTGTCATACACACCTGTCACATCCAACTCTGATGCTCGCACTGCCGGCGCTCTCGTGCTCATGAAACTTGGTCTTCAAGAGGTTTTCGGCTTCGTGCGCGTAGGCATCGAAAGCAAGCCAGCCCTTGTTATCGGAGTGCACAACTCGAGAATGATCAATGCCAGCGGAGGCGAGCCATTCTCTCACTGCCTCGACAGCTTCCTCGGAGGGACTGAACATGTCATGGACCTGGTCCGCTGTCCAGTACTGGCCATAACGAGCAGACTCCGGATGAGATACTTCCATGAGGTAATCGTAACCCTTCTCCAGATTGCTCTGGGCCAACCCAATGCGCATTGGCAGGACAGCATGGCTGTCGACGCGGGCCCTCTTTACCCAGTCCGAAGAGTCTCGGCCACGCTTTTCATGTAGGACATGCTTGACTGTCGCGGGAAGGGCATTGGTCAAAGCCGCAACGGCCAGAGCCACCGTAAGCTGGCGAACAAGCATCGTGAAGTCTGGTCAACGCGCTCTGGAAAAGAGCTGGCCGAAATCGAGCCGTTCAACGCGACTTTAAATAAGATGGCAGAAGCCCCTCACGAGCAGTGGACCCCTTGCAGGCATGGCAAGTAGGTACCATGCGAGATTTGATTGCGACATGAAAGCCCACACCGCCGGCAGACGAACCACGATGGGTTTGTTGATTGGTTGGTGACGGTGTCGGATAGGCTGTGGTGCTTTGATGAACAAACGTAGAAGCGGTGACATCCAAGCATCCTTGCGTGATCCTGGGCAAACGTCTAATGGGGTAAACAAATTTGGCAAGGTGATACGCCGCTTATCTGCCCGTTGCACAGGACGATTGGACTGTTGACATTTCTAGCCTCGGTTAGCAATCTTGTTATCTGCAGCTAAGCTTCCGGGGCCGGTGTCATTCGCTGCTGCAACCGGAGTATGGCCGGAGAACCGACTGCCACAAGGCGGGAGGACGATAAGAGACCGCATTATTGGGCAAGCCGTAAATTAGCTGCATGGCTGGTATGATTGCAGACCAAGTTTATCGTCGCGAGTGCGTGATGAGCTGCACAGAAGAAGGCGGATGCTTCGTGGATCGATACCCCAGACACGCATTGCCGTGATGCCGTGGGATGTGACAAGCTGGGAAACCAATTGTCCATCGTAAACTCAATCTCAGGAACGGTCGCTTATATGTTAAAGGGCGAGACTGGCTCTATTTCAGTCACGGAATCAGTTTTGCGGACTCTGAACATAACGTTTATGAACTCAGAGGGGTAACTCTACTCGAAATTCCGCGCAAGAAAGGGCTTCTTGCCCTGGCTTCATGTCAATGCCTGGACTTCCAATGAATCGTCAATTCAAGATGCGCAAGCAATGCATCCTGGCATAACAGAAGATGTGAGGAGTAAGAAGGTGAAGTGATGGAGTGTTGTTTGCATTGTAGACAAATCAGACACATCAGACAAACAGGTCACACTGACCTCCTCCACTTCCCCTGACCCTTCCGTCTTTCATCTCTCCAAGAACAGCATTCTATTACTTTTACTCTTCTCTGGCTGAAGCTTGCATCATTGCTAAACTTGGCGACTTGGCTATCGAGAGAGTGATACTGCTTATGATATTCCAAGTTTCTTATGATTCCATTTATTCGACAGCCAAAACACCCGAAAGGGTTGATGATCAATCTGAGCATGCGAGCACGGCGACCAAGGACAATGGAGAGATGCTCAGGAGAAGCTCTGATCGCAAAGCGGGGTAGACATCGGCTAATTGCACCATTCAACCTATTGGTGCGTTATCTTGAAGCGGGGACGGGGAGCTGCTGCAGGGTTACATCAGCTAATCAACAGGCATAGAGACAGTACAACGACGTGCAGAGATGCTGAAGAATCTCATGACATCATCCTCCCAAATTATCCGATGTGGTCTCTGGACATGCTCGACTATCGTCTGAGTCGATGTAAACCTAGGCTGTTCACTTCAAGATCGTTGGTAGCACATGCATGAGGAACATCTGTTTGGGCCGTTCATGTTCCCGGGACACAAATGTCGCGCATTCCGGTGTTTTGCGATGCGGGGATCATGGACCAGGGCACTTCATTTCCCCGCTTGACAACAGGCACAATCACGTTCTCCACGAATAGCACTCGACAACCCTGCGGGCAATATGGAGATGGCACCAAGACCGGAGAATGAGTGAAAATGGGTCAATCATGCGATCTGGTGATTGACATGGGTGTATGCGGGCGAAACCTATGAGCTTTCGGGGCGAAGAGATCATCATAAAAGGCCAACATCCTCAACGATACCCATGGACTCCTTCCATGTCTATTCTCCATCGTACAAGTAAGGTCAGAATGTATCTTCGACGAGTGCTCGGCCTGCTCCTTGCTGCAGGACCCCTGATCGCCAACGCAATCTCATCCGAACCTCTCTCTACGTCAGGGCGATGGATCGTTGACTCCGACGGCAATAATGTTACCTACGCCGGGGTGAACTGGCCTGGTGCAGCAGAGGCCATGCTGCCGGAAGGGCTGCAGTACCAGTCTATCGAATACATCGTCGGTAAGATCAAGAGTCTGGGCATGAACGTCATCCGCCTTACCTTCGCCATTGAGATGATCGACGACATTTACGAGAACGGCGCAGATGTCCCAATCAAGACATCTCTAATCAATGCCCTGGGAGAGACAAATGGCACAACTGTGTACAACGACATCATTAGCAATAATCCTCAGTTCAATGACGAAACTACTAGATTGCAGGTGAGTAATGACTCAGACTGACTGCAGCAGTGAGCACTAACAACCGAAGGTCTACGACGCTGTCGCCAACGAATGCTATAAACAAGGTATTTACGTGCACCTCGACAACCACATCTCCAAGGCCATGTGGTGCTGCAGCACCACGGACGGCAACAGCTGGTTCGGAGACACCTACTTCAACGTAGCGAATTGGCATCGTGCGTGGACCTACATGGCGACCCACGTAAGTCTCTTCCTTGTCTTCCCAGCCTCATCCTCACTGACAAGAAGCACAGGTCAAATCCCTTCCAGCGGTCAAGAGTGTAGGCATGCGGAACGAGCTCCGCACTCCGGCCGACAACGCGACCTTGACCAGCACCTCCTACAACTGGGAGAACTGGTACACCAACATGGTGGAGAACGCGAAGCAAGTGCACAGCGCCAACTCGGATCTCCTGATCTTCTTCTCTGGCCTCAACTTTGACGTGACCCTGTCGCCGATTCCCACCGCGTCCGATCTGGGGAGCGGCACCGTCTTCCTGAAGACGGACTTCGATTTCGCCGACAAGATCGTCCTCGAGCTGCACAACTACGACTCTTCGACCTCGAGCTGCAGCAGTTTGTCGTCGAGCTTGCTGAGCGACGGCTTCAATGCGTTGGAGACGGATAACGCGAGTATCAAGAATGTCCTACCCGTCGTCCTGACCGAGTTCGGCTACGCGCAGGACGATACCACGTACACCGGGGTGTATGCTTCGTGCCTCGCGGAATGGATCCCCAGTGTGCACGCAGGGTGGATGGTCTGGGTTTTGGCTGGTAGCTACTACATCCGAGAAGGAACTCAGGATTATGATGAGACATGGGGTGAGTTGTCCCGCGTCGCAGTGTTGAAGCGCCCTAGCTAATTATTTATAGGGCTTCTCGATCACACCTGGTCGGACTGGCGCTCATCTGAAGCGATCGAGAACGGCATCGCTCCGATGGTGGAAGCCAGTCTGGGCTAGAAACAGTGAGGACTTCTTTGACATTTGGGCCAGTGGCCATCAAACCACCGATTGTATCGAACGGTAGTGTCTTCAGAGTTGTACTAGTGTCGCAGTTTCATCAACTCTATAGTCTGATCAACAGTTCTTTTACTATAGCCTCTTCAACTTTCATGCATTCTTCTGTAAATTACTGGTCAGGCTTCTTTACGCTCGGGAAGAAGATCTTCAGGTTCTGATTGTGATTGTAGGCAAGCCACCGAGGTGATCAGCTACACCGAATTTAGGATGGAATGGACATTCCGGTTCGTACCTTGCAGCGATAATTCACAATACATCCAACTCATCGCACCACCCTCCTAGGGCCAACCAAGTTCATCAAAATCGTACATCATTGACCACTCCAAACGAGTCAGTATCCCTCGATCCAATCCCTCCAAACAAACCTCTCTGATGACCAAGCCCAAGACGCAGCATCTCCAATCCAAAACCCAAACACCCAGCCTCCAACCTACGACACGCGAGTAATCACAAACTCGATCCCGAACTTCACCCCCTCCATCCACGCGACATCCTCCGCCTCCATCCCCCACTCCTCCAACTCGACCTCCCTCACCACGACCTCCCACCGCGTCCCCGTCTCCGCCTGCACCGCCCCCCACATCTTCACAAAAGACTCCCGATTCTGGTAGAACGTCACCCCCCACGGCCTGACATACTCGACGGGCTGCTGCCGCCCCTGCTGGAACCCGACGACCGTGGTCCCGGGCCTCGAGAGCGCGACGATCCGCTTGCAGGCCGCCTGCTGGCCCGCCAGGCTGAACAGATGCAGGAACTGCGCCGCGATCACCAGATCGACGTTCCCCTGCACGGGGGCCAGCGCCGCGTCCGGCATGGTGTGGAAATCCCCCTCGATGAACCGCGCCTGCATGCGATCGGTGTCCTTGAAGAGCTCGTACCCCAGCTGCCAGAGGCGCGGCTCGCGGTCGACGGCGACCATGCGCGTGGTCGGGACGCCGTGGGCGGCCAGCAGGCGCAGATCCTGGCCTAGTCCTGTGCCGAGGTCGAGGATTACGGAGGATTCGGAGGTGGATTGGCCGCGCGCCTGGGCGACGAGGCTGTCGAATTCGGGGAACCCGGCTAGCCCCGGTAGGAGGAAGATCCACATCCCGATGCAGGGGTAGTTGCCTAGCGGCCAGGCGCGGTTGCGCTTTGATGGTCAGTTTGGTTGGGAGGGGTGATTGGTGCGAGAGGAGAGGGGAGAGGGAGAGTGGCGTACGATGCTGTGGAGGTGGGTGGGGAGTTCCTCGTCGGGGATCTCGCTCCAGTTGTTGTAGACGAACCGGGTCGAGGGTTTGAGTCTAGCGCCATAGTCGGGGCGGTACCAGACTGAGGGGTTGGCTGCGGACAGGGTTGAAGCCATGATGGTAGCAGAGATGTGATGGTGGTGTTGATGGTGGTGCAGGATAGGATGGAGGTAGTGGAGAGGGAGGAGGGAGTTGTTTAATTTGGCCGAGGCCGACCTCAGCTTTTGTACGGGATAGCTACATAAGCCATCGCTGCGAGAGGAGAATGGCTTTGATGTGAATGATGTGAGCTGACGCTTTTTATGAATGCATTCACTGGGAGCAGGGTTCGTCATCAGCGCCCGGATGGCAGTCATGGGAACAAAGAACGCGAGCCGCCGAACCGTAACCGATGCTAATCCTCGTATCCGGCGGGCTAGCCCGAGCTGACGGCGTGTATGCCGCCGACAGTTCCGCCAGCGCTCATTCGCAAGTGTGATAAGAGGGGCAGGATTACACGGTTCTTGGACGTTCAGCCCCGTTACTAGTAGGTAGCTGGTGGTGTGGATATGCTCATCCGCTTATCCTCTGATCTGACCTCGCGCGTGCGGGACAACAAACGGTCGATGAGAGCAGACTGAGCATCATTTAAAGCTGTCTGATCTTTCAACCGTGCTTTGCCACAGTTCGTCTGGAACATGGCGCTTGAGCAATCAGACTTTGGACCGACTCACATGCCCTCTGTGGTACAGTACCTGATCAGCTCGAGCACAAGCGCCGGCCATCCAGGAACCCAAGAACAGCCGTTGGGTGTCAGAGCGAAAGATACACGAGACATCAGTGCTTTAATAGATGGCTAAATGGCTGGAATTCTGTGGACAAGAGCTCAGATCCCTGGGTTTGTCAGGCCTTGTCGATTAGTGTTTGTGGCTCTGACATGGATGCTACTATGGGATAACGCCGGTAGGTTACACATTGTTGCCCGTCTCAAAGGCTGTAATTCAGGAACCGTATGACTCTCGATGAAGCCACTTTTTGTTAGCGTTTTGCTGGAAACGTTCCATGCTATGAATTTAATGAGGTAGAATCAGCTCTGGGGGTATGTTGCTTCCCTGGTCGACTGCTGATATGCTAAGAAAAAATAAATGATCGATGGGAAACTTCTCATATCCGAGAACAAGCAAAGTACGGTAGAGGGAGTCTGGGGGTGAAGTGAGCTTCGTGAAAAGGGGAAACGAGGGTATGAATGTGACACAGCAGCATCCGAGCGGCAACAACCCGAAGGTCATTTAGTGCTGGGAGGAGTGCAGCTCTGTGATCTGTAAGGTGTTGACACTCGATTAGAATTAAGTTAGATATTTTTAATGTGAGAGCAGCTTGGCAAAAAGTATACCTCCTTATGGAGGAAGGGAAGAACGCAAAAAAGAAATCTCCCCGACTGGGAGTCGAACCCAGGTCTCCCGCGCTTGTTCCCGATTGGGATTGACAAGCGGAAATCATGACCGTTAGACCATCGAGGAATGGAGATGCGGTGGTTGGAGAACTTTCGCAACAGGACCAAAAACCAGTCGTCTCTCTCACAATAAACAATGTTGTTTCAAGATGTCTCAAGATGTCTCAAGAGGTTGTCTGCTTATACTCCGTAGGCATCTTTGAGTGGGAGTGTAAGTTACCGATAGACTCGAGGATGGGACTTTGGTATCATAAAGCCTAATTCGCCATTGTTGGGGTTACGATATGCCCAAACTCCTATAGCTAAAGTATTGAATCAAGATTGCATATCTGCTCTTGCAGAGGCATTAACCTACCCAATAAACCTAGAAGCAGTTAAGCCTGGGATAAGACTACCATTCCTGAGCGGCTGATTCGTGCTAGAAGGTCAACAATCGTTCCCATAACCCATTTCGTTCGAGAGATCCCAGTCATGAAGACACTCTTTAGACTTAGTCCATAGTCATCCAAGCCATATTCCCTATATTGTGGCCACATCACAAGTCCTTGATGGTCTGTAATTCAGCTAACCCGGGAGTGTAATTCCAGCCGGTGGCAATGGTTTGGACCAAAAGAGCGGCGGAATATGATACGGTTCCACTGGCGAGTTCGTTCAACCCCGAATAAGCTTAACACGGCGGGTTTCTGCATGAGGCAAGGATACAACGCCATTTATTGATCAGGGCTGCTCGTCCCCAGTCCCCAACCGAACCATTCCTCAAAGCCAAGAGAACCCCCTATGCAAAGCACGGCTCGAGGCCTCTCAAGACCTGCGAACCCCTGGCCTACTGTCTGGCCACATGTGACCTGTCCGCCGCGCAGTCATTTTATTTGGACCAATGCGGTATATGAGTGACGAACGGCAGGGATCTATCGGTTTAATGCAGTGGGAGGCAATATTCTCGTCAAACATTACCTTTCAATTGAAGTCTGATTGTCAGCTCGTCATTTCGATCAACAGGCACCATCCACCTCGCCTGCGACGATCGAGCCTTCCTGTATGGACCCTGACCTGCATTCAACGCAACACCATCAATGGAATCGATCACATTAGCCCCTGAACCTCCCAAAAGGGTGAATGGTGAACAGTCCTCTTTGGACATGAGTCGATTGTGCGAGAAGTAGAGGCATGAAAGAAAAAAGGAAAAGGTATATAAACCCCCAGACCACCCGGCCATTCTCTCTCAATCATCCCAACAGCATTTCATACTCTCTCCAGTCTCCTCCTCTTTCCACCATCTAAAACAGACAACTTCCAAGCTTCAAGCTTATTCAACCTCTACCACCTTCAAGATGCAGCCTACCGTTCTCCTCATGGGCCTTTTCGCCGCCTTCGCTGTCGCCGCTCCCACTGCCCCCGGCTCTAGCACTGACGTTGCCTACAACTCCAACTCCGGCAACACCCAGGACAACAGCAACGAGGTCGAGCAGACCCAGACCCTCCCTATCAGCGTCGCCCACGACGGTATCTTGAACAACAACGACATCGTCAAGAACGTCGACGTGACTGCCCTCAATGACGTCGCGAACGACCTCACCGCCGTAAGTGCAATCGCCCATCGCTCCGCGAACCCTTCGTGCAGAGAGTAAAATTGCATCCGTACTGATACATCCCGAATAGGCTGTCGGCGTTCTGGGATCCGCCTCTGCTTAAGGCAGCGATCATTGACTCCGGTCAGAGCCCCGGCCTTCGAGCCTTTTGTGAAGGAGACTGGCAATGGTGGGAAGGAGTGAAGGCGGATTTGGCTTGAATCGTCTTGTACTTAGACATTTTCTCTTCTGAGGTTGATAATAATTTAATCGAGACGTGTTTATACACCTGAATCAGGCGGTCATTACCTGCAAAACGGAGTCGACGTGTAGAGAGATGCTCTGGGGCTCGGATTCTTATCCGAAACCCGCACAACCAGGGTCTAATCGCGTAGCCATAGATCCATGATCCCAGGGTGCGCCCTCGCTGTGCGCAAGGTAGGAATACGTCACTTGCAGCGAAGCGTTCATCAAGAGATCCTTGATCGCGCTCAACCAAAATAACCAAGTAGACCGCATAACATTCTGGCTGTGGTGACTCGAATAGCATCGCAATGTGAAATATACCTGGAAGTATCTGGTGTAGGCGTAAGTGGAGCTACTAGTACTAGATCAGAAGCAGCACTTTCATGATCGCAAGCTACATAGTGCACGCAGAAGGAATGAGTGAGCTGTATATGTATACATATATATCTCAGTGTATTTCTACATGCTGTACTGTGTACGATATATATGACTATTGTTTGCAGCGACCAGAACCGTGATCAAGAACTGCCAGGACACGGCACAAGGTCAATATTACCTGTAATTAGATTAAGCCCGTCATTGAACACGCCACTCGAAACCAAAACATCGAACATAGCAGCAAGCTACCCCGCACATCTTCATTTAAGACTCAAAGGCATGAAGTCTTTCCCGCCAATCTTGGCACTAGGATGCTGTCACCCGCATCGCGCAATTGGGCGTGGCTGGGCACCTATAGTATCATGCCAGCGGTCTGCCGATGAATTTCGGTACGTATCCGTTGCAGTATTATCTCAGGAATAGCACTGTGCTGCATTCGAGACAGAGGTTTAGCCATGCGATGCAGGATCTGTAGGATGGGTCGGGGCAGTTGGGTAACACGATCGAATCCTGTAATTCTTAGGATATGTTCTATGAGGATGATAATTGAATGACAGGTCTCGGTATTTCTCCCGGGTTGATGCTTACGCTAATATTTAGCATACGGGCCACGATTGGGGACAGAAGATCCGGTAATGGAAAATGTACATCATGCACACTCTAATAATTACAAAACTCTCATCTATAACTCTATCGAAAAGTCGAAAATAAACACCGGCCACAGTACAGTCCGACGGTAGCCCAATCCCACCCCGTACCCGCAAAACGTCAACCTAGAAAGCTACTGCTCCCCTAATCATAGCCATAGCACAAATAACCACCCTGGGTGTTCATGACCGTGCCGATCGTGACATTCGGCTTGATCTCGAACGAGGACAGCGCGTAATGCAGCGTCGCATTCTGCCACCCGCCGGCCGGCTCAACGTTGGCCGTGTGGTTCAGCGTCGGCCCACTGATATCGTACATGCGGTTGACGGGGTCTGCCTTCTGCCACGCCCACCACACCTTGTCGATGTAGGCGTGGTGCATGAAGAAGACCGGGTCGCCGGGGGAGGACTTGATGTCGGCCATCTACAGTACCACGCCTATTAGCAAGAATCCTCACTCTTGAATAAATGCACAACAAATGAATTGACGTGAAGGGGAAAGAACATACCACACCACCGATATTCGTATGCACCCCCTTGTGCGGGATGTTGGAGACGCAGTCCCACCACGGCGAGTAGGTGGTGTACGCGTTACACGCGTTCAGCGCGGTGCTATTGGCGTTGGCGATGGCGGCCTCGTTGTCCCACGCGCGCCGCAGGCAGTAATCCGTGTCTTCATCACCAGGGCCGATGTGCAGGGTCATGTTGGCGAAGCGGCCGTCGGTCACGCAGGAGCCCGATCCAGTGCCGTTGCCTCCGAAGGCGTTGGGGCCCCACATCGTGGATTGGAACATGTTGCCGCTGTCGGCGTCGAGTTGTTCGTTCCAGTAGCTGTTTTGCCATGTTAGCAGAGTGCTTTAGCGGGGGCATGTTAAGAGTTTTAGGGGGGGGCATGGGGGGCAGCGTACGGAATCGACCCGGTGTAGCCGCACTCGTCACGGAGGAGGGTCTCGTAGATGTGCATGTAGTATCGGTGCCAGGGGAGGAACTGGCCCACGTGGTGGATGATGTCCGCGTAGGCGGTGTTGGTCATGCCGCGGTGCAGCGCCTGCAGGTCGCTGAATCGGCTGGTGGTCGCGCTGAGGCCGGACTGCGCGGGCTTGTCCATCAGGCACTGCAGGGAGTCAAGGAAGTGGCTCTGCTCCTGGGTGGTCAGGTGCCGCCATTCCTTGCGGATGGTCATCTTTTCCTTGGTGCAGCCGTCGGTGAAATAGGAGGGGATGTACTCCGTCGTGGACTCGCGCTTCTGCGCCGACGCGGGAACGGCGGCGGCGGCGGCACTGGCTGCCAGAGCCAGTGCGGCGGCGAGAATTGAATACTTCATGGTGAAGTCAGATTGGAAGAGAAGTTCAACGAGCGACGATTAACGAATGAATGCGAAGAAGAGAAAGGCTAAGAAAGAAAACGAGGGGAGAGTGGTCTGCGGGGAGAAGAATGCCAGTGGTTCTGGCTCCTAGCTAGCCTTTATACAGCCATCTCTCGAGGTCCTTCGTATCCCACCGATACACATACTCTCATGTCTGTGGCGGGAACGCTTGACAGCGCCTTGTGGGGAGTGAATCCGACTCTCGGTGTACAATGCCTATATTCGGCATCGTCTGTGGGTGAGTGATAAATCCACTGTTCAAGATCCCGCGTGAACTGGGCCCGCAGTTATCGGTACCATCGGTATACGGAGCTCAATCGACTCGTCACGTCCGAGTTTATACTAATGCGATTCTGTGGAACGCTAACGGGGTCTGCTCTTCACTGTGACTAGAGATGTATACTATAGTAGATCTAGTGACAGAACTTGTGCCAGAGTAATCCCAGTTGGCTGACCGATCTGCTGGAAGATCTCTGTACAGTACACGGGTATGAGTCTCAACAACCCGATACATTTAAGATGATCACGTTCATAGGTTTCGATGCGCATACTCACACAAATCTACTCTATACGAAGACTTCAATCTATTGATAGTTAAAATTTGTCCACTCTGGTCAAAGTTTCCGCATGAGACGCGGCGGACAGGTCTTGGCGCTAGGGCTGTAGCGAAAGACGCGCGTCCCGAGCCGACAGGCCAGAACGCCGCTGAAGCTCGACCCTGACAGCAGGGAAAGAGCGCTAATGCGAACACATCCCCATAGGGCTTTGCGACGGCGGTTAGAGATCAATATTAGTTCGGTTTGGCTAATGATTTCGAGAACCTTCACCGCAGGCGTGAGCAAAGGAGGACTAGAGCCATGGGCTTTGGAAGGGAATAAGAACTGCTGGCGGGACAATGTTAATGACAATATTGGGATGATCTTGGATTATAAACTCTTCGCGGAGAGTGTATGTATCTAAGCCTCACACATGGCTGGCTAATAATGGACAGGAGGTGAATCCATCAATTATTACGGAGTATGGAATACGGAGTAGCTCAATCCAAGATCTGACCTGGAACCCGGCTACAGCCGATACAGTTTAGCGTGGATGATTGAGATAAGATGCAGCCGATCCCTGCCTTTTTCACAATCGGCTCCCACGTCAGCCACCTGGGAATTCTCTTCCCTTGGGACGCGCAGTCCATGAACAAGCACTGCAATCTCTGTGGCGATGAAATGCAATTAAAGTCAGGATCATCCCTTGATTCGAAGCCAAGCCCACGCAATCTGCGTCTTGGCTAGTGCTTGGCGTTAAAATGGTCCAAACCAGTTTAGCGTGCTGGATCGCAGTCTTATCTTGCCTTGCGTATAGCTTCATGGTCGTGGTTTGCCCTATCCGGTTGGGAGAGATTGGGTCAATCCACATGCCGCTGACTCAGATCCAGGCCGCTGAGTCAGATGCTCACTGGTTTTTGAATAGCAGTTAGAGTTATACATTTTGCCGTTGCCATGGCTCCTGCGGGATGGAGATCGGCTGTCAGAGGAGACGTCAACTCGCAAGCGGTTACAGTGGAGTCAACTATGACCAAGGCAGCGAGCGATTCTTGAGAAAACTACGCGTCTTGAGGTAACGAGTACGGGTTTTGATATGGTCTCTCACAACACTTTCATCGCAAACACGGATGCAGTTTGCCATTCCAAGAAAATTACACTGCACAGTCCCGACAGCCCTCTTCTGTTCCTTCGGACACACCTTCATGCCCCTGGTCAATCCATTTGAACTCTTCTTTCAGATGCAAATGAGCTCGCAGGTCCCCCGACCGGGCATGTCCCTCGAAGAACTCCGCCCTGGCTGCGCGACCACAGAGTTTACCGAGTTTTCCACTGGCTTCATCTGACGTGACCTCCTGGTAAGTAATGGTCCGCAAGAACTTGCCAACCCAGAGACCGCCAGTGTAGCGAGCAGCCTTTCTCGTGGGGAGTACATGGTTGGTTCCGATGCACTGATTAACCATAAATTAGTATCAAGCCATACCCGTCGCCTGGTCCACAATACAAAGGCACAGAGAAGCACTTACCTTATCACCATAGGACACGCATGTCCGCTCGCCCAAGAACAGCGCGCCATACGCCGTCATCTTCTCCAGCGCATCGCGCGGATGTCTCGTGAAGATCTGCACATGCTCACTGGCGATTTCGTCCGCCATCTTCCAGGCCTCGTCCATCGTATCCGCCACGATTGCCTCGCCCCAGTTCTCCCACGAGACGCCCGCCAGCGCCGCCGTGGGTAGCTCTTTCAATATCTGGTTGATGTATGCGATCGCCGTCCGGGCCACTTTCTCGGAGGTGGTCAGGATCACGCACGGCGAGTCGGGCCCGTGTTCCGCCTGCGACAGGATATCGGTCGCCACGGTGAACGGGTCCGCCGTCTCGTCGGTGACGATCAGGATCTCTGTCGGCCCCGCGAAGAGGTCGATGCCGATCTCGCCGAACAGCTGGCGCTTGGCCTCGGCGACGAAGGCGTTGCCGGGCCCCGCGATGAAGTCCACCTTGGGGATGGTCTCGGTGCCGATGGCCATAGCGGCTACCGCTTGCACCCCACCCAGGATGTAGATCTCGTCGGCGCCGGCGAGGTGCATGGCTGCTACCGTGCTGCTCGGGATCTTGCCGTTAATCGGGGGCGTGCAGCCGATCACTCGCTTGACTCCGGCCACCTTGGCCGTCAGGATTGTCATGTGTGCGGAGGCGAGAAGGGGGTATCGGCCGCCGGGAATGTATCTGCGGTCGATGCCAGCATGTCAGAGAGATGTAGTTTTGTCCCGTATGCGAGGAGACTCACGCGCCAACTGTCTGAATGGGGATGTTCTTCTGGCCTAGGAACACTCCCTGTACAGTCGACAATCAGCATACTCCACTGGTCAGCGTCAGGGGGGCAGTACCGGCTGCGTCTCGATCTCAAAATCCTGGATCGACTTGCGCTGTGCCTCGGCAAACTGCCGCACATTGGCCTGAACCTCCTTGATGTCGGCGATAGTCTGCTCCGGGACCTCCGCCATAATCGCCTGGATATCCTGCGAAGATAACCGGTAGGACGTAGGCGACCATCTGTCAAACTTCTCCGAGTACTTGCGGACAGCTGCATCGCCGTTCTCTCGGATGTCGTCGATCACTCCCTTGACGATGGCCGAGACGTCAACGGACGGAGCCGTCGACTTCGTGCTCTGCGGCGCCCGTTCTTTGAGATACGTAAAGCCCATGTTGTAGTTTTTTTTAACTAGCGTGCTGTGCCTGAGAGGTATTTCCAGTAACACTGTTGTGCTGGATACCACATCTTTATACCCCTCGCCACCTCCCGCGGCCCTCACGGCTTCGGAACAAAGTCCGAAGTAATCGACATCCCAAATTCACCGCAAACAATAGACTCGGCATTCTCTCCGATAGATATTTGTAGCCGGAATCGAAGTGGACAAAGTTAACTTGAGGGGGAGGGGGGAAAGTGCAGTACATACCTTAAAATACTGCCGATGTGGAGCCGAAAGGGAGAAGAAGCCCCCTTCGGGATGCCCCCTTCAAAACCCAACCAAACTCCCCCTCCAATCCGCCCGAATACATCACATCAGTTTATGTTAGTTCCAATGACAACCTCAAAAGTAGCCCTCATAACCGCCGGATCGCGCGGCGTCGGCGCAGGGGTCGCGCGCGCCCTCGCCCGCGACGCCCACCTCCGCGTGGCCATCAATTACCACTCTGACCACACGGCCGCAAACGCGCTGATCGAGGAGCTCACCACCCTCTCGCCATTACCACACAGCTCCGCCACACCGAACTTCATCGTGCTGAAGGGCGACATGGCGCGTCGGGAGGAGATCACGCGCGTGATTGCGGAGACGGTGCGCGCCTTCGGGCGGCTGGACGTGGTCGTCTCGAATGCGGGCTGGACCCGGATGACGGACTTCATGGATCTGGATGAAGCAGATCATGAAGACGACTGGGATCGGTGCTTTCAGGTCAATGTGAAGAGTCATTTTCAGCTGTTCCGTGCGGCGCGTCCGTATCTGGATGCCGCCGGGGGATGCTTTGTGGCGACGGCGTCGGTGGCGGGGGTGAAGCCGAGTGGGAGTAGTTTGGTACGTCTCCCTTTCGTCTTGGAGATGTGGAAGGGGAGAGGAGTGAGATGGAGTGCTGACTGTTGGGTTCAGCCTTATGCTGTTACCAAGGCGGCGTTGATTCATCTCGTGCGCAGTCTGGCGGTGATTGCTGCGCCGACAATCCGGGTGAATTCTGTTGCGCCGGGGGTGCTTTTGACGGTAAGACTCTATGCTCCAAAACATGGGAATGTTGGCTGAGAGGTGTTAGGATTGGGGCCGTCAGTTCTCGGAAGAGAAGCTTCGCTCGGTCCAGGAGAAGAATGCGCTCAGGCGATTCGCTACCCCTGAGGTTTGTTGTCTAATTTCCTCGTAGAGGGAGGGTGCTGACTCGAAATACAGGATGTAGCAGATCAAGTCCGTTTCTTGGCGACGAGTTCCTCGATCACGGGGCAGAATATTGTTATAGACGCCGGATTCTCACTGTAGATATCATCCGAAAAGAATCGAAGGTTCTCGCGAAATGTGTTTTCGCAACTCTTGCGGTTTTGCATTGAGTTCGAAGGTTTAGTCGATCCATTGGTGGGCAAAGAAGCCGCAAGCGCCCGCTATAAGCCACACTTTCACCTCAACGCTATACACACCAACAGCCTTATAGTGTTGTTTAGACGTAGCCTCGGCGCTTAACTTCCCCATTCCTTCCCCAAGATCATGTAAAGAATATGGATAAAAGACCGACATGCCGTAGGGGTTATGCCTAGCTCTACTAGCCAATTTCTTACAGCGACGATATCTCTGTTTTGAAGTCATGCCCTCTGTATATCAAATTTCAACTCGCGATCAATTCCAGATTGCCATCATCTGCGCCCTATCCGTCGAAGCAGATGCGGTAGGAGGTGTCCTGGACGAGACGTACGAGGAGCCTGATGATGATTTAGATAGCAAACTGCCCGACGATCCTAATCGCTATACCTTGGGGCGCATAGGCCCGCATCCCGTTGTTCTGGTCCAACTGCCCGGTCTAGGGACCCTGAATGCCACGATCGGCTCAGGCTATCTGAAACGGCAGTTTCCCAAGGTCCACCTGGCCCTCGTGGTCGGTATCTGTGGCGCCATCCCCCGATTGCCAGATGGGACAGATGTCTTCCTGGGAGATGTTGTGATCAGCGAAGGCGTTCCGCGCAAAGCTGACGCGGTTTCGGACGGCTTGGTTCGAAGTTCCCCCCTTCCCCTCCCCCCAGTCCATGAATACGGCTTTTCTAAACCAGAAAGAGTGTTCACTGGGCCCTAACGACGGTTCTCACAGACCTTCAACGCCGCGCACAACCTTTCATCTATGCAACACAACCTCGCCTGCTACCTGCAAGCCACACAGCGCTCGTCCGGCGAACCAAAATACCACTACCCCGGAACAGACCACGACCGGCTCTTCCCGGCGCGCTACCAGCACCGGCATCCGGACTCGATGCCATGCGATTTGTGCAGCAGGTACAGTCGCACCGAGGGTCCGGGCTGTATCGATACATTTCACCTCTCCTGTGAGGATATGGAATGCGACAACCATGTAGAACGATCGCAGATCCGGCGGCGTTCGGATGAGAGTCCTTCCGGCACAGTACCCCGCCCGCGTATATTCTGCGGGAAAATCGGATGCACCGACATGGTGATGCGATCCGGCGAGGACAGGGATCGGTTTGCGGCGGAGCACGCGGTTGTTGGGTTTGAGATGGAAGGCGCCGGGGTGGAGTTGTATCTCCCTTCTTCCGTTGTGGTGGTGAAGGGGGTGTGTGACTATGCCGATAGTCACAAGGAGAAGCGGTGGCAGCCGTATGCGGCACTCTCTGCGGCTTGTTGTGTCCAAGCGCTTCTTGCCGAGGTTGCTGGCGAAAATCAAGGCTTGGGGAAAGAGGCATGGGATGGGGATTAGGTGTTTCACTCGGTCGCGCAAGGTGAGTCACGGTTTGCGGAGCATGGGGTGTCGTCTCAGTCTTGGAAGCTGTGTGTTGGCGTTTGTCTGCTCGGCTTGTTACTATGTTTGTGTGTGTGTGATGAGTGGTCTAGATTGTCGATCTTATTCTGAACAGGGTTCTGTCGACACGGTGGTCCCTCGACATCGCGGTCTTGAGCCTGTTCTAAAACAGAGAAAACTCCATCGTGAGATGCATGAGATAATAGGATCTGGAACCTATAACATGTAAATCCTCCTCTCATCAACAACTAACAACAACCTACCAACCTACCAACCAGTCCGCACAGCAAACCCTCCCAACTCCCATCGGGACCATGCAAGCCAACCCATCCGATAAGATCATCCCCCGCATGAACCCCTCCCACATGGCATCGAAACCCCTCGCGTCCTAACCAACACGTCCAACACGTCCAGCCCTATAAATGGATTTTTCGCGATTGGTTGACATCTCGACAGGCCAGGCACGGTGATTGGTTCTCGTCGCGTCAACACGTCCCAAGTAATACAGCCAGCGGAGACAGCCCTGCAAGTGGATTTTCGTGATACTTGGACATCTCGACACAGCATGCAATGTGATTGGGTGGAAGGTGTCTCAGCCCCTGGCGACGGGTCCCGGGCAACACAGTCAGCCTTATATGTGGATTTTCGTGATGCTTTTGACATCTCGACGCTGCTGGCAAGTCGATTGGGGAAGAGGGGGGGCGCGTTGGTACTAACGCGTAGCGATTCACACATGAGATTGGGGACGGCTTGGTATGTGGAGTGTTTGGTGATGCTTCAACATCTTGGGTATAGGTCTAGGGGTTGGTGGGGTGTTGGGCTGGTGCCTGGAGGTTTCTCTCAATGATTGTCGGGCTTGCTTGGGAGTCTATAGTGCCTTCATTGGCCAGGACGAGGGCTATGGAGAGAATCAGCTGCGTACCAGAAGCTGGGATCCAGAAGAAGTTTAGCTTAGAATTGATTTGTTAGTATAAAGTGAATCTCATTATCAGTTGTAAATCTTGAGAAGGCCGTAAAGCCTAGATGGTCGCATTCTGGTCACGGATTGTCCTCAAGACACAGATCAAACTATGACATCTTCCTACATCGATAAGCTAATATTCGGGAGTTTTACCAAGGACTGTCACAATCTCATATTTGATTTCGGTCCCAGAATTCAAGGGAACAAACTGAAAGACAATAGACGCTATCATGGCCGCATGCTATCAACACTATGTACATAACTGAAGTAAAATTGGTCAGAAAGACCATAGAAACTGCTTAGTTGACTTTCTCAAATCCTCCTTCTGTCTCAGTACTTGTTCTGCGGTACTTGATTGTGCTGCCCCGAATAATATTCCGCATTCGCAGGCGGTGCTTGACTGTAAGACGCATGGGTGTTGGGTGGCCCTTGGTTGTACTGTTCAGAAGGGTATTGCGCACCGGAGGGCGGGCCCTGGTTGTAGCCCCCATGAGGGTTCGGTGGCCCCTGGTTGTACTGCTCCGGGTGGTATTGACCCTGGTTGGGTGGTGGCTGGTTGTAAGGGAGGTTGTTGTTGGGCGGCACTTGATACTGCTCCGGGTTGTGCTGCACGGCCTCGGGCGGAGGCGCGCCCGGCGCCTGGGCGTGGAACATGTCGCTCTGGGCCAATTGCTCCGGCGGGATGTCACTGGGGCTGGGGCCGGTCGGAATCTGCACCCCAGCCGGGGCCTGATCGAAGTTGGCCTGTCCGGCCGCGGACTGGATCGTATGCACCAGCCCCTTCACCGAGGGGTTATTCGACCGGACCTGACCAGCCAGGATGTCCTTCACCGGCACTCTGCGACCGTAGAATTTCTCGTTCTCATCCGATCGCTCCACGATGATCGAGCCGTCGATCTGGATGCCCCCGTACAGTCCCTTGGACTTCATGTAGGTCCAGATCGGCGCGCGTCGCTTGTGGACCTCGCTCTCGACGACGCCACCCATGCCAATCGGACCCGCAGCCACGCTGACCTCACTGCCGAGCGTGACGCGCAGCTTGGTGAAGGCCTCCAGGGCTTCATAGGTATTGATCACCATGACGCAGTCATAGATATCCGCGCCAGCCAGGAAGCCCACACCAGCAGTGTGCAAGAGAATACCCGAGGGCTCGGTCCACTGACCCGTCTGGGGATCGCGGGCGATGAGAATGCCACTGCCGCCGGCACCGCTGAAGCCCCAGCCCCACCGCATAGCAGTGAAGACAGCTAGGCCCTTCGCCTCCCGAATGACCTCCGACGGGATCTTCTTCAACACCTTCTGCTTGCCCTGCGGCTTGTCGATCTTCTCCTTCTCCTTGTTGGAGGCCTCAGGCCCACTGACGGGCGGGGCACTCTCAGCCTTCTCGTCGATATAGACACCCTCCTTGCAGAAGCTGCGCAAAATACGGGCGGCCTTGTCGGATTCCTTGTCGATGGACATGGGCCAGAACGCCTCGGCGCCCAGCTTGTTGGAGAGACGGTTGACGGGCCCACCGAGCTTGTCCAGGGCGTTCCAGCCTTTGTCGAAGGTCTTCTTGCCGAAGACTTTGGTTTTGTCCCACATTTTGCTGGACGAGCTGGGGGTATTTTGTTGTGATTGAGACATTGTGGAGATGTGTAAGAAGTATTTGTATGTTGTGAAGGAAAATCCAGAAAACTTGGGAAGTGCAATGGAAGAAGTCAAGTATATGTAGGTGGGCTGTTGGAGGCTGACGTCGAAGGCACCAACATTAACAATGCTGAATTGGAGGGGCAGCTAAGCTAAGCCTTCGTAATCCGCCCTACAACCGGCTTAGCGCGCCTTTCTCCCCACCAAAATGTGGGTTGAATGATTTCATCGCCACACTTTCTCCCCACTTGGACTTGGCCCGATTAGGAAATATTCTCGTTTGCCTGCTTGGGCTCCAGTCATGAATTTGAGTCTGTCGTATGTGAGAGGGCTGAGCAAAATGCTAGTATTTAGGCCCAGACGAATGCATTCGTGCCCTATCATGCAGCCACGAGCTTATCGCTTATCGGATCGGATCTATGACGTCGGTCGATGTCGGACCATTAAGCCTTGTGATAGTATGTATGGCTGCATTTTTTTTTTTTGGAAGAATTACCACAAATGCAAGCCTTCAATTACATTGTACACCATACATTAAACGCAGAATCATCTTTACTTCAGGCATTTCAAGCCAAAGTATCCCGAATGGGATCCTTCTCCGCGCTCTCGACACTCTTCAAGAACTCCCTCGCCGCCTCAGGATCCTCCGCGAACAGATGCTCCGCCACGTTCCGCCGCGGCGTCTCACCCATCCACTGGAACAGGGAGAAGTCGCGGAACCGATCCGCGCGGAAGATCTCGAGGACCTCAACTTCTTCCTCGTCCGACAGGTTCTCGATGAAGTGGCCCATGTTCTTGGGCACGATCCCCACGTCGCCCGCCACGTAGTCGAAGGTGCGCGCGTTGCCCTCCGCCGCGAAGATGGTCACCCGCGCCCGCCCGCGGATGAAGTACGACCACTCGTCCGCGTTGGGGTGCCAGTGCATCTCGCGGAGGGCCCCCGGCTGGATCGTCAGGTGGGCGGCCGCCACCGTCTTGGAGATGGGGAAGTTGGACGAGTCGGTGATGCGCACCTCGCCGCCCGAGGTGCGCTCGGGCTCCTGCGCGAGCATCCTGTGGGTGAACCGCTCCTTGGAGGGTTTGAAGTTGGGCGGGATTTCTTTGGGGATGGAGGCCGGGTGCGAGCCCGGGAAGATGTATTTCTCGCTCGTGGGCAGGTTCTTGAAGAGTTGTGGGCGGAGGCGGAAGTTCTCGGCTAGGACTGCTTTCGGAGTGTGTGCTTTGGGGATCGGTTAGCAGAATTCAAGGGTGTGCGTACAGAAGAGGAAGGGTGGTGGAGGGGGGCGCAACGTACCCATCCAATCCGTCAGCAGGAACGTTGACTCCTCACTGAAATTGCCATCGTCGAAGATCAAGAGAAACTCGGTGCCGTTCTCCCCGAGTCCTTGCAGACTGTGCGGGTGTCCGGAGGGGAAGTACCACAGATCTCCCTTTTCCAAATCGTCGATGAACGCGTTTCCGTCGAGATCGAGGCCGGTCACGCGCACCTGGCCCGCGAGAACGTACGCCCATTCGGCCTCCCGATGCCAGTGTAGCTCTCTGTAGACCCCGCTGTCGAGGCGCATATTCACCCCGGCGAGCTCCTTGCTTGTTCCGAGCTCGCGGACCGTGGTTTGGCGCGTCCAGCCGCCTTCCTACTCAGAGTTAGCCTTGCATTCGATTATTCTGGTAGTAAATTGTCCTGTCATGGTCACGCACCTCAATTCGCACGTGCGAGTCAGCGAATGACCATCGCATGTTGGGCAGCGAGCCGTGGTCGGTGCTCGGGGGCCGGACAAGGTCGGGGTTCTGGCGCTCGCGGTCCTTGTTCCGCGGTCCCATCATCGAGGCGCCATCGCCCATCCGCCAGGGAAGGGGCTCTCGATCTTCTCCGATGGCATCCACCTTATGGTCCCAGGGATCACGGTGGTCAGGGGTGAAAGGCTCTTTGCTGTTGCTGTTGAAGAAAGTCGAGGGTGAGGAGGCGGGGATCTGCATCAACTGCTGATAAACGTCGTTGGGTACTGGGCCAGCATGGCTTCGTCCAATTAAGCCGGTCACGGCCACTAACGCCAGCAGAGACTGAGGGGACCTCGATAGTAAATGCATGGTGTGAGTATGGGCGGGACGTGATTAACGATGGAGGATCTGGTCTGCTACTGGGGAGAGGGTCGCCCTCTTTATACGTTGGTGAGGGATTATTCGTGCTCTGCTTCCGGGCTTTCCGACAACGTGGAAGAGAACCAGGGGTGTCAGAAACCGGTCATCGAGTGGAGACGGATTTTGGAAAAGGGGCCTCTCATGTTGAAGAGAAGGGCTGTTGGGTCAAAGCTTGGGATTTGCTTGTGCTGGGTGGGGGGGAAGGAATTGATGCGGGTCATTGGCGGATGGCTCAGCCCTACAGGGCTGGGACGGCACGTCATGATCATCACGACGTCACCTGCCTTTCAGCATTTGCTTGCGAGCGGCATTTCCACAACGCCCTATTCTCCGATATGCACGGGGAGAGACCAGGCTAGCCAGTTCAATGGTCCAGGAGCATCGACTGATAGTACGAAGATTTGCTCCTGAGATCAAATGGGCTTTTGTCTCCGCTCTCGAGGGAAAGCTCTTGCCCCCTACTGTCTTTGAGTGGGGACAGTATCATTATCCCCGCTATCTTCTCTTTGTACTCTCTTGTATGAGAGAATTTTCGCTATGATGCATTATGCGTGTGGTACATACCAAACATTCATAGGCTGTGTTCCTGGCTGCCTGTTCACAAACAGGCGGAACCGGAACAATCCAAAGCCGAAATGACCCTGCTATCACACTAGACCCTATATACATTAGTGTTCTGCATTATCTGCCTCAGGCATTCAATATTTAGAGAGGATCATGTTAACAACAGTGAATAAACAACAGAGAAGCTTGCAATGGATAATTTCTTCATCTTTCTCACTTCTTAAAGCTTTCCATCATTTCTTCTCACTCCATCTATCTCATCTCGAAACCTCCACCAAAACCTCTCCATCTCATCTTCTCCACACCACAAAAAACATCATCAAGACAAAAGAAAACCCTCAAGATGATGCGTCGACTTCTAGAAGCGGGAGCCCTGGGCCCTGTCCACCTTCTACCCATAGCAGCCCGTCTCCCCAGGGCCATCGTTCTTGACTCGATGAAATCTAAGTGGACCAGACCCCCCTTGTACGATCCTACTTCCTCGAGCCCACACGAGATCACGATGAACATCTTGCAACACGAGGCCAATGGCGAGCCGTTCTTTACAAAGGAAGCCTTGCTTGACCTACAGGCCCAGCTTTCACGTCCCCTTGAGGAAGGCGAGAAGTATGTGGCCATCGGGTTCGAAGGCACCCCTGTGGAGTTTGAACCAGCCACCGGGCAGGTCAATGAACATGTGGGACATCGATTCGTCAAGTAAGCATGATCCTGTCTTTCGATTTCCACGAGATGGAGCTGTTTTTGTCGAGTCGAAACACGCCGCGGAACGTAACTGACCACATCATCCTTACAGTGGCCCCGTTGCCCTCGTGTATCACTCCTGGAGCGTCTTCCTCGGGCAGGCCTCCGACAAAAAGTACCTAGATGCCGCCTCATACTGCCGCGTCGTCCCCATGCACGTCCAGCAGTGGATCAACCCGGAGACCGACGAGATTTTCGCTCTCCCCCCGCGCCCCGTCGAGGGCCCCAGCCGACTCCTGAGGAGCGCGGTCTTCGCCTGGCAGCCCAGCGCCACCTGGGCGGCCATCCGCAAGGTGCTGGTGGCGGCGCGCGAGAAGCACACGGTCACGAACTTCGTGGGCTTCGCGTGTGGGACGATGTTCGGGGACAGTCCCTCGGCGACGCAGCATGCGCTCGTCTGGATGATCATCCGACTCTTCTGCAAGGATGGGAAGGGCGATTCGGACGAGCCGTTGGCCTGCTCGCTGCAGGACCCGATGTATGACGCGCAGGATAAGCGCCTGTTGAACTTGCTGAAGATGAACGTCGTCGAGGATCCGCAGGGTTTCCTGGATGTGGAGGATTCCTCGATCGTGTTCACCTGCAACTCGGATGTGCCGGTCAAGGAGATCGTGCTGGATATCACGCGTCCAGCTATCATGATCATCGACGATATTACCCGCATTAACTCGTGAGTTTGTTTCTGGTTGCTGGTTGCTGCGGCAGGAGTGCAGTGCTAAAGAGACTAGGATCTACGATCCCGTCACTAATCGTGTGCTCAAGGCGATTGGGGACTCGTATGAGATGTTCGACTTTCCGGAACATGAGGCGTTCGGGCAGATGGCTATCTACGTGAGAAATTAGATGCGCCTCCGAGTTGATGACTTGCATGACCGAGGTGACTGGATGGCTGGGAATGTATTTGAACGAAGATCACGAGCTGCTCACCCTTTTTGTACTATAGCGAGATTGACATGTGTTTTTGAGCAAGCTACCGTCACTGATCTGTGAAATTTGATGGGAAGATTCAGATAGGTTACTTTCGATGGTATTATTTTTCGCAGACAAGAATTTTATTCCTTCGGTCTGTAGGCTATCAGTGACAAGTTGGGGGAGCTCGGTCGCGACATACTAGCATGGTCGGTCGCTCTTGCCAGTACGTTTGTTGGTCTTGCCTTTCCACTGATGTTTGGGGTGCGACACATTTGGTATGAACAAGTGCAGGCTCTGAATTGTTGCTAGGCTTCGTCATTGCGGCCATCGGCCTGGCCTGGAAACTTGCTGAGTTTTTTTGTTTCGGGGAATGTGACCGGTCGCGTCTGCCACTTGAGGGCGAGCAGCATATGTACTGTGATTCGGTCACGTGTTCAGGTGCTGATACTAGACATTGAGCATTGAGAAGTTCGAGGTTCGATATATACCGGTAAGAACAAAGCATTGGCATTAGGATTTTGCTCCCTAAGGTGTCTTGCGCAGATCGTGCTGAGTGTGGAGTTCGTCTTGCTGTCAAAGTTGAGTGAAGTGTGGAATTCAACTGCTGTTTGCGCGCAACATATATTTTCACCGGAAATGAGCGAAACCACCCACTCATGGACGGATGTGTCTCCTTTCTCGTCCCAAGGTATCAGATGCCAGAAGCCGAGACACAGACGAATGGTTATGTATTCATTCTGTTTACTAAATAGAAAGGATAGAGAGAGAGATTGGTAAGTTAGGCGCAATTGGAAGAGAGGAGAGCAAAAAGGGAAACGAAAAAAGAAAGTGGCGCTGCCCGGAATCGAACCGGGGCTGGCACGGCCACAACGTGACGTCATACCACTAGACCACAGCACCTGTTGTTGTGAAAATCGTACCAACATTACAGTATATAACCGTCATTAACAAGTGTGGTTGCACCTCATCGCCGTGCTGATTGTAAGGTCAAATCCGAGCCCTTCAGATGTAGCGCTACAAAGACCACGACAGAGTAAACATACAAGCCGCAACTCAACCATGTTACCCCTTCAAGTTATTGATCATCCAAGAAGTGTGTCAATAAGACCCAAGGCTACTGGCTACTGCCTGAGGCCGAGGGCCGGCCACTCGGGGTCGGGCTGAACTCTGGGTCCGACCGGGGGGTGTCAGCTTGTGCGGTTGACAGCAGTGTCAGGAAGCTCGTCGGAATTTAAGATCACTCTCAGTCCTGTCTTACAGGAAAGGATGTTTGCATGGTGTTATCGATGCCGAGTGCGGACTGCATTCCAGCTGATCGTGCCTCCCTTGCATCAGGTGACAGCTCTAGCCCTTGGCTGCGAGATCACAGCTCAGATCACAGCTCCTGTGGATCTTGGTGGCCCCCAACCAGCGTTGAAGGGAGAAATAAGGTCAGTGTGAATACGAGAACGGGGGGATCAGTTGACGGATGACCGAACGAGAGATTCAAGATTCAGTGGGGAGTGGCTGGGGAGAATGTCTGGGGTGGAGGCGAACCCCGGAACCGCATTGGGGCCCAGATTGCTTTGGATTTCCGAAGCGGTGGAGCTGGTTTTCCCTTCCATCCACCTGCAACAAAGAACAAAAGACCGAAAGAGGGTAAGTGAGATATCACGTTATCACCATTCACCACTCAGGCAGCTGCCTGCTATTGCGGTTGCTGTTGCTGCTGGCATCTGCTGCTGCATTTCCGACCGCCTCCCCATCACCCACGTGGGCTCTCGTTCCCCCACAACCTCGTTTTCAATTCTTATCTCTCACCCTCTCGGTCTTTCTTTCACCCATTTAAATTCCTTTACCTCTTTTCTCACTCTCCTATCCTCCCTTCTCTTCGACCACAAGTTTTGATCTCATCTCTTTCTCCTCCATACCTCTCCACACACACCCGTGTCAACTGCTCACCACTCACCCCCGCTAGAGGCCGTGACCTCTCTACCCTCTCTGCCCCGGCCGCCATGTCGAGCAATTCCACCACCACCCAGGTCAAATCCCAGGCGGGAATCCTGGAGGGCAGCAATCCGACCGTGTACGACTCGTCGAACCCGATCATCCTCTTCATCATCCAAGCGAGCATCATCATCGTGCTGTGTCGACTGCTCCACTGGCCCCTCTCGAAGATCCGGCAGCCGCGCGTCATTGCCGAGGTGATCGCGGGCGTGGTGCTGGGCCCGTCGGTGATGGGACGCATCCCCGGCTTCACCGACGCCATCTTCCCCAAGGCCTCGATCCCGGGGCTGAACCTCGTCGCCAACCTCGGTCTGATCCTGTTCTTGTTCCTGGTCGGTTTGGAGACCAACCTGCGCTTCCTGATCAGCAACTGGCGCGTGGCGATCAGTGTCTCCGCGGCAGGGATGGTGCTTCCCTTTGGGCTGGGCTGCGCCGTCGCCTACGGGCTGTATAATGCCTTCCGCAACGAACCCGACACGGTGGACATCAACTTCGGCACGTATCTGCTGTTCATCGGCATCGCGATGGCCATCACCGCCTTCCCCGTGCTGTGCCGCATCCTCACCGAGCTGAAACTGCTCGGCACCAATGTGGGCGTGATCGTGCTCTCGGCAGGCGTGGGCAACGACGTCGTGGGCTGGATCCTGCTGGCGCTGTGCGTCGCCCTCGTGAACGCGGGCTCCGGGCTCACCGCGCTCTGGGTGCTGCTGGTCTGCGTGGGCTACGTGCTGTTCCTGATCTTCATCTTCCGGCCTCTGTTCCTGCGCTTCCTCGCCCACACGGGCAGTCTGCAGAAGGGGCCCAGCCAGTCCGTCGTGGCCATCACCCTGCTGCTCGCCCTGGCCTCGGCCTTCTTCACCCAGGTTATTGGGGTGCACGCCATCTTCGGCGGGTTCCTGATCGGCCTCCTGTGTCCGCACGAGGGCGGCTTCGCTATCAAGCTGACCGAGAAGATCGAGGATCTGGTCGCTGCGCTGTTCCTACCGCTGTACTTCACGCTCAGTGGCCTGCAGACCAACCTGGGATTATTGGACAACGGCACCGTCTGGGGGTACGTGGTCGCCATCATCGCGATCGCGTTCATCGCTAAGGTCACCGGCGGGGCGCTGGCGTCCCGGTTGAACGGACTGCTCTGGCGGGAGAGTTTCTCGATCGGCGTGCTGATGAGTTGTAAAGGGTTGGTGGAATTGATTGTTTTGGTACCCTTCCCTCCCTATTTCCTTCCCCCCCCCCCCCCCCCAGCACCAAAACTGACATGAATAGAACATCGGCCTCCAAGCCAAAATCCTCAGCACGCGCACCTTCACGATGTTCGTCGTCATGGCCCTAGTCACGACCTTCGCGACCACCCCGCTGACCGTCGCCCTGTACCCGAAATGGTACCAGATCAAGGTCGACCGGTGGCGACGCGGCGAGATCGACTGGGCCACGGGCAAACCCTTACCGCCAGACAGCCGCATGGACAGCATCACGGCCGCCAAGTCCGCGCACCACGGCGACCACCACGAAACCCTGGGCCACCACCGCCCCGTCCGCAACCTGCTAGTCTACCTGCGTCTGGACGGCCTCTCCGGCCTGTGCACACTAGCTGGCCTCTTGGCCCCGAACACGCACACCCACAACAACACCCACAACCACCCGCGCATCCACCCGGACAAACGCACCCCGACCAGCCCCGACCCGGACTCCAAGCACGCCGACGAGTCCGCGCCCGCGGAGACGGAAATCACGGAACTCGACGCCCCCACCCTGCAGAGCCTGCAAGTGCACGGCGTGCGGCTCCTGGAGCTGACGGACCGCGACTCCAGCGTGATGAAGGTCTCGGAGATCGAGCAGTACACCCTCTCGGACCCGGTGGTCAACACCTTCCGGGCGTTCGGGCAGTGGCACGACCTGTCGATTGTGGCGGGCGTGTCCGTCGTGCCGGAGCACTCGTTCGCCGACACGGTGGTGGGCATGGCGCGCGAGGAGGCCGCCGATCTGGTGCTGCTGCCGTGGAGCGAGACCGGCGCCATGGGCGAGCAGTACCACCTGCATTCGCCGGTCGAGGAGGGCGTCCGCTTCCTGGACGGCCAGCCCTACGCCGCCTTCGTCGGCAGTGTCCTGGACGGGTCCCAGGCGGCCAGCGCCAACGTTGGTGTCTTGGTGGAGCGCAATCTGTACGCCCCGCAGCATGCGCTGGGCGCTGCGGGGGGTGGGGTCAGTGGGGTCAGGCATCGCCCGTCGTTGGGGGCGATGAGTGTGCAGCGCAGTTCGTCGGTGTGGAATGCCCGCGGCGGCGGCGGGGCGGCCAAGGCGCATCATATCGTCGTGCCGTTTGTCGGGGGGAGGGATGATCGGCTGGCGGTGAGGTTCGTGTGCCAGGTGGCCAGCTGTGATTTGGTCACCGTGTCGGTCGTGCATTTGGAGCTTCCCGGTGCCAGTGGTGTTAATGTGAGTGCCAGTGGGAGCGGGGTTGTTCCGGAGGAGTTGGTCGAGTCGGATGCCGCTTTCTTGTCGGTGATGAAGGACTCGTTGGATGAGGAGGTGCTGGATCGTGTGGTGTTCAAGACGACTGCGGTCAAGACGGAGGCAGAGGCGGTCGCTACGATGGTCGAGCTGGTCAAGGAGGAGATGGTCCGCTCGCATCACAAGGCTGGCAACCTGGTCGTCGTGGGCCGACGGCATTCGGCGCTGGATGAGCTGCTCGCGTCTCAGCACGATGGCGGTGCCGCGTCGGCGGCGGCGCACGATGAGGTCGGCGCGGAGGCCGCGCGCGTGCTGGGTGTCCTGGGCCAGGCCTTGGTGAAGAAGGGAAACCGCATCGTCGGCGATGTGCTGGTCATGCAGAGTAAATAAAGGCGCGAGAATCCTCAACACAGGACGGACATACGTGATACCCCCCTCCCTTTACCTGAAATTAAGATTGGAAACTATCCTACTGGGCTCTTATGATTTACTGGAGAAATGAATCGAAATTTGATGTTCTGGTTTTGGTATTTGGTTTTCATCATGATTGTGAATATGTATGTGCAAAACATTCGGGGCTGCAATGCTAAATAACCCCCGACATGACACTTATGTACCGTACTTTGAAATATGCAAATGCAATGCTAACATGACAGATTGACTTTGACCTGGCCTGTCCGGCAGGATCCACTTATTTTGTTTGTTTTTTGTTTTTTTATCGTTTCACATCATCATTAGACCTTCTCGTTGTCCTCCCCAGCGTGGCTGACAAGACTCGCCAGCTTGGACTTGGCCCGCAGCTTGGGGCCGTACATGAACAGCACGTAGGGGATGAGGGTCAGGGCGGTGGCGATCAAAGCCAGAATCAACCCGGCGTACTGGCTGCCCACGTTGTGGAAGAACTGCGAGGCGAACAGGGGCGAGACGGCACCCAGCGTGTTCCGCATGAAACCCTGGCCGGCGATGGCGGAGGAGGAGCTCTCGCCGTAGCAGTCGGAGGTGTAGCTGTAGCAGCTCTCGAAGATGAAGAAGATACCGATGCAGATCAGCACCAGGGCGATGACGGGGGCGATCCAGGGCAGGTCAGCGTATTGGGTGAAAGAGTAGATGAAGAGGCCGATGGGGAGCCAGACGGCACCAAAGAGGGCGCCGTACAGACGGGACTCGGGGCGGGCCTGGCCCGCCTGGAAAAGGGCGTTGTACTTGCGGATCTGGAAGAAGTTGAGACCGAAGCCGATGGTGCAGCCAATGCAGAGGCCGATGTAGGGCAGGCCGGACACGCCCTCGTTCCAGCCCTTCTTCTCCTGGAAGGTGATGGGGATGACCGACAGGAACAGGAAGGTCAGGAACCAGGCGAAGGCGATCCAGAGACCGAAGGCGAACACCACGGGCTCGGTGATGAGCATCTTGATCGCCTTGACCGAGGAGTTGTGCAGCATGTGCTTCAGCGAGGGGGCCTCGAGGTCGTTCTCGGTCACGTAGCGGTCGTCGCCGGTGTTCTTGCGGAGCAGCTTGGCCCGCTTGCCGAGGGCGACGCTACCACGGGTCTCGGGGAGGAAGAACAGGATGACCAGGGCGAGCGGGATGTTGGCCAGACCCTGGATACCTTCCACCCAGCGCCAGTGGAGGGCCTGGTCGATGAAGCCGGCATAGATCGGGGCGGCCACGGTACCGAAGATGGCGATCCACGAGAAGGTGGCGACGGGAATGGCGCGGTCCTGAGGGTAGTACATATCACCGAAGGTACCACCGACCAGGATGGTACCGACGCAACCGAACAGACCGAGCAGGGCACGGCAGACGAGGATGGTGCCGATGTTCTTACCCAGGGCGAGACCGATGAACATGATGACGAAGCAGAAGTAGGCTCCGACGTAGACGACACGACGACCCGCCAACTCACAGAAGGGGGCCAGGAAGAGGGGAGCGAGGGCGCAAATGAAGTTGAAGAGGAAGAGACCCAGTTCGGCAATCTCCTCGGTCACACCCAGATCCGAAGCCATATCACCCAATCCAGAGCTGTAAGCTGTCGTGGCGAGACCGATGAACAGGGTCATCAGACAGAGCAGGGCGGAGATAAAAGCCTTGTATTTGCCATCCCAGTTGAACGGATTCTCCTTGTCTCCGGGGACGAAGTCGAGGACGATGTACTGGTTGCCGTCCTGGACGATGCGTTCGGTCTGTGTTAACGGCATGTCGAAGTCGACGGTCTGTAGGGGGCCGTCTGCCTGAGCAGCGGCAGAGCTGTCATCGAGGCCCTCGAGGTATTTTCCACCGGCGATGCGTCCTTTGCAGGTGGAGTCGATGTGGCTGGAGGAGCCGGCGGAGGCGTTCTCCGTATGGGAGGCCAGGCCAGGCTGGGACTTGTCCATCTTGTCCATTGTGAGAATTTATGGATGGATGGATGGAGGAGAGGAAGAGGGAAGAGTAAGAAGAAGAGAGGTGAGGTCGAGTGGAAGAAACAGCCAGGAAACAGCAGGGAAGGAGGAGGTATAAAAGGACAATCAAAACACTGGGGAAAGGAACCCGTCTCATCCGGCTTCTCCAGTTTTATTTTTTTCGTGTCGGCCCACCCGAGTCAGGGCTTCAGTCCATCTTCTTCTGGGGTGCGTCATAAAGTCGGGGTGGACTGGGAGACTCTGGAGTGGGCATGGGAAAGGCATCCGCCTCATTGTAATGCAGACTACGGAGTACAGTTCCTGGCCAGGAATGCTCCACGAGATGGATCCGGGATGGCGTTGGAAAGTAGTGGGTCATCAGAGTTTGCGGTCGATCAAACTGAGAAACTTCGGGGAAACTGATCCAATGTGCAGATATTGGCAGTTGGGAACAGTGATAGATGAGGAGGGGGGGGCGCTCACAGTCACTGAGAGTCTTTTGATTAAGCTCAAGGATAAGAGCACTTGGTCCATTACCTCCCATCACTCACAACGGCATTCTCTACACTCTTTTTCTGCCTCCTTATGGTGTTGAAACAGCAGCAAGGAAGTAGTTCGGAAGTCGACCGAGGATGACTTCACCTCGGCATCCCGACTTCCCTCCAACTGGCTCCTTCTCCATCGGGCCGACTCGGTCCCCCACGTCCTTTGGGGGCAAAAGCCATACAGAGTTTCGGTTGCACTTCGGCGAAATCCTCACCGTCGCTGAACTCGGAAGGTTGTCGGTCGGTCCGTTGCAGGGATGGTGATTTAGTCGTCTTGTCTCCTCACAAGATGAGCAAAAAAGTGTCGCCGTTTCTGTTCTGAATATCCTCCATTCAAATCCCCAAAACCAAGTTAAATACTGTCAAACCCACCCGCGAAACCCTACTGATTAGGTCTTTCTCGACTTCTTCCACGTTATCGATAAGAATGTGCAGCAGTGAACTCGAAGCCCGTGCAAACTGAAACCCCCATGATGCATTGGGGATCCACCATTCCGGCCCAGAGAACTCGGCTGACCTGCTTGCCCTCGGGCCAGAACGGGCAGGACAGCCACTGACGCCGACTACAACGCCATTTGACCGGTCCGAAAGATCTCCTGTCGGGCTGGCGGCGCTGGCCTGGACATGCCAGCTCGATGATTCGCTGCTTGCCTTTCCGCTTGGACGCCTGTTGCCAGAACCATCGACCCTGACACGTAGGGATTCAGGAAAAAAGCGGACAACCCCCCCCTCCCCCCCACTACTCCGACTGCATTGCTTCGCATTTTTTTATGCTAGGCTCCTTACACAACTTGGTCACGAGGGCGCAATCATCATAATTCCGTAGACTCTCGCAGGCAGTCCGGGTTTTTCCGATGCCAAAACCGGCGCTCAACCCAGCCCAACCCAGCCAAGCTTGGGTTGAGTTGGGGTAGATGACGACATGGCGCGGATGACGCCCATGGTTGAATGATTACATTAGATGTAGAGCTTTTAATGTGAAAGGAGTCTGGCCATTTAAGATTGTATTCTCGGCCTGATTTGGGGTGTGATTGTTGTGGTTGCGGTGGCAAACATCGAGTTGTACTCATGTAAAACGTGTTCGGTTGGGATTCCCACTGTGGCCGGTTCAAATTTGTGCCTGATTGACTGGATGATCGACACTCTTATCCAGCTTGCTTGAGCCTATTTTGATGTAGTGCACCGGGACTAATCACGACAGCTCTCAACATTCACGCTGTAGTGGTATTCCTTCAAGAAATGGCCGGTTGGTGTAGTTGGTTATCACGTATCCTTCACACGGATAAGGTCCTGGGTTCGAGTCCCTGACCAGTCATCTTTTTGCTCTATTCTCTTTTTTGATATCTGCATTTCTCCCTCTAGACTGTCTTGCTCTTTAGGGCATAGCGAAAGCTTTTTTTTTTTTTTTTTTTTTTTCCGCTTGATCGTCGGTCTCTCCGATGGACCACGATCCGGTTCCTGATAAAGTTTATTCGAGAACAACCCTGGAAAGAATTTTTCTCTTCGGTGGCAATGCTGGATCTTGCCACGGGAGGGATGACAAAGCGATCGGCATCGGGCCCCCTTTCATCGCCAGGGGCAGAGAGCACCTGTGCCTGACACTATACTCGAGGTGACGTGCAGAATCGCCTTCTTTTCTCTTGTTGAGTTTTTGTAGCGCATACGGTTGCGTGTAGCAACTTACTAGCCGGCTCATTGGGTATGTTCCTCGAGATAATCAGCCAGTAAAAATATGCATACGGAATGCACTACAGATATATATCGCTGCTCAACCTGCATAATGTACACCCCAAGTATTCAACACTACCCTCAAATAAATAGCGACGATCCTATCAAGGAGCTCATAGGTATTCTCCAATTGCGGCTACTCATATATTTGGAGCATTGTTGTCAAACGCGCCTGTTATGATGCTCGGTTGGCATTCATCAACAAGCGGGTGCAAAGGGAGATGTGCACTGCTAAGCCTCCTAAGCACATTCAGTATTGCGTGTGCGAAAAACTACAATTGCCTGCCCACTCCTCTACAGGAGCTCACTTGAAAGCCTCGTACTGAGCAAACTCTCAGCGCCGTATACTGGCAGCAATTACTCTATGCTGTGAAATGGAGGCAATGAGGGCCATTGCACAAACATGTAAAAAGCAAAAAGATGGAGCTGCGGGGAATCGAACCCCGGACCTCTCCCATGCTAAGGGAATATTATACCACTAAACCACAGCCCCAATTGATGAAAGAGAGCTCTAAGTATGCATATATGACCTTTGTATTGCCTTTGTGGTAGCACCTGAAGATGCGACGCAGCTGGATAGAACTGTGCTGACACCAGCACGTGCATTACCGGTATGAGTCGTAACTATGCAAAGGCCTTCCCAGAACCGTATATAGTGCACTTATGGTTGGTGATTATCTTTCCGGTGCCCTCAGGCACAAATGCACATACACGTATTCACTGCATCCTCTAGAGGCTATTATGGTCTAGCCAGCGGCGAGGGTAAACGAATTGGCAGTGGGCAATGTGGCAGTCTTGTCTCTTGTGAAGGGGCTGGCAGCCGCTGGCTGCTATCCCGCATCTAACCCATAATCCCCTAGCGTTGTTTTACCCCGCACACCATTTTTTTCTCCCTTTCATGATAAGCAGGTTGTTCTCGGAACATCAGATTTGAAGATAAGGGGTTATCGAGGTCAGCCGGTAATCTCTGGTGACGGCCTGAGAGACGAGGCACTTACACCATAGCGAGACTCCAGCCCCAAAGTCACCCGACAAATGTTGAGACCGATCCCAGTGATGACTCTTTCAATCACTGAGAGTGCAACGACCCACTCAAGATCATGGCCAATATTCTGGTTGCAATTTACCCACCGGGAGGCTACCATGTGTACATGATCCTGGGCCTAGGACAGGGCGCTAGTCTGACACAACGCAGACCAATTTTGCGATATGTTGGAAGCAGGCTCAAGGCCTTTCATGTGGTGGGCCTCTACAGGGCGCGAAGACCACCTTCGTGGGTGCTTCGATCCTCACCTCGGATTTCAAGTAGACTATCGCTGGGCTTGACTGATGGACGTTTCTCTTTTAAGGTACGTTTCAACCATGCAGCCGCTACGTTACCGGCTCGTTGATCGCCGCGGTCAAACTTTGTGTGTCTTCCACTCGATGAGAGTCACACCTGATACCGTACGTGCCAACGTGACTGAGGTGTTTCATCCATTGAAAGCGCATAAGCTGGATTCATTGCATCTTCACTGGCAATTTCTTCTGGACGATACTCGGTACGATAGACTTCCAGGGTGAGTTCGCTAGTCGCAGCTCTGTGGGCAAAGTACAATGGCCCCAGAAACTTGGGTGCTTTGAAGTATCTCCTGGAAGACGAACGTGTGAAACTTCTCGGGCTGTGTTGACTTCGACATCATGAATATGGCTAAACTTTCTGAAAACCATGATGTCAAGCTTCCGAGGCGTGGTACCTCGGTATGTAACCCACTGCACCTCCGATGATATCCTGCCCCGGTCTTCAGCACCGAACACGCACCCTCTCACATTTGCCAAGTTGTTGGATACTTTCTCCCTTCCAGATGAATTGATAATCCTCGACCGGGTTTCCACAGCGAACCATGGCATCCAGTCTAAGCAAGGGAAACTGGCACCACATCGACAAGATCTGATCTGCAACGAACAACCCCAATGAAGAGGACTACTATCAGTATTATGCCACAATGACCTGCCGCGGAAGCTGGTTGCTCTCTCAAGAGCTTCTCCGCGCTGTAAAAGCCATCGCCGATAACATAGCGTTGGCAGCAAGCGACTTACGGTCTCCGGACTGGTGGGTACTGGGCGGCCATTGCCGGCGCGCGCATGCGAGTTAGCGAGCAAGTTGAAGACATACTGAAGAGTTCCGAATGGTCATCAGACGAGGCGGATTGGGAGCTCATAGAAAGATTCATAGAAATTGACCTGCGGCGATATTTGAGTCGATGGGGAAATTGCGAAGGAGAGCGTGGCTGAATCATCAAACACCCGGAAGTCAATGCCTATAGCAACGATGATGACGACGGCGCTCGACAGCTACCACGTCACGCATTCTATTTTCATTTCTCGAATGATAAGACGGAATATAGAAAACATTACTGCCCCCACCGCGCACACACCAACCCCAAAATCACCCCCGACTAGCCATCAACGCGTCCTCCGACACCGCCGTCGACAGAACACTAAACTCATCCTTCCGGCGGATCCGCTCCAACTTGACCGGTGGGGTTCGCTCGTTATCCGAGCTGGCATAATACCGGGATCCAAAGCACGCGGGGAGGAGGGGCTTCAGTAGTGCAGGCAGACAGGGCATACAAGCGCACACGATCGCGACGTCGCACTCCACCATGCTCCAGTAGATGGCGGGATTGTTGTCCACTTTATTTCGAATTCTGTCAGTAGGCGCCCACTAGACAAGTGGTCTGTGGGAAGTGAGGCTTACTGCTGATATTGGCGGATTTGGAGAAGCGGATGAGGGATTGGAGGCGGAGGCAGCTGACGACGGTGATCCTTGTGGTTGTTAGTGGGTTCTGTACATGGAAGGGTTCCAACGGGGGAAGCGGAGGTTGGGAAGTGGCTTACAAGAACCCCGTGCAGAACATCAGCAAGACAAGCGTCTTCTTGCGGCGGCTCAACGCGAGCTTTGACAGTGGGTAGATAGGCAGTGCGATGATGGACAGGTCCATCGCAATTTGCATGGCGGCACGATACCACGAGTAGGTGTTGATGTCAATGCAGTGGCCTGTTGCCTCCCCGGACCAGCTGTTCCAGAAGTAGGAGACTGGAAGGCATTGGAAGATCATGATCAAGGTGTTGGAGATGCCGAAGCAGATGGAGATGCCAGCGAGGGTGTAAACAATGTATCGGAAATTGCCGGGAGGGAAGATGCGGAGATAAAAGGCTAGGAAGGATAACTGGGTCAAGGCTTCGGCGGGCATGTAAAAGATCTCGGCGATGAGAAGCAGCTGGATTCAGGTTAGAAGGGGCTGAAAACCCAAAGGAGTGGAAGCGTGACGAACTTTGAGCTGGGTAGTAATGTCTTCGAAAGGGATTGTCCAGATGTTGGTCCCGAGGCCGTGTTTTTGCACTGGCTTGTTAGTGATTGCTTGCGTCAGGAGGGAAATGCACTTACTGGGGAAAGCCATGATGTTCAGTATCGCAGCACATGCCTGTGTTGAGTTAGCTTGTATCATTTACCGGGTCTTAGCAGCCCAGTCCATACCATAGCCATCAATATCAGCCCATCGTCCCAGCCAAATGATCGCTTCATCATGGTTCGTTGAGCCATGCGCAGGCAGGTCATGATGAAGGCCAGCATGCCCAGTGAGCCGGCCAGTGCAGGCGTCAAGCTGGCCTTACTCTCTTCATGGATCCCACAGGCTGCACGAGTGTAATTTGTCGAAACTAGAACGTTAGGCGACTCCGACTGCTTCCTTGAGGAGGTAGACTACCTACATAGGTTCTGCTTCGGGGTGCAAGATAGACTGTAGCACCCTAGTGCCGTGTCCAAGATGCTTTCCCCGGTACAAATGCACCATCGATCTGTCGTTGCGCACGAGCTGGCATTTATTGCGGCTTCGAAGCATCGAGCCTGGGCAGTTAGGATTGATGATTATTCAACAAAGTTTCGAGCGAAGCTTACTGCACATGCTGGCAGGTCACTGAGGAACTCTGGGAGCAGGGTTGAGTTCATCCTGGGCGAATTGAGAATCGACTCGGTTGACAGCTGCACCCCATGAGCTTTTCTGGATTTGCCAATTCTATAAGTAACATCGGGATCTCAGCCGGCCTGAAATTCTAAGGCTGGAAGATTGGGAAGGCTGTCCGAGTTTATTGATCCATTCTTGCGCCTATCGGCCCAAGCATGCTTGTTGATGTATCGAGGTTGTTGATACTCACGGCGTGCGAATTACAGTACAACAGAGGCCGATCGATGGTTGCAAGGATCCAGCAGGGGTCAAGGTACGGGATTGTACTCATCATGGACAGTGCGCAACGGTCGGTCGATCTCCAATGCAGTGAAGTGAATTGATAGGGCAGCGCGGACAGGGATCCTGGCCTGGAATGGCCCAGTGGGGGAGGAGGATGAGATAGGCAAGTCCTCCGTATGCATGGTCGGAGCATTTACACATGTCGCAATCACTGCCTGAAATTTATCGCGATAAACATCGTGGAAGTTGATCACGGAGTTTCTTCCGAAGCATTTCTGCTGTTGCTGGATCGTATATCACAGGTGCTCCGCCATTAGGGCATGACCGGCAAGCCATAATACGCTTTTGAAGAATTCTGCGATTTCTTCCACGGTCGCAAGATTCCTGTTTTCTGGCAGCTTTGACAGGATCCACCTGTCTACTGGCGTGTGTCCGAGCGTTTTCCAGGCTCCTTAAACAGCATGCATCATTGGTTGGGGCGATGGGGTACTTTTTCTCCCCCCGCGTCGGTGGATAAAAACTAGACCAACTTAAGTGATTAGTCCATCCCCGTTCGCCACTCAGTGAAGGCGATTTCCCTGCGTCTCCATAACTGTCAAATAGACTTCTGCAGACTCCTCTTGTCGTAACGGCCACACTAGCTGGCGAGAACGTCAACCGTTAGGGCTCACCTGGGCTTATCTGTTGACCGAGGTTGTTGGCCTATGTTGCGGAGGCGGACTTCAGTTTGTCGTTCACGGGCCTGGCATTTTTGCCTTAGGTACTGCACATTCCAGGTGTCCAGAAATCAAGGGGGCTAGGAAAGAAGAACACGCAGACAGACAGATCATTTCTATATGTGATTCTCCTTTGTGCTACTGTGTAAAACCATCAGTGACCAATCCGCTATCGGGGATTAATATGGGTATAACAGAACCACCTCCACCTGCGTCAGACTAGTCCAAATTCATGCTTTCGAGCGTTCCTGCTCGCACACTGACATTTCCTCGACGTCAAGGTTCCTGTGGAGAAATGTCCGTGCTCTGGTTTGCCTGTAGACGAGTCAGATTTAATCTAATAAGAGGGTGCCACCCCCGGTACTTTCTGCTTCTTGCGCTTGATCTGTTCACTCCTTCAGAACTGTACGCCCTCACCTCGCGTTTCATCGTTGTCCCACCATGACGACAACGACATTGATCCAGGGCCTGATCGGGCTGAGTTTACTTTATCTCTTGCTGTCTCGACTTTTGTCCCGATCGCGATCATCTGCGCCTCTGCCACCGGGACCGAGAGGCAAGCCCATCATTGGCAATCTGGCAGACTTGCCTCCACCGGGAGTACAGGAATGGAGGCACTGGTTGCAGTTTAAGGAGCGCTACGGTATTGCTTTTTTCACCCCCTTCCCCACACTATGATTGCTTCTGCTCGCCTCTTTTTGCTTTTTGCTTTGCAATCAATCAGTATTTGAATTTGAATTATGCTCGAAATAGCTTGTTCACTACCGCCTATGAGGCAATCTCCCACTAGAATAATTCACGAGTCCTCGACCTAATGCACGTCTCCCCGTCACAGGTCCGATCAGCTCCCTGACCATTCTGGGCCAAACCATGGTGATAATCAATGATGCTCGCATGGCCTTCGATCTGCTCGAGAAGCGCTCGAACATCTATTCGTCGCGGCCCCGACTTACCTTTGCGGGAGAGATGTGCGTGTTGGCCTCAAATTTGAGTCTTCCGACAACGAATCACAAGAGCTAACGCAGCCACCACTGCTTGTAACTAGTGTTGGCTGGAATGGCTCCCTGGCGATGCAGACCTACAGCGATCAATTCCGCGCCTACCGGAAAGTGATGCATCGCGTACTGGGGACGAAGACGACGACGGCACGATTCAATTCGCTGCAGGAGGTGGAGGTGCGCCGGTTCCTGATGCGCGTGCTCGATCGCCCGGAGGACTTGGTCCAGCATATCCGGACGTAGGTACTTCTGTCGGACCCTCTCCATGCCTTGTATACTGATAATGACCTTCTCAGCGAGGCCGGGGCGGTGATTCTCAAGATCGCGTACGGATACACGATCGAGCCGCATGGACGCGATCCCCTCGTCGACCTGGCCAACGAGGCCATGGACCAGTTCTCTATCGCAGGCAGCCCGGGTCGCTGGTTGGTCGACACGATCCCACTCTGTATGTCTTTCTGTGTGCGTCTGTGTCTTAGACATACTCGTCGACTAATGGATTGTGCACGTAGTGAAACACGTCCCCGCATGGTTCCCTGGCGCTGGCTTCAAACGCACGGGACTCGCGTGGAACCGCATCCTGCTCACCACCGTCGAGAAGCCCTACCAATTCGTGCGTCAGCAGATGCAGCGCGAGAAATTCACCGCCTCGTATGTGTCGAGCTTGCTCGAGGGACGCGATCTGGACACCCTGACGCCGGAGGAGGAGCATATCATCAAATGGACCGCGGGGTCGCTTTACACGGGGGGTGCTGATACGGTTAGTCACACCGTCCTTCTCGAGGGCCTGCTAAAGTCATTGATCGATGATGTGAACTGACCCGAATTAAACAGACTGTCTCCGTCCTCTCCACATTCTTTCTCGCGATGGCCCTGCACCCGGAAATCCAGGACAAGGCCTACGAGGAACTCGAGCGCGTAGTGGGACGCGCCCGTCTGCCCACCTTCGCCGACCGCGAGAACCTCCCGTACATCGATGCGATCGTGAAGGAGGCCCTGCGCTGGCACCCGATCGCACCCACGGGGATCCCGCACCAGTGTACGGAGGATGACATCTACGAGGGATATCTGATCCCCAAGGGGGCGATTATCATTCCGCACATATGGTATGTTCTTCCCTCTCTCATCTATCTCCGATGACCCAGTAATCCTTTTGCATGCCCATCTCTATTTGACACCCACCTTGAAACCACATGCTGACAATGGAGGGGGAAAAGGCAAATGACTCAAGACCCAACCATTTACCCCAACCCGAACAAGTTCGACCCGACTCGATTCCTGTCGTCCGAGCCCCAGCTGGACCCCCACAATCTGGCATTCGGCTTCGGGCGCCGCATCTGTCCCGGTCGCTTACTGGCTGACAACACCATCTTCCTGACGATCGCGCAGTCGCTGGCCGTGTTCCGGTTCATGCCGCGGGATGACACTGCGCCACTGAAGGCGGAATTTGCGCCGGGAGTGGTCAGTCATCCGCTGCCGTTTGCGCTGCGGGTGGAGGTACGCGGGGAGGAGCATTTGAAGGTGGTCAGGGACGGGGTGGACGAGGTTGGGTGGGGATCTAGTGATGCCGGGGCGTTGGCGGGGGTGGTTTGTTAGGTATTTAGCGAAGACGGGAATGAGGTTGAGAAGGGAGAGATTTTAGTATACTAGATTATGGCTGAATCTTGATGAAGTTTCAGTCTGCTCACATAAGACTATTATGTTGTTCAGTGGCACGGATGATACTACTTGACATTACTTGACATGAAGCGATTTAATACTGTGGTTCTGTATTTTGGTCAATCAACAAAACATAACTAGAGAAAATCGAAATTGCAAACAAGGTTGAAGTAAGTCTCCTCTTCCAATCATGAGCCAAACTCCGAAAGAGTCACCAAAGCGTGGGATCACGACTCATCGAGATGGTCACTCCGTGTCGATCGTTGACTGGAAACGATTGAACTTGTGCTCAGCAACGAGTGGTGATTGTATGGGTCACGGTACGAGGGATGTAACTGATGGAAGGAACGGGGATACAATTCGAGCCCGATAAATGGTGAGGACAGTAGGCCGTGACTGTGGTGGTGTGGTCAGGGATAGGGATAGGGATAGGGATGAGAGGGTGGATGGTGGTAATAGGCATGAAGTCAGTGCTTGAGGTTGGGCTATCGGTGCAGTAGCTTGTGATTGTGACGGTGCTGCAACCCGAGCTCGATTCATGCTCACAGTGAGTGGTGATGATCAAGGTGTGGTCGGCAATAGGAGTGGAAATCACGGAGCCGCAGCTGGAGTGACTGCAGTGGCTTGTCACGATGGTAGAATAACTCGAGCCTGTAATCGAGGCGGAGGTCATAGAACCAGTTCCGTGACACAAGGTGGTCGTCGCCGTTGTTGAAGTGGGAGTAGGAGTATGGGTAGCAGTGAGGATGGGCGTCACCGAGCCAGAACAGTGCGCAGATCCAGACACATGTGGAGTACTCGCTGGTGGAGCACTGCAGCTGGAAACCTGAGTGCTAGATGGAGAAGGGGTAGGTTTACTGCTCGGTGCAGAAGCAGCGATACCCGCACAGACCTCAAATCCTGCAGGCAGGTATTCACACATTTTGTTGGGACCCACCACATCGGGATTCCAGGCATAGAAGTCCTTGACGGAGATACCGTTGGCGAGGGTGATCAGAAGACATGTATCGGTCCTGTAAGCAATTGCTTGTTAGTGTCGGCGGAAGACTCGGACGCGAGAAATTGATCTTCTTTCATGGAAAAGATAAGAAAAAAAAAAAAAAACGTTATACTCACGGTCCGACTAGCCACCACTTGTTACAATCACGAGTTACTCGAGGTTGATGAGAATAGGAGGTGGGGAAATCGGTGGGTGCAGGAAGTTTGGCAGTACGAGTTGAGGGGGTCGATGCATCACCAACACAGTAATAATATCCAGGCTAGGTTTGAGCAACGTGTCAGTCTAAATGTTAGAAGGGCGCAATAGGCAAATATCAAAATAGATCGGAGAGAAGAGGTCTAAAGGGGATTGATCGCGACGGTGGGGGCAACCATACGATAAGTTTAAGACACTCCCTTCCAAGGTTAGGATTCCAAGACACGAACTGCTCTCGCGAGAACGTGCCAAACATAGTCACAATCAAGCTGCAGGTATCTTCCTTGTCGGCCTGGTACCAAGTGGTGCAATTCTTCGCTGTGCCCTGCGGCGTTGGCTGGGGCGGAGTGGTAACATGTGGAGGAAGTGGGAGGTTGTCATAGGCAGCGATGCAGTAGTAATACCCGGGCCTCAAACCGGAACAGTCATCCCTGAGAGCTGGGTTCCACTGATGAAGGAGCTTCTCATTCAGTAGACCGTGTTTGAGTAGAATTCTATCGCAAGTATCATTCTGCTAGGATTAGACTCAGATCTTGATGGAAGGAGAGGTGAAGTACATACTGCAGCAGCCTTGTAGAAGGACTGACAGCTCGGGATTAGACCAGCCTGTGTCGGGGCAGGGACAGCTGGCTCGAAGGTGATGTTTCGAGTCGGGGTGGGAGTCCAGGAGGCGTATGGCGGAATGGAAACGTTAGAAGAGCCAGTGGGGTAGACCAGAGTCATACCAGACCCGCCTGAAATCCCCACGCAGATCCAGTAGTCGATTAGAGGATGCTCGCAGTCTTTTTTCAGCTCCGGATTCCATTCCAACCTGTGTTTGTTAGCGCAGTCACTGGAATTCTGACAAGCAGGACTTACAGCTGATCTAGAGAAAGGGAGGCACCAGAACGCTCTGAGATTGTCTGGCAAGAGTCGCCTGGCTTAACACGGTACCAAAGGTCGCAAACACCCGGCTGGCCTGGCTGTGTCTTGGTCGGAGGCCAGGTTGTCTCAACCGAGCTAGGGTTAAGAGGCATAGTCGACATAGTTTCTGAGGTGACTGGCACGCGCGCACTGTAGGTGGATCCAACGGAGAGGCTTGTGGTATTGGCTGGTGCGGTCATAGTGGCCTTACTACCTGCCACAAGAGCCAGCAAGAATGCCAAGAGGAGATGAAAGAACGCCATCTTGAACAGATCTCGCCTGATCTGAAGGTAGATGATGGTAAACGAAAGAATTCGCAACAAGAGGTTGCAAAGGTAAAAAGACTGGATAAGGGGGGTAATGGCAAGGAGGAGAGAGGAGGGGTGGAGAAGAAAGGTGGAGGGAAGAGAGGAAGGGTGAGGAGGAGTAGAAGCGAAAAACAGAGAGGGTGATGATACGTGATATTATATAGCTGGAAAAAAAAAGGAACCAAGCGGGGAAAGGGTTTTGATCAAGAGATAAGTCTAACATTCACCTTATGCAGTCTGGTTTACAACAAATCACATTCCTAGCGTCACTTCACAGACCTTCTTGATTCAAGGTTCAGTACCAAACAAGGAACAGATATCAGAACAAGATCACCTCCAGATATCCCACAATTCTGCCCCTTCTGCAAGCCTAAAACTTTGAAAACTCCCAAGACTTTTCCAGAATCAATCCCTCACGCCGCATGAGCTGTATTGCTGGAACATTTCAAAATGAGGGCTTCTTGGATCAAGCCAAAAGGGCTCCCAATTGTTCGCAAAGGGCGAGTTATACATCTGCACCAATCCTGCCACGTCTCCAGCAGAAGGTACCCTGTTTGCCTTCCAGGTCTTACCGTCGTACGTAGTCAAGACAGGCCCCTTACCCGCAGCATCAGACCCGTAGAGCATGCATGAGTCCCAATCGACGTCGTCGATGTGTGGCCAAGGCTCCCGTGGTCCGATGATATTCGCCGGGAAGGGCAGAAAATACGCTGCATTAAAGCCAGCCTTCGTAGCAGTCCACCAACTCACACATAGTCCATCAGGCCCCCAGATCTCCTCCTCAGTCTTGCCTCTGGTCTTCTCTTCGAAGTCAATCAGGTTATTACAGTTAAACTTGAAGATCCAGGACCCATGGTCAGTTGGCCTCCACAGAGCCGGATCCTGGTGCTCGTGGATAAGTCCAAATGCGTGTCCGATTTCGTGAGCAATGTTGGCAAGAATAATGTCTTCATTCCAGCCTGCCGGGGTGGAAAGGTACATGTGGGCAGGTTCGAGCCTGACTTCCGGGTTCGGTACCATCGGGGGCATGCCAACGCTGGTGACAAACAGGTTAGGAGTGTCATGGACCGTGAGGACGTCGAAGATAGCGTTTTGGCAGATAACTGCGGATGTAGGGTGTAGTTTGAAGGTTTCGGGCAGGCCCGCAGCGTACCATAGTCGCATGGCTGTACGGAGCAGTGGTTTGTATTTTTGTTCGGCTGCTGGAGACTCATAGCAGATGGAAACGACCCCGTTGGGCCAGAGCCGGTTGACATTGGCCCAGGGACTCATTTCTGCCCATGTGTGAACCCGAGAGCCCAGGGAAACAAAGGCCAACAGTAGCAACAGCAGTCTGTTCCAGGAGACAGAGAAAAGGATCATGGTGATCACTGGAGACTAAGGCTAAGATGTCAGCACTAGCAAGACTTCTTACAGAAGATAACTCACTTGGTCTGGACATTGGTTGTCACAGATGGTGACGGGGACTGTGACGATACATGGGTTGAGAGAAGCTGAAGGTGATGAAGAAGACAAAGATAAAAAAGAAGATGAAGGAAGGTAGAAGAGAATCGGAGAGGTCATCATATCATGTCAGAGAAGCAAGAGGTAATTTTTCTCATATGGCTAGGCACTGAGTGAATGTGTGAATATCAGTAACTCTTAAGATAAATTACTCTATATGATTTGATCATCTCCCACCCTCGCAATATAGAACAACCTCTCTTCTCCATCGTTCTTTATAACCTCCACCTACGTCACTACCAGCCATCATGACTACCCACAAAGTCATCCTATTCCTGCTTGCACTGCTTGTGTGGCAGTTTGAAACAGTGACAGCATATTCAAGCAACCATGGAGAGTTTCTTCCTCGAGCTCCTGTTGGTGCTGACGATGAGTATACCTGTTCGAAGACCAAGAGGTGCAAGATCGGATGCTGCGGTCCTTTGTAAGCTAAACAGGTTCCGAACTTAACGGTTCCTGGCTAACTTGGAGGCACCCAGAGACAAAACTACTGACACTGGCAACTGTGGCTATGGCTTAGACTTCTGTGGAAAAGCATGCAGTGCAGACTGTAACCGCAAGAGCGAATGTGACCCAGGCTGGGGACGCGAATGGTCGGTTGCCTCACACTGCCCTCTCAATGTCTGCTGCAGCAAGTTCGGATTCTGTGGTAAGTCTACCTTTGTGATTGTACTAACAGCTCAGGCGAGACTACGATCTTATAACTTGTTGTACTATCATTAGGAACCACATCCAGTTTCTGTGGGGACGTCAAGGTGCTCTCGCCTGAGTGCAATGGAAAGAGTGCCCAAGGACGGACTATCGGATACTACGAAGGCTGGAACCTGGGGCATGCATGCGGAAGTCAGTGACCTAAAGTCTTTTTCTTCTTTGCTCTTGAGTTCTGAACATCATTGCTAACCCGAATCAATAAAGAAATGACGCCAGAACAGATCCCTCTCGGCTACTACACCCATCTCAACTTTGCCTTCGCGTACATTGATCCCCATACCTTCCACATCGCCCCGATGGACAACAACACAGCATCACTGTATAGGGCAGTGACACGCCTGAAGCGCAAGCAACCGAACCTGCAGGTGTGGATCGCCATCGGAGGCTGGGCCATGAACGACCCCGGTCCGACTCAATTTACCTTCTCTGACCTGGCGGCCTCACAAGCCGCCCAAGACGCATTCTTCGAGTCGCTCCTCAGCTTCATGAAGACCAACGACTTTGATGGAGTGGATTTGGACTGGGAGTATCCGGTGTCAGAGGACCATGGCGGGCGACCAGCAGACTTTGCCAATTTCGTGACGTTGCTGAAGCGACTCCGGGAGCATCTGAGCCAGTCGGGGCGAAGATACGGTATCTCAATGACTCTGGTGCGTTGCTTCGATCTTGTGATCTTTATTTCCGGAGATTATATGTCGAAACACCCGAAACTAATACCTCGCGAAATCCATAGCCCGCATCCTACTGGTACCTCCGAGGCTTCGACATCATCAATCTCGAGGCCCACGTCGATTTCTTCAACATGATGACCTATGACATACGTAAGCTTGTTCCTATTCTCTCTTGCTCCACTTCCTCCTAACAACCATACTAACCATGTCCATGTCTTAAGACGGAACCTGGGACAGAACCAACCACGACGACCCCTACAAAGCCTACGCGCACACCAACCTCACGGAAATCAACCGTGCCCTCGAGCTCCTCTGGCGCAACAACATCAACCCCGCCCGAGTCAATCTGGGTCTGGGCTTCTATGGCCGCAGCTTCACGATGAAAGACCCACAATGCATGGCGCCAGGCTGTCAGTTCACAACCGGCGGCCGCCCCGGCGAGTGCACGACCACCACCGGCGTGCTGTCCAACACGGAGATCCAGAAGGTACTCAACGCCAACGCTACAGGGACTCATGTTACATTGTACAAGGAGGATGCCGTCAAGGTGCTCACGTGGGATAAAGTTCAGTGGTTGAGTTATGACGACACGGAGACGCTGAAGCTCAAGCTGGAGCTGGCGAATCGCCGGTGTCTGGGGGGCACGATGGTGTGGGCGGTGGATCTTGATGCGGATGGGATGCTGATCGAGGCGTTGGGGTCGGCGATGGGGAAAAGGAAGGCCCAGGTCTGGGATATAGGGGAGATTTATTCGTTGTTGATTCCGGAGTGGGGCACTGAGGATGTGGATGATGTGTTAGGGTGGAAGAAGAAGCATCACGATCAGCAGCAGGCGCTTATGGGGTGAGGATTCTTTCATGGTTGGGGATTCTACTTTGGTTGATCTATTGGAATCTGGAAGAAGTTTGCTCAGGGATTACCCTGATTCAAGTGTGAAAATATGCGATGTTCTGTTTGCTAGTTTGTTTGAGATGAGAAATACAATTTAGTTAACTCAGTATCTTCCAACTTATCTCAACAGTGGGAAACAGTCCAAGGGCGAAAAGGTAGATCAACATTGTGAAGCAGATAGCGCATGCAAACGCACATACACATGCTCGTACCGTACCTGCAATGCATGCCTTACAAAGTACTCAACCTAACACCCATGAGTGAACCCCCCGGATGCGCGCTGCACAGCATTATTGCCAAAGCACCTGGGATTGCACCAAATCGGGGTGCGGAAGAAGACCTCCCACTCCATGCCATCCTTCTCCTCTGCGCCATTGAGATACTTAAAGTCCCAGGCCGTGACCCCGCCCCCGACACAAGACTTGGCGTTAGGAAGCAACGATTGTTGACCAAAGTCGCCCGTGGACCAGCCGCGGCCCCGGATCCAGTACGAGTCCCAGAGCCCGCGGTACTTGCTGTGGCAGCTGCCGTCGACCTCGCGGATGACGGACCAGGGCCGCTTGAATGAGTTCATCACGTTGACCTCGTAGATGTAGTTGCCGCGCACCCAGCGGCCGCCGAACTTCCAGTTTAGGGGGTTGTGCTCCGGGTCGTTGCCGTCGCACGAGTTGATGACGCGATCGAAGCTCTCGAGGCACTGGTGCACGTCGAATTTGGCGCCGTTGCGCAGGGTCAGGCGGAACCAGTGTGTGTCGGGCGTCTGCTCATCGAACCAGCGCTCCGAGCTCCACTCGCGCTCGTGCGAGCTGGTGGGCGGCTGGAACTCCGTGCAGAAGGTCTTGTAGTTGGCATTCATTAGGTCGGGAGAGGCATAGTCCTTGCGGCCATCCGGCTGCCAGCATTTGAAGATGTTGTCCATGGTCTGGCACATCGGGTTCGCGGCCTGCATGATCACGGCGCGCTGCGCAACGATCTCGCTGAGCACAAACGAGGCGATGGTCTTATGACCGAATTCGTTCGGGTGGAAGAATTTGCCCCAGCCATCGGGGAGGCCGACATTGATGGAGCCGACGTCGGCCGGGCAGTTGGGGGGAGACGGGTCGCGGGGTTTAAGGAGCAGGCTACGCTCGATCAGCTCGGCTTCGACGCGGGCAAGATCGGTCAGGTTGGTGGTGGTGTTAGTGGTGTTGATTCCCAGCATGGGGCGCAGTTCGCCGGCCAGCAGACTGGGGGTGTCATCGAAATGCAGATTCACTATAGCTTCCACTTCTCTCTTGCGCAGCTCCTGATGTCCATCAACTGCGGTGTCTGGTTTGAAGAAATGCAAGTATGGCTGTCTGGGGTCGGGGTACTCGCCCGTCGTGCCAGGGACACAGAACTGTCCTCTCATGCCGTACCCCACAAAAGCGTCCCAATCAGCGATCCGGATGTAGGGATTCTGGTACACATGCCCACGGACGCCAAGAATCGTCTCCCGGATTGCCTTGTTGATGTTGATGACGAGCTGGTTGAACTTGCGCCGACGCTCAATCGTCAGAGGCAGCCCACTGACCACCCCCAGACGGGGGAAAGACCAATCCTGGTGTGTGGCGCACTCCTCACTCTCGAGGTTGAAGAATTGGCCGTACAGCACCCAGACAATCATTCCGTTGTAGCTGAGCTTGTACCTCAGTATATCGATAATCTCACGGATGTTGGGCTTCAGGATGGTGTCAATGTTGTGCTGCGCCAGGTCCAGGACCTCCTGGCATTTGTCTTCGCCCTGAACAGGTAGGAAAATGCAGGTCTTGATGATATCGGCCTACTCCAGATGTTAGCTTCTGCCTGCCTTGGTAAAAAGAGCGAGGTACAGCAGGCAAAATCATACCAAGCATAGATCATTCCCTCCAGCGCTGATGACCACCACGTCGTGGCCGGTGGAAAGACTCCTGGCCTGCTCGAAGATCTGCCCCGTTCGAGCTCCACTGCAGGCCTTGTACTCAAAAAGCTTCACCTGAGGGCCAAAGACGTGCTTGAGCTGACCCGGGTAGGACTGATCGTAGCGAGAACATTTGCGGTCATCGGCACGCTCAGTCCAGAGTCTGCCACTACCAATCCCAGCAGTATAGCTGTCTCCGACCGCTGCCCACTTCTTAACCCAAGTGAAATCGTGAGGTGAGATGGTAGGGCGATCGTGTTCATGAACAGTGACATTGTAAACTGAATCTGATAACGTCAATGAGACCGCGTGACTCGCTAGAAGACACAGGAGGAGGATAAGGATCATCATGGTATAAATGAAACAAACTTGATGTTGGCAACGAAACGATCAGAATACAAGAAAGGAAGACAAGAAAGGCTAGCAGAATTTCAGACAAAGGAAACGATAACGAGCGTGGTAAAAAGGAGAGATGGTGACAGGGAGAGAGTTAAGAGAAACGGAAAGTTGTAAAAGACACAAGCGAGATGCGAAAGGTATACACAACGAGCCACAGAAGTTATTAATATTAGCAAGATTTCTTTTGCTCTCGCGCTATACCAAAAGCAGGTATATTGGATTCATGAAAGGCTGCTTACCTCCATTAGGCTACAGTGATAGTGGAAATACTCACACTTCAATGATAACCACTCTGGCCAGGCTCGCTCAGCAACATCAAACCACGTGATCACAACCAGGCTCATGCGTCCTAGGAGATGTTGTTGGACACAGGACTCAAGTTGCCAACGCGTATAAGATCTTGTGGTTCTGCAATCTGAGGTGACAGTATACTCGTGAAGTTGAAATAGAGCCCACAGAAGCCAGAGACAGAATAAATCGCTCTGTGAAAGAGTTCATTTCCAGGACTGTCAGAGCTTGAGCGCGTAGGGCTGAGAACATCGGCCTTTGCATCAAGCAAGTTGCTCGGAACCTACGCGAGAGTTTGGCCCTACCAATCTACCTGCGACCATGAGACTAAATCGGAAAGAAGTCCTTCCACTGAATATACCCTTAGATTCTATAAATTCTTATTTGAGAGCCATCTGTCCCGACTGAACAGTCATGTACAGCACATGCTATGAATAAATCCACCTACTGCGCCGACTCATCCGTTTCATTCGAACCAGCAACCACATACATCTTCTCCGTCTTCAGCCGATCCAAAGCACTCTGTGGCAATTGCAACGTGTCCGCCACGATCTGCTTGGGGGTGGATCCGATCCATTGGCCGAGCGACACATCTGGTTTCTGGTTAGCGAAGAATTGCGAGAGTTAATATGACGAGCGGAAGAAAACAAAGGGCTTACCAGAGAACTGATCCGCTTGCAACACCTCGACAAAGACCAAATCCTCATCGCCGGTGTTCTCGATATAATGGCTGTTAGACTGAGGGAAATACCCCACGTCTCCAGCGCGGAAGTCAAAAGTAGTGGCGGTGCTGGGCGCAGTGAACAGAGTCGCGCGACCCTGGCCCTGGATGAAAAATGTCCACTCGTCGCTGGTCGGATGCCAGTGGATCTCGCGCATACCGCCCGGATGCACGGTGACCACGGCAGCGGCGAAGTTGTCGGCGACGGGGAAGGTCAGCGGATCGACGATCTTGACGGATCCGCCTTCCACCTCGTGGGCGGGCTGCTCGGAGAAATGGTAGGAGTAGCTTTGACTCTGGGGGACAACGCCCGCGGTGCCGGTCACATTCTGCTCGCTGATGTTGGCTGGCGCGGGCGTGCCGGGGAAGATGTACAGTTCGTCCTCGGGGATATCGTCGAAGGCGGCAACGGGGAGGTCAAAGTTTTTGGCCAGGACGGATTTCTGTCGACCAGTATATTAGCATTAGAGGCTGTGAGCAATAGCCGGGAAATTGAGTCAAGCCTACAGGTTGGTGGGCGAACACTTCAGTGGCGAGGAATGTGTTGTCCTCGGAGAAGGCACCGTCATCAAAGACCAGTAGAAACTCTACCCCGGAGTCCAGGGCTTGGATCGAGTGCGGGATTCCACTAATTGCACATTTCAGGTCAGTGGTTGATTGGAAGACCAAATAATCAAGCTCATGTCGCAAAAATAGGCACGTACGGAGGGAAAAACCAGACATCGCCGGCTGTTACGTCATCGACAAACGTCTGGCCATTTTCGTTCACAGCCTGTGCAATGTTAGTGAGGGTATCTTTTGAAAATCCAAGCGATTTTCACAAACAAAGCTCACCTCAATCCGACATGATCCGTTCAAAACTAATGACCACTCGCCTGCAACATGCCAGTGCAGTTCACGATACGCCCCAGCCTCCAAGCGCATATCCACCCCGGCCATTTTTGTGGCTCCTGGCATCACCACGGTATTCTCCTGTCGCGCCCATCCGGATTCATTCATTCCAAGCCTATCTAATCAGCATTGCTTCGGTACTTGCAACGAGCCGACTTACCGATTGTGACTGAGTCCTGTTTAACCCGTCAGTGGCGAACTTTAACCAGACGAACAAGAACACTCACCCATGGGCCATTGCGCATTGATTGTTTGCCCTTCATCCGTGCCAGGGGGCGCCAATTTGTCACTGTTGATGCGATCGTAGTAGGTGTTTCCTGCATAAGTGTGACATTACATAAAAAATTCTGTTTCTCATCCTTATCAAACGAGAAAATCTTACTTGGACCTGGATCCGTCGCGCCCTTATCCCCTCGGATCGGTTGCGGGCTATCCGAATCCTCGAAATCAAGGTACACGCCGAGATCGGCGTCATCCGTTTGACCAGCCACCGGCGTATACGTGATGTCTTCCGTTGTCTGATCGGAAAGCGTGTTCGACGAGGAATACCCAATTAGATCTTCCGATCCTCGCAGTGGGGGGTTGCTCGTCGGGGCGCCTTGAATTCGCGAGGCGAACAGCGTCGCGAGAGGGAGGGAAAGTAACAATGTAGACTTCATCGTGTCTCTGCGCGTGAGAAGCTTGAGAAGAGGAAATTAAGAAGATCAGGATGGTTGCTTGGACGAAAAGAAAGGAGCTCTGCAATGCGTCCTGCAGCTTCTTATTTAAACCCCTGGCTCAATTTTGGGGTCAATTGTTGGAACCAAAAGGTCGCGGCAAGCCTTCCCCTCACGCTGTAGCTGGTTGAGATGACGTTGGATCATGAATGTTTGCTGCTCAACCTTTTGTTTACCCCTCACGAAGCGGAGACATGGCGGGAATGGCTAGGGCTGCAGCCATTGCGCAGCTCGCTGGCTGGGCGCACAGCTGCTTACCGAGTGGAGATACTGGTAACTAGGAGTCCTCAGAGACGGTGTTTCTTTTATGGTCGGTCCGTAGGTGAGCTAGGCAGGAGATGTAGGTAGGGAGGGGCTCATAAGGGCTAGCTGTCTGGGAGTTGACTTCTGCGACACAATGGTGGAGCCGGGGGGACCTTGCTGGGCGAAATTACTACGCAAGCACGGTTTGTCCACATCTATTGTAAATCTGCGGCACACGTACGATGTGCAGTAAGCGAGTATAGCGATCTGTAGTGGAGCTTATTGGATGCCGCGTAGTCAGGATTGTAAGCCTCTGACGGACACCATAGCCAGCCCACTAACGGAAGCGAGGTGTGTATGTACATACAATACTGCACATCTCCCCCTCCCGCGTGCGGGGAATTCTTGTCCAATGCTTGATTTTCCCGGCGCAGATGATCCAGTCCCAATTATGCAGCTGCATGGAGCCGCGACAAAAATGGCTTAAGGCCGCTAGCCAGACCCAGTCGTGGCTGTTGGGTTCTCCAATCCGGGAGCTCGGCATCTTAGTCGCGGCCCCCGGATCAACCAGGAGGAATGCTGGTTGCTTTCCCCCGCATGATATCAGATGCTTTTAATATCGCTGCCACTGTTGGCTGAATGAGTCAAAAACACTGGACGGAAATACTCGTTCCCGGGATGTCTAACCATCCACTGCGACGCCCTTCAGCGACGCCATGCACAAGCCCGGTCCAGGAATAGCAGTCATCTCCGCGCATCACCGAGCCCTAATTCCGACGAGTGGCACGGACCTAGTATGTACTCTCTTCCAGATCAAGAATCCACTTCGAAAGCCCGTCATCTTACTCTCTAGCGGACACTGTCATCATTGAACAAGCTGTCATCCATTCTGTCCTCATACTTCTCCTTCTCCTCACGACCCCTCATCTCATCCGCCTTTTCCGCATACTTTCCAGCTGACCCCCCCTTGCGTCTCTCCCTTCCGCTTCCGCTTCACCAGTGTCAAATAGCGGTGTATATTCACAAACCACGAAGGGACGAAACGACATGAGAAGAGATGAGGTATTCGCAATCGGGCTAACCAGAGCGGCAACCTTGGGAGCCAATCCGCTCCACTCCTTCCCGCGTCTACCTCCTTGACAACCAGGTAAACCTGCTTTTCACTTTCATCATGACCCAATTACCCCTGCACGCGGGATTTCTAAATCCTTCAGCCTGGTTATGCAAGGAGTCAGGCTCAAGCAAGAACTTTCCGTGTGCTGAGCAGAGAATTATTTGGGGGCGATTTGAATGGAAGTTAGCTCTGGGAAGACAACACGCCTGCCACTGTGCACACTACTACCCTCCGTTGCCAGATGATCGTTAGCCATTTCACAAATTTATCGTGGGCCTAATACATTGGCTACATTATGAAGAACATTCTGAGGTACAGGATTTCAAAAATCTATTATTGGACATCTCTTAACCAAATTTCTTTATTATCGCAATGAGACTTGCAAGTAATCTGACCATGGAAGGCAATACCTCCCTATGATGGAGAGGGAAAAAAAGGCAGGTATGTTCTGAGCAAGATTGCGCCTCGCGGCAGTATATGGTGCTAGTCTGATACCTGCGACTATGCCACTGCATTGACTTCCTATCATGGTTAAATACATTTTCAATCTGACCAGGCCAGGTTGATGCGTCGCTAATCAGAAAACCAGGACCCGAAGAAGTAGGAGAATGACTTCTACCCAATGGTATATTCTGTACCGTCACTATTATGCTGACCTTCTCTGCTGTACAAAGTCTATACGCTTATTGACATGCTTTTCCTGTCCTACTTTCTCATCTGGGATCAGGAAACCTGCCCTACATCCAGGGTCGCTCCATCCCGCACAATACATATTTCAAGGTTCTTCATGAAATGAATCGTCACTGAGAACCCTTAAAGCATCTGGTTCCATTTACCAAAAGGATTTCCCTCTGTCATACCACTTCCGTCTGATAATAGTTAGAATTGAGACCCATGCTTATGTTCATTGCCTCTGCAACCTAGTCGTCTTACTCAGCACAACCCTCTTCGAGTTCCTCCCTATATACAAGGCTCCATG